CCCCCTTTTCTAATCGGCCTCGTTTGTCTCGTGCGGCCCTTTGGAGAAGGGCGGAGAAATTGGGGACATTTTCTGTCTTGTCAGATTTTGCTTATTGAATCAACCCCTCAGAAATTCGGGGTCTCAGCGATTTATGTCTCAACTTTGTTGCCCGGAGATCGATTTGGGATACGATAGGGGTTGTGACTCTCAATGACCACCAGGGAATGGCTGGCCAATCTGTTTGATTAATCTCCGAGTGTCGTGAAAGTTTGAGACTTTGTCACATCAATTAATTTATTTATTTTGTCCCATGTGTCATTCAATAATTAATTCGTCCTTTTAACCATGGTCTCGCCAGTGTATTACGCTGCAATGAAATGATTATAATCCCAAACGAGATTTCCTATTCAATCATCTTGGTGAATGGCAGAGACACTGGGAATGCCATCGCATTGACTAGAGCCCATAAATTACAAAAGATTGCATATGTTGGGACATCTTTGCAGTTTACATTCCATAAATTCTCCCCTTAATGCGACTTGCCCAGGAGAGATTAAAATTATCTCTCTGCGTTCATATTGCAAGGAAAACCTTGATGTGTTGGCAAAAAAGACAACTTTGTAATCAAATTTTGCGTTCTTTTCGACACAGATTCAAGTACTGTGAATCCTCGATGAAATCAACACAGCAAATCTCAAAGTAATATAAATACTTGTCCACTCTCTTGGAAATTTACTAGCACACATTTTTCCACAACGAATATTCTCACGAATATTCGCCTGCGGAATACAAAAGATTGCATAAAAATATCAGCACAATTTCCTATACTCCTTCCATCAGACTGAGAGAGAGAGAGAGAGAGAATTGAGTAAAGCATTTCACGGGGCGGAAATTTCTCATTTCTGAGGAAATGGCAAGGGAAGGCATGGAGAAGGAAAAGAACTATGAAGAGACATTTAGATAAAAATGAACTGAATTATTATTTTCATTTATGCATCGTCATAAAGTTTTACAGTTACATAAAACATTGCGCTTCGAAATGATTTTCCGGGTTGATTTATTGCAGAATTATTGGGGGGCTGCGGAGGTGTGCGTTTCTTTTCCTTTCCACCCTCGCACTAACAAAAGCCAGCACACTTTTTGTTTGCCCGACCGTCAAGTGGGTTCATGCTGAAACTTATCGATTTTATCACAAATATTACCTCTAATGAATGCCAGTCAGCGGTAATCTTTTGCCAGGAAGTGCAATGGAGCATTAAAGATCCCATAAGAGATAGCTGAGGTTCTTTGTGAGATGCCAGAGCAGCTGCACCCTTAATATTTAATTAGTGAAACATTAACACTGAAGTTGGCAAGAAATTATGCTGAAGAAATGCTTCCTCAAGACCTTTTCAAGACACTGAGATACATGTAAATAAGAACTAAATGTCTTTAGAGGATCTTTGTCATGGAAAAAGTGATGCAAACTTTTAATGTTTTAACTTTTCTTACTCCTTGGGAAGCTTTATTCCCACCCATGAAACACACTCGGTATTTACTGTCATGTTTTAACGTTGAAAAAAGACTTTGCTTGCCCTCCGTGAGGGCATTAGGAACACGTTCATCCCTTTATGGGAAATCCTTTAGAAGCTCCGCTTAATTTTGGTTAAGCTTCAAAAAGCTCCCCTTCTTGTGATTAATATTGAATGAGCCCAATGAGCAAATGTGTGCTCTCTTTGAGCTTTTTCCAGGGTTTCAGAACTTTTTCCCATGAGATTATCTCTCTCCAAAAAAGATAGAAATGTAAATGCATTTATTTACACCACAACTGTTCCTCTGTGTATTTATGCTGTTTTGTTTCCACTCCGAAAATGCCATTCACAAAAGTTTCCACAAGATAAGATAAAAATATGTCTTCGTGATGTACTGCATATAGTCGCCCGAAAAACATTTTCCTCCCTTCGCTAGATTAAAATGCTTTAAATGTTATGTATATTGACTTTTATCGCAATATCTCTAGACCTTTTTCGATTCACCGGGCCTCGTTTAGCGAAAAACACACTCCACTGAATTAAATTCAGTGTAAATTTTAGAGAAAAGAAACCTCGTCAGAAGGTAACAAGTTTGAAAGAAAAGTTCTCGCACTCCTTAATGACTGTTGTGGAGGAATAATGATTAATGGATTTGGATTTAATGAAAAAAAACGAAGAAATCTTTACCAGAAATGCAAATGGATATTTCCGAAGGGAAATCTCTGTTGTCATTGGGAGACTCTCTCCATCGAAAATGCTGCAGTGAATCCTCTTACTTGGGCGTTTGAACTCTGAATGCATTGTCGATTTGGTGGGGTTTCTGCTGTGTAGCCCAAAATCTCCCTCTTGGACTGAGCTTCACCCCAGCACAGAATAAAGTAATTGAAGTAATCTGACCGATCCATAATACAAAAAGTTTCAATATATTTTCCCTAAGACCTATTCGTGTTTCTCTTCTTCACATTTGGAAATAAATATCCCCGGAACTTTTACATCAAGATCCACACCACAGAGCATGCGGCAGGGCCACGAGATTGCGAAGGAGGGAAAAGATTGGAAGTGAAATAGATTTCATTGGTATTCGTATTTTTTCCCACCCGCAGAACCCTCAACATCCTCTCGCACACACATAGAGAAATACTTTCCCCAAAAGTTTATAGCACTGGGGGTTCCTAAATTACGCTATTGAGATGTTGATTTGTGTATTAAACATATGTTGCCTCTGTTTCGGGGGATAGATTTTCATTATAATGTGGTACGTGATTGGATATACATTTCCAATAATGATACAGAGAACCTCCGGATGGTTTTTTTTCACTCCGCACACTTTCATCCCTCATCATTTTTTATTCGGCTCACTCACGTCCAACCCCCGTCTCGTGACGATGAAAGTTTCACTTTGGTGTTTGTGTGTTTGTAATTTATTAAAAAGTTTGCATGTTTTGCTCTCTTTCTCCTCCATCGTCCCACCAGCTGCCAAAACAGACACTTTCCCTCTTGTGGGGCTTTTTAAACTACAGAGAAAAAACGCCGGCCGCCAAAGAGCGCCGAAGGGCTTGCGAAAGCATTGATTCTGAAGACGACCACAATGGTTGCTTTCCTGTAAAATTCTCAGCATTGCTTTGCGCACTCACTTCCAATATCCGTGACTTCTGGCAAAGGACTGTCTGTTGAGCCCCAAGAAATATATCAAAGAATGATATTTTGTCCACAAGAATAAATTATATTTGTTCAATGAGATGGTAATTTCGCTTGGTCTCCAGATATTGCTTGTCGTCGTGTGCAGGGGAGGGAAAAAGTGAGTTGGGGTCGAATGAATATTTTCATCCCTGCGTGATCCATTCGGCAAATATCTCTCCATGAGCGCACAAACAGGGTAATTTGATAATCCAGATGATAGCGCGGCTGGTCACAGGGTAATCTTGGCGTAATAAATTTCTTCCAGTTGACACAGAAAATGAAAGGGGAAGCCGCTTGATTTCAGATTTGCATTAATTTTTCCGCACGGTTGATTTCATCCGCACATAACACGCGCCATCCAAAGGAGTCCCCAGAGGAAAGCACAACCGTGTCCAAACACGAAGAATGGCTAAGACGGGTAACAAAGAGTGATGCTTGGCGAGTACGTGAATCATGGGAGTGAAATAAAACGGATTTAAAATCGATTTTTGAAGTGTTTTGATGTGCGCCACCCTCGCAGTGACTCGCCTTCTTTTTCCACGTCTGGAGCTCACTCGGTAATCCCAGGTGTTGGCATGAAGCGATTTGGCTCGATTCGTGCAGGAGGAATGGCCCCTGAATTTAGGGGAGGACTAATTGAATGATCCACGTTGAGTGCCAACAGCAGTGAGAGATATTTACAATACATTGAATTTAAATATTACCCGAATGCAATTTAGAGGAACGTATGCATCCTTATTAGATCAGGCGCTTCCCATAAGAGTGTGGAGGGATCTAAATTGGATAACGCCAGCTGAGATTCCTAAACTCTTGCAGGGCGCAAGAGTGGGTCTTTGGATTCAAACAGTCTTATCGACCTGTGTAAAAGGTTGGTCTGACGAACAGTCTTAAGATTTGCAGAATCTGTGTTTTGATGCAAGAAGAAAGCTTCTATCCAATCTAATAAATCAACATCGAGAGAGAAAGTGTTAAGTTCAGATGTCTTCAAAGTGTGATTGGCAAAAAATAAACCAATAGAAGGCTCTCAAGACCTCACATTTCGTGATTCAACATGAATAATCGTACTTACCAGTTCAATATGTCATATCTTCTGAATATTTCCTGTCAGTGCAGTTTTCGATAAAAATCCTCACTCTAATTCAATCGCATGGAGAAGATAATTCATCAACAACAGCGTCATTGTCAGAGAGGACCGAAAAAATCCATAAGATCCACAATTTGTCACGAAAAGATCCCAGCTGTGACAAGAAAATTTGCTTCATTCTTGTTCCATCGCCATCACCTTTGACGGCATGTCGTGGGCTGAGTACGCCCGCTTGGGGTGAATTTTCATATATATTCCAATTCGATCCAACTGTGTGTCTTTTTCCCATTTTCCCCATTTCACCCCCCGCTCCCCGGTCGTTTGAGCGCCCCAAAATTGCCTCCACCGCGCGTCGAATGGCAAGTGCAGTAATGAAAATTTATTAAAATTCATTGAAGATAGCGGCAACGATAAAAAAGAGTTTTTTGGGGTATTAATCAAATGGGTTTCGACAATGGCGCGCCGGAATTGTGAATTTGTGGGGTTGGATATTGGGATGTGGGGGCGCAAAGAGGAGACTTTTGGGACTATCATTAGTATGCACAAAGAGTCGCCGCTTTGGATATTGCTCCGCAGCAGAAAATCCTTATAAACATTCGTGTAATATATCCCCGATCCTGTTCACCCCTTTCGCCGCACGAGGAATTGTCTTAGCTGCTTAGTGGAGAAATATTTTCGGTGGGCCATTTTGGGTGGTTGTGAACGGGGTTTGGGAATGTTGAGAGAAATTCACGTTCTTCCTCTGCTATTTAATATTTATTCGATATGAGTTGGACGGTTAAATTACAAATTTCTATATATTCTTTTTTCCTCATCCTCTTTCCCGTTCACTCTCTTCCAGCTATTTTCTCATATGTGCTTTCCATCTTCATCCCCATTTATATCTTCTGCTTTTTCATATCAAATGACACACGTACTGCTTTATTATTATTACTATGTATTAGTATTTATATTTTTGTGAGAAAATGGCACATTTTTATAGAGATTTCTTGTGTATTTTATAACATGGATTCTGCAGGAAATTCTCTCGTCTACATTCGCAACGTCTCGCGTGAACTTTTCAAACAGATCCGCATTGCAAATAGCGGTTCATCTTTTGGCTTTTACAAAGCACAGAATTGCTTTGTCATTCCGCAACCAGATCTGTAATTACTTTTCTTTGCTTTCTCATCATTCTGTGAATTTTCTTTTCTTACTCTCTCTCCGTACAATTAATGTGAAACGTTTTCTAAATCGTCATTTCCATGTCATCTCGCAAAATCTTCTATATTTTCCATATAAAAGTGTATTCCTGAAGTTTTTTTCTTATCTCTTTTTTCGTGGGAAGTAGGAATTACATTATAATTTAAGAGGTAGCTGTTTATAAAAGAGTATCTCCTTCTCATGTGAAATTCCAGGGGTGGAAAACAGAAAAAGTGATTAAATTTCAAGTGTGACAATTCTATCAAGAATGTGGCGAAGTTATCTGCAACAGAAGGGAGAGAGATTGTGGCATTCCTCCAGCAATCCCGTCAATTAATTTAGCTAATGGAACTTCTCCAGAGTTCATGGGCAGTTTCAAGTGGCATTTTTCCAGTGGTTGGAGTATTTTCATATTTGCTAGACGGTTGTGCACTTGAAAAACCAAAAGAGTATTTTGCTGAAATGCCAAAAGGGGGGGCACACAGTCTGTGTCCACATAAACTTCATTGTGGAGTGTGTCGCCGGATCCTTTGACGTCGGTGGGAGTTCAAGTGCCCGAGGGTGCGTATAAATACGAAAAGGACTCTCTCCATTTATTTCATTTTCAGATTGTGGAATGGGTTAAATAATTTAATTATTAGTACGTTCAGTCTTATTTATCTAGCCATTTCCATTCGTTTCACCATCGCAGCATCTTTTGTGTCATGTCGATTTTTCTTTTTTCATCGCACTTTTTCGTCCTTTCTTGGCACGCAAATATTTGGCGACAGCGTCGCGATCCCAAATAGGCCCCTTTCTTGATGCTCTTCCGTCACTTCCAATTTCGCTTCTAATAGAAATTAGTTACCACAATTAATGCTCCGTCCACGGGAATAATTAGTTATAATTACAATTAGAATACTTTAGGATACGTTTCTCACTTCCCTCTCAAGTATAAAGTTTTTTCTTTGTATAAGAATTGAGTACAGAAGAATATATGTACATGATTAGTCTCTATAAAGTCGACAATTTATTAGATATATGCATTTTACACCATCTCTGCGAATGATTATGTAGGTATTTATGTTCTAAACATGTCTTTTTACATCTTAAACAATTGAGCCACATTCTTTCATAACAATAATATAGCGCATTGTGTGCAGGAATCCAGCGTAAAATTCAACTCATAACATTCCAAAAAAAAACCTTTTGAAAATAACATATTGAAGAAAATTGAATAAGAAGAAAATTCTCAAAATCCCTAATCGTACATTTTTTTATTATATTTTCACGTATGCCCTAAAAAAATCAAACTTTCCACAATCTTATCAAATCAGAGAAACACAAAGTCATCTACAGCCAAAGTTCATCAATGAATTTATAGAAATACTCACTGTGTTCCTCGCACACAATTCGCGGCCATCCTAACCATAGATTCAGGTATAAAATATGTTAGTACAGCGAGAAGAGTCTTATTTTCTCTCAAACATACAAAAGTGCGTTCTTTTGAGGTGGAAAATGAGGGCTAAAGTATAATTCTCCCAGTCAGAGGTCAGAGATGAAAGCAATTGCGGGGCAGAGAGTTGAACTTTTCCTCCCCTGCCACTCTCGCAAACACAGCAGAAAGCAGATATATCCAGCACATTATCAGTCCATTAAGATGAAAAAGTTTGTGTGTGTCTCTCGCAAGTTTGCCGGGAAATTTCTCTGTTCGGATGGTTGTTTTAGGAACCGTATTCACTCATAAATCATACAATTTGTATCATTACATCTCGGCCAGCGGCCGTCTCACTCGCACTCCTGCCGGTAATTAAATACACTGCTCAAATGTGTATTTAATGGGCGCCTATGTACAGTGTTGGGGGCGTAATGGACGCGCTCTACACATTGTCCGTCCTGCCGAAGCTGCTCAAATAGCCCTGCGAGCTGTTCTTATCGCCCATCGCCTGGATGAAGTGGTGGTTGGCGTCCATGGCACCGGGAGACGGCGTCCAGGAGCCGTCGGCCACGCGCCGGCCGTCGCTGGCCTGGCTGAGCTTCATCAGCCGGTTGCGGCGCATGGTGCCCAGCATGGGCGTCTGAGGCACGGCGGCGGACGTAGAGGGCCGGCTGAGATTGTTGATGAGGTTTAGGCGGTTCTCCGTGATGTTCATCATGAGTCTGTTGTGGCTTCCGTTGCGCTGCAGCACGCCGGCGTGGCTCTTGGCCGCGTCCACGTACGGCAGACCCTCGTTGACGCCGTAGTGGCAACTCGTGGGCGCCGAGTAGATAGAATTGCTCTTGGCATCCAGCCGGTTCTGGTGGTATATGTTGGTGGAGCCAATGAGCGAGGTGGTCGCATAAGCGCCACAACTATCGTACAGTGGTGACTTTGGGTGCTTGAACGACGACACTCCCGCCACTTCCGCGTAGTCCGGCATATTGAGCGGCGTGAGCCTGTGGGGAGAGGCACAAAAGGCATGGGAATGCAAAATACCGCACATTGCACCACAGCGTCTGGGTGGAACCCCAATACTGCTAAAACAATTAAAATAAATTGCCGAGCAATGCGTGAAAGGGATTGACTTTATCAGCAGCTCTCCATTTTTTCCAGTTGCCATTGAAATTATGGTTAGTACTTGAGAGAACTCTCATTAAAGCTTTCGACAAATTTATATATCACCGGTTGCAAACCTATTTACTCTGGCATCATTGCGTCTAGGCAAAAACCTCTCCACGCTTTATGCCTAATTCAGGTGATATCTTAAAACAAGATAACATAGTAGTAAACCTCAGGCGTTTACTTGACTATGTTGGAGTATAATTTTATTAACCACATGCTTTCTTTGTTAATTAGCGTAATCATCTCTCTCAAACTTCCCTCGGGTTATTTATTGTGAAATATGCATGTCTTTTGATACCTAATTAGAGTTAATTTCAAAGTTGGAAGCTAATCAAAAACCTTTTGTTGTTTCCCATGAGTTACTAAAATATTTATATTAGCAGTGCCAATGAACTGCATAAAATCGACATAAAGCCGTGAATAATAGAGGAGATATTATTGCTGCACATATTTTATATGCCATATTCAGTTCGATAAATTGTTTCACTCTTTCTATGAATGTTGGAATGAAAATTACCTCCATTTTGCCTTGTGTGGCTCCAACAAAACTAATTTGCAAGAGTAATTCACTTTAACTTGAAGCGATAAATACTGTCTTTTTCCCAATTTTTTTCTCAACACCCAAAGGAAAGACATCGGCGGAAGCTAATGGGGACAATTCATAAACTTCCCTAATTATTCCCAGCAATTTCCCAGCCAGGGAAAAAATGTAAATTGTTATAAAAGCAAACAGAGGGTTGGAAAACTCTCCCAGCGGTTCGGGAAATAAAATAAATTTATGCTAGAGTATCGTTTACGAAAATTGAAGAAGCATTAATGAGTGAAATGCGGCGATGTCTGAGTTTTATGGCTAATCAATAGAGGAATAAATTAGCGGTTTCCAAGTCTGATGACTCATCAACAGTCATATAAGAAGGGTTTATCTATTTCACTGATCAGGGACTCATTTGTGTATTGACAAATTCTCCCAACTGTCGTCACTTTGAAATGCTGCAAAGTCAACTCTAAAAATCAATTCACCGCCCCGAAAGCGGCTTTAAAGTTTACACCGGCAAAAGGGTGAGTCCTTTATGAGTCGCCGAACCGGAAAGTCGGTGTGCAAATGAAGAGGCAAAAATGATTAACCCCATCCAGGGCTTATCAGTTGATGTGGAAAAATCAGGGGGTGCGATTAAGCATGGGCACTCACCTCTCGTAGTCTGGCAGCGGAAGCGTTTGGGTGGCTGATATTTGTGCATAATCGGGTATCCCATCCTTCGCATGACGCCACACGCCACCGGAAGGATCTATCCACACGCCGCCGCCCGTGGCTGTTCCGCCGGCGCCCGTCCCGCCGCCCGTGTTAAGTGGCAGCGTGGGGAATTTTCTTACAGTTCCGATTGCGTGATTTCCTGAAATTATTCCACATGAAATGTCTACGTCTATTTTCCAGTCTCATGTGCGGTTTTGCATTTGGGGCGCAATTCTTATTTTTGTGAGCTCCTTTTTCGGATGCCACTGAGCATGTGGGTGAGTATTTATGGTTTCGGATGAGGCGATGTGATGAAAGGAGGGCAGGCGAAGAGGGAAGTTTATAGAATTCAAAGAGGATATTGTGTAAATGGCTTGATGTCTCGCAGCCATAAATATTTACTTGGACTTGAAATGCGGTCTGAGGGAAAATGCGGAAAGACACCCCATCCTGCCGAGCGTCTTCCAGCGCTCTCAGGGGCGGGTTTCATGGGTGGATGTGGATGGGATGAAAAGAATGGAAATAGCAAGTGGATAGAGATGTCGATTGCAGAGATGTTTAATTGAGCCTCACTTCCTTACATGCAGCGAAAATTCTATTCCTCTTCCTTTTTTGGCGGGCATTTTTCACGTGCGCGTTCATCTCTTCACCGGAAAATTAAAGCTACGCAAACTTATTTATCCACTCAACTCTCAGGCTTTGACAAATCCGCTAATTGGCAAGGCGCAAAACTGAGGATAAGACAAGAAAAATATCTCTATTTTCCTACATCTTCGCACATTCCATGGGCTGCCGCCTTATAGGCATTTTCCCACGTTGAATTTATTAGTTGGGAAATACTAAGTAATAAATTTGCTTTTTGCTCGCACATGTGTGCGTATCTCGGGCGAAGGATTCCACACCCCACCATGCATGGTGTTGCTGGGAATTAATGGCACAATCCTCATGGAATCATCAGCCCGGAAAATCAATGGGCGAACATCGAATAAAAAAGCTCGCTATTTATCTCAAATTAGAGAGGCGGCAGCACATAAACAGAGGCGCACACACAGAATGTGGAAACTCATGGCGGAGCAACAACTGTTAAGAGCGCAAAAGTAAGTGAGGGGATGGAAGTTTTTCACTGTTGTTGTTTGGTAGTTTTGCGTGGGTGAAATGGGAAGAAGAGCAGAAAATACCATAAGTACTAAATACATTACCCGATAACCCGACAAGTGTATGTGAAGCTTTTCGAAAAGGGCGAGAGAGAAAGAAGTGTGTAGGATTGGCACAAGTTTAATGTTGCCTTTTTTCGCATCCTTCCACCCTCTTTCTATGCACGACGCGCCCAAATGCAGGGAGTCTGTTTGGCTGTGCCAAAGTGCCGCACGATTTATACTTCCGCCAGAGCTTTCTGACACTTTTACTGTGTCTTCGCGCAGCCACTTCTTTTGACGATCACCATGTGGTTCCAGCGGGAATTCGTGAGCGCGCCGAGAACTTAATGCACCCCCAAATGGCATCTAATCGCAAAATTTATGCCACCACCACTGCATGTAATAGTAGATTTTCCAGAAATTATAAACTGAAACGCCATGAGGTTACTAATGCGAGAGGAACGATATTTGTAACCAGACTCCCGATTTTCCTGGGAACTTCATACGGTGGAAACTTGAAGTTTATTCCAAATTTGTGAAGAACATTTACGTTTAATTGCAAACTTTGTATAGATCAATTCACAATTTGATGAAACTTTAGTACAATTTAAAACCTTGACTCAATTGATTCAAGTAATCGTTTATGCTGGATGCAAAATTCTTATAGGAAATTCCTTGCATAGGAAAGCCGGGGATATTTACGTTCTAAACAAAGTAAATTTCCCTGCCAAGAGGCAATATTCTTTTTTAATACCTGTTTCAATGTATGGAAAAGTATTACAGGTCTTTTGAATATAAACATCAGCGTTAACTTAATTCAACGACTTCTTCTCCATCACGTCTTGCAGTGCATTTGCATAAATGCAGCTTGCATTTTCTTCAGCGAGAACGGAAAAAAGAGAGATGTAATGTAGATCAGAGTAGGGAAAAAGTCCCTTTTCCGTCTAAGATAGAGACTGTGGCCATTGGAAATTAATGCACTATTCATGACACAATAGCTGCAAATGCATTGTGGGTGCTGCATCGCATTACTTATGACCCCCTCCGCCTCGGTGGGCGTGTGGAGAAAGTGAATGTGTACTTGTGGGTGAAACGACAAAATGCCGCACAAAAGAGGAATGGAAAATAAATTGCAAAACGAGGGCGGTAAGCGAGGAAGCTCGAAGGCGGCCGCAGACAAAAAGATGGTGAGGAGGAGGGAAAAAGAATAAAAACACATCATCTCACCGTGCATTGAGGCCAATGATGTTTGCTTGATAAATTGAATCCGCTTAAACAATACCATGGCTCCAAAGAGGAATACGATGATGGCGATTATTGATCCCAGCAGGACAATAAACCACGTCTGCGTAAGGATGTCATCTGATAAGTTGTGATTGATTGAGTATCTGTGAATGAATGGGAATTTCCATTATTTTGATGCCTTTGTTTGCACTTGAACTTTCACCCACTCTGAGCTTTGCGCACCACCTCCACATCATACATCGGGACGCCCCCATTCAGTGTTTAATTAAAAGACACACGGACAAATGGACTTTGTGGAGTGTGCTAAGATAAATAATTACCTTGTGAAGCTATTGTCGAGGCGGCGGGAGTGTGGGTCGAGCCGGAGAATGGCCGGTGGGCTAAAAGGTCCAAATCCCGCTCCCGTTCCTGCTGACACACTCACCGAGTATGTCACCCCGGCAGAGAGGTTCGCCAGCAGGAGTGATGGTGTCTTCGCGTCTATTGTGATGTTTGTAAGTATTTTCGACAGGTTGTGTGAATCAAAGCCTCTGACAATGATTTGGTAGCTGAGAAGAATGCCTGGAACACACACACACACATTCCAATCAATCATGTCGCTGGGCAGGTGCCTGAAAAGGGAACTCTTTTCCTCGTCGTCCGGAAAATTGAGGTAAATTTCTGAAATATTGCATAGTTTCGTGCACTGTCACCTTATTGGAATTCTAAATGGCAAAATCATAACACTCAAGCGCTTATCCGAAAGCACATTTGCGAAAGCTGTCTCTGGAGTTGAGTCGCCTGGCGTAATCCAATTGATGGGCCTGAACAATTTTGAAGATCGATAAATGTGTGCTTTGCCGACAATCAAGAACTCAAAGTCACACATGCGACAGGAAGGAGGACTGATGGGTGAGAGCATGATGATAAAAAGGGGTGAAACACAGCCTCTCACCCTCATATTTCGACTGACTTTGATGTGTTGCACTCACGCAATAAATCTGTGTCACAGGGCCGGAAAAGAGTCCCACAGAGGGAGACGCAATGTGGGCAGAGACACATGACTTACCATTGATTGTATCGTTGTGAGGTGCATGCCATTTCAGATACACAGCTGTCGCATTCAATAAAATCGCCTCTATGTGTTCTGGCGGGGCGCTTGGGGCTGCAGAGAAATGGTGAAAGTCGTGTGAGGAGAAAGTTTTCTCGATCCCTTAGCGATAAATTACTGTATCGGCATCCTTACCATCCTCCAGCGTGCGAGTCGTACGTGAATTCGATGGGCGTCCCTCGACTGTCTTGTAGAAGGGCACAATGAAGAACTCATATTGATGGTACTTCTTCAGGCCGGTCATCGTGCATGCGGACGCTCCGCCACCGTGCAACACCGTCAGCATCTTGTACGTCCCATTGGACACAGTTTCACGTGAATAGATGTAGAAGCCCTCCACGTACTGGCCGTTTATAATCTAATTCGATAGACACAGGAGACAGATTGAAGGGATTTACTGTCTACATCGAGGGGGTATTTTTGGAATTTAATATGCATCCACATTTTATGTACAGGCTCTCGCCAGAGGGGCCAAATTCCATCAGAGGGCTGAGGGTGGAACACAATGCGTCCACATTGGACATGGGACTGTGGAATTTATTTGGTGAATTATTTCTTTTTCTGTCCGGGCGAAATTGGATTATTAACTTTGTTGAGGACTATTAGTGAATGTTTGGTTTCAACCCTGTTAACTCCAAAATATTATTTCAAATGGGAAACACAGAGGGATCATCTGTCTATGCTGTTTATGCTCCAAATACGGAATGGGCGCTTTGGTGAAGTTATTAAAGTCAGAATCAGAAACAATCGCGCATTCCTCTTTTTTTTACTGGTGTTGTTATTTCTTTTAATTAAACGCCAGAAACGTGTTTTCCCTAGAAGACATCATTTGCCTTGCAATTGCATAATTAAGCAATTTAACTGTAGTTTATGCAAATTACAGCATAATTGTTTTCATTTGAAAAGCTTCCGGTTGTATTTTTTTTATTCATTTTATGCAAGAAGCGGGAAGAGAAGTAATGGAATCAGCAATATTATGCTAACGTGAGAAAATGTACAGCAAACCTCGAAACCTGACTTTCTACAGAATATTCATAAACTCCAGGATTAGGCGTGTTTTATCACCACAAAATCCCAGTCCTGAGTAATTTGAATTGATTGGATTTCTCGAAATTAGAGCACTGATTATAGAAATTTAATGTTACGTGAGAGTTTAACGGGAAATTCAATTTACCGAAGTGAATGGAAGCACATTCGCTTAAGCACTCTCGGGGCAAATTACTGTCATTAACACTAAATTAACTATCTTAGTGGCAAAATCTACAGTGCTCAATATAAGAATGATCTGAAATCAGTGCATTCTATTCATGCTCTCGAGCTTGAGATATTCAAATCATGCTGTCTAACTCAAGAGACATCCATAAATATCCATAAGGGGTTGATGATTTGTATCCTCTGGTGGGGTGAAAGCGTGTTCCACACTCTCAGGGGATTGTGGGCATTCAATATCTTGTGCGAAAGAATCAGTCAATTCAATTGCAGGGCCGCACGTGTTGGGGTATTCCATTGTGGGCAACCCCTCGGAATTTAATATGCATCGGCTGTGTTTGTGCAGGGGCAAATTCCGTAAGATGGCTGGAACATCAGTCAGAAACACACTCACCTCCCAGGAGAGCCGTACACTCGTGGCATCAGTGGCATTCGCCTCGAGCAGCTCGACCACATTGCCAGACGACAGAATTGCCTGCGCCTCACTCAGTCCAATGTCCTCTTCGGCACCGAGCGCCTGGGAAGATGGGCGGCGTAAATCAAAGGGCATCGATATAAATCACTGCGATATCAGGGGGAAAGAATCTCGGTGACTGCAAGAGGAAATTACTCACCTTGCCACCCACGACAATTGGATCCGACATTGGACTGGGCGGCGAGAGCCCGTGGAAGTTCTCGGAGCGCACGATGAAGACGTAAGTGGCACCCAGGGTGAGAGAATACTGGGTGTACGTGGTGTCCGGATGGCGCTGCACCAGCGGAATCCAGCCGCGACTGATATTACTGCTGAACATCTCCACTGTGTAGCCTTGAAGCTCGGAAGCGCCTGTCTTTCCGCCCGGAATCCACGATATAGTCACAGATTCATCCGTGACGTTGACTATGAGCGGTTTGCTCGGCGCCGCAGGGAAAGTGGCAGCTTCTGGTGCCCGGAAGAACTTGATATTGGGATTTGTGGGCTGCTCGAGCCGCAGGAAGCCACTCCACGTGGACTTCCCATTGCGGCTGCTCGCCACACACGTGTACAGGCCCTGATCCTCATTCCTGTTGAGATCTGATATGGTCAGTGTGCCGGACTCCGTCATGTTGATCTTGTGCGATGTGACGACGGGTATTCCGTCTCTGTACCAGGACACCACTGGCGTGGGAACGCCACTTGATCGACACACGAGCACAGCCACGGATTTCACGGGCAGAGTCTGATTCACCGGACCCTGGATAATGATGGGCGGCGGATTGTCCTCCACCGAGTTCACAATGAGCTTCGCCTTAGCAGTGATGGACCCCACGCTGTTGAGGGCACTACAGATCACAATGATGCCATTGTCCGTCCGCCTTGTCTGCGGCAGAGTCAGAACGCTGACTCCTTCGGCAGTGAAAGTCGTCTCGAAGCGATCGAGACGCTGTCCTGGGAATATCAGGGATCTATTGCCCTCAATTGACCAGAACATTGTGGGTGTGGGAATTCCCGTCGCCCAACACTCGAAAGACACAGACCCCGGCACGTCCGCGGATTGAGCAGTTGGACGAGCAGTAAATACTGGAGGAGCTGTAAGGAATTTTAAAGTCCGCCCTCAGTTTCAGACTGAATATTCTGTGTGTCTGTCTGTTCGTTTATCTTGAGAAACCCATTTCAACTTGCAAATCATTAATTATCTGCAGACAATAATCAGAGGAAGAGAGCCAGAAGTGACTTACAGTGAACAGTGAGTGTTCCGGTGGCCGTTATCGAACCCACAGCATTATCGGCCTCGCAACTGTACTCGCCTTCATCATTCACCGTCACGCGCTCGAGACGCAGGCTCCTGTCCTCCAGGATGTGCACCCGATCTGGGAAGTGGATGATGGGAATCAATTGGGGTGGCGCGATAAGGCAGTCACATGGCAATTTACCAAGCGGCATGTTTCCACCGGCTGCAGAGCGACGCCAAAGGACGTCTGGCATTGGATCCCCGCCGACGCGACACTGGAACGTCACCGCCTGCCCCTCGACGACGACTTGGCTTGTGGGTCCGCGGATCAGGAACGGTTTCACTTTCAAGAGGAGGGCGAAATAAGCGACAAGTGGTAAGTTTTATCAATAACCAAGTGACGTTCATGGCGCTATTTATCGGTGGAAAATGAGGGAGAAATTGTGTCGTTACCGTGTCGACTGTGACATGCCACAAATTGGACTTTAGAGATGTTTCGCAAAAGCTCTCAATCCCACGTTTATTCTATATAATAACTCATTGAGAGCATGACAAAAATAAACTGCACACGAGTTGACATTATGGATGAAAAAAAGTGAATAAACACTTCAAAAGGTTCTCTTTCGATGAAAAATTTTAATGAACTGAACTCGACACAATTCAATTGTAGCGATTCCCCATGTGATAGTAATAATAACATGAAATCAAATTAAATACAACTATGACGGGGATTTCACAAGAGAATTCTGTAATTGAATTTTTCACTAATTAAATTGGCATTATTGGCATTTCATGCAATTTTTCAGAGGGCACGCATTGAGAAAAAATGAGCAAACATTATTCACTGATACTCATTGATATTCCGTCAAAGTCAACGAGTGACATTTTCAATTTGATACTTTTTAATTATCGGTTTTTTGACTATATAATAAACATCAGTGAGCTCGAATTGGATGCAAAAAATAAGTAGTAAATAATGAATATATGGATATTATTCCAAATGTTAGATTCATAACGAGCAATTCATGACAAAAAATGCTTTGTCGCAGGACATTATATTATACATAATACTACGAAATCCCCTGATAACATTGTATTTAATGAGGCGATCAAGAATGTTTCATTGCGGAAATTCAAATGAAAAATGAATAAATAGTGCAATTTCCAAAAGATGTGTCGCAAAATGTACCAATTACGGTGAGACTCAGTCACTACATAACTCAATGTTGAATAAATTCAGATCATATCGATAATATGCAAACAAACACATACATTCCCCAAAGAGGCATCGTTATTCATCTTCCTACGGTGAATTCCCCAATTCCCTGCTTTCAAGAGGAAGCCATATATCATGAAAAATTGTGAAAACGTGCAGCCCTTTTAGCCATCCGCCCGCAAGGCGAAACATATCAGAGTCGTACGAAATACCTCGCGATTTTCTTGTGAAAGGAAAATTTCTCCTGGCGTGCCAAGAACGCTTTTTGGCATCACACAATTCCTCCCTTCGGATAGTGTTGGGTGGGTGACAAAAGAAAGCTCAATGGCTGAGGACGTTATTTACATAGAAAGTTATGAATACCATGAACTTTTAATAATGCTGCCGTGGACTCTCTCGTGCCGGCCGCATTCTTCGCCACGCACTGGTACTGTCCCTCGTCCGTCTGTCGAACATCCTGAATGGCCAAGTTTCCGCCGTCGACAATGCGAATCCTGAATTGATAAAGCAGCGGGCGGTTTAAATGCCTTTTCCCACTCAGAGTGTGTGTGTGTGTGTGCATGGTCAAAAAGGCACTCTTTCGCCTCCCTTTTTTCTTGTCTTTGTTAAATGCACCCCACCCGCTGTCGTGACAAAGTGCCACGACATTCATTTAAACTTTATGGAAAGTTTGTCGCTTTTTGCTTGTCTTCCCACCCACATTCGCTCGAGGAAGTTGAACAAACCTCTTGGAATTCTCCAACTCCACTCGCTGGCCGTTCTTGCGCCACTCCACGCGGGGCTCCGGGGTACCCTTCGGCGGTCCACATTCGATGAGTGCGGTGTCACCTTGGGCCACCCGTGTGTTCTGCGGCTCCAAACGGAAATCCTCACGGAGGACTGTTGGGAACAGAAGAAATTGCGGTGCATTAGAAAATGTCTGCGAGGCACGACAGAATTTAATTTAACATTCTCCCAGGGCTCTCGGCATGGCGGGACAGCCACACAATTAAGGCTTTTCGGCATTAAATTGCCCGAGCGGGCGGAATAGGAATCTTTGTTTTAGAAAACTTGACGGGACTTATTATGATATCATTTAAAATGAAAGGCAGCGCCGCTCAGCACGCAACAGTAGACTTGTGCCAGGAAATTGGTGTATTTTTTAATTAAACAACACCTCGTGTGTGGATAAGATTGTTAGTTTTATTGATTACTATGCGGATTCTTGTCCGCCGAGAGCACGAAATCGGATATTCGAGAATGACAAGCTGCCTTTCTCACACCACTTCATTCTACATAATTCACCACATCGTTTTGTTCACGGAGCTTTTAGGGTGTGTGAGAAGCTGAGGGGCGGCTTCCGGCAAAATTGCGTCCATTCTTTTATTTAAAAGTGTGCACAAAAAGTTGTGGGTGGAGTTATAATTTGGGCAAAAATATTTTTAAGGCTTGACGCCGTCACAGACGTTTCAGTTGTCAAATAATGTGCTTTTGTTGCGAAAGGAAATGCAATTCCTCCCCAGAGATTGTTGACGGGAATTCTTTTGGGGAGGAAAGTGTCATGTCTGAAGTGCTCTTCTCTTATGCGAGCGTTTTAGAGGAGCGAAAAGAGGGGCGCAAAACAATGGAATGGAGGAAAAGTCTGCTTAAATTTCATCCAGTGAAGTCATAAATATACTAAATTTAGTTCAATATTTTCACATTTGTACATGAATTTCAACAATTGAACATAAATTTTCGATTAGGTGATTTTGAAAAATTGATATTGCACTTTCAAAACACCGAATGTAAATTGTTGATCGTCAAGCGAGGGAAAAACTATAACCCAAATTTTAACATAACAAAATAATCCCGCAGATTTTGCAGTGGTTAATGGACGCCTCTGGGGTGGTGCATAAAATGGGATTGCTTTCATAAAATAATTTCATGGTTTTTCCACATTTTGCACTGAATTTTTTCCACGTCGTTTCTGTGCCAGATTTATTTGTGCAAAATCTGATTTTTATTAGACAGTTCTCAAATTGCTGGTACTTCTGCTTTATGCTATCTAATTTGATAAATATCTGTAATCATTTATGATGTTCTCTGGTCGATAAACTACTTTGGTTTGCGGCATAACCGATTTTGCGTGCAAAATTTACAATGAAATTGCACTGATTCTGAATTATTCTGAATTATTCCGACTATGATAGGCCAATTTTTATGCCTTCCACTTATCTCAACTGCCCTCTTGTGCACGTCAGGAGGCTTTTCAGAAATGTATGCAAATTGCTGTGCAGAAGATGATGGTTAATGAAGATATTGAAATGCTCATGAGGGGTGCTTTTGCACGTTATCGGACTGTGACGGTCGTCAAAATATTTTATCCTCTCCAAAATGCTGCATATCTCAATGAAGAGCCTGCTGGTGGGCCGCTTAAAAAGCAAGGCTTATCCCTTCGCTCAATTGAGACTCAATTTTGATAAAGTTTGAACATGAGGGCAATTAAATAGTGTTTTGTAGTTAAGTCCTCTATCTCCCCCTCTTTTTCGATTTACGCCTAGCGATATATCATGCATAAATTCCATGCACAATGGCACGCTCGGAGAGATTACGAGAATGATTTTTCGATATGCCCATGTAAGCGGAGGGTGACAAAATATGCGCCACCCCGGCGAAACTTTATAGTTTCGTCGTGTCTGCACGAGGACATTCTCCAGAGCAAGGCTCCGGCCAGAGGCTCTCCTCCGCACTGAGTTAATAATTTCATGTGTTGTGTGCGCCTCATGCGACGTCCTCTGCATCGATAATACATCCCCGAGATATGCAAATTGCCAAAGCGAGAGAGTGAAACCGTTTAGAAAGGGGATGTTTTCACCATTGTACGGTGTATTATGTTAAAATAAGGACATCGAATCGCAAAACAGTTTCTTCGAGGCTTAAGTCGCAGCATTTGAATAAATTTCCAATTAAATGTCTCGTCCTTACCCTCCTCAATCCCTCATTCATCCTCACTTGCGACTTGGAGAAAATTGACAGTGTGCGGCGTAGAAAAAAACGCCGAGGGTTGGAGAAACTATTCCGTGAGGATTGAACGAGAAACGGAAAAAGGGTGACGTTCCCTAATTGGCCATTCTGTTCTAAATGCTCTATTGAATCTTTTTTGCCAACCAAGAGATTTATGCATTGAATGAAGGAAGTGGAAATGTACCAATCTCATCTCCATTGTCTGCATTTGGCCATTTTGTACTGCTGACTGTAAAATTAGTGTAATGTTCACATGACATGAGACACTCAAGCGATTTATGTTAAGAAAATGAGTAATAAATTGTGAATAACATCATTTCAATCTAATCTACAACATACTTTTCTTTTGCTTAACAGTAGCTTAAAATAGTGTGATTGCTTAATTTATTTTAGGTAGAACTCAAAGGTTTCGACTCACCTGCAACCACAAGAGTGGCATTGCGACTCCTGGCCACGCCGAACTCATTCCTGGCCTCGCACCAGTACACGCCGCTGTCGCTCTCCCGCCGCGAGTTGACGACTTTGAGGAAGAACAGTCCGCCGGCGGGCAGAAAGAGCCTGTGCGATCCAGGCAGAATCTTCAGCGGCACTCCGTCCTTGTACCACTGGATGGTGGGCGTCGGAGTGCCTTGCACCTTGCAGTTGAGCGTCGCCGGATCGTGGCGCGCCACAGTTGTGTCGGTGGGATACTCCGTGATCCGAGGCGCCTGGCCTGGTGGGAAAAAGAGCGTATTTCAGTGGAGACTCATTTAGCCAACATGTTTCAGTTATTGCCGCACAATGGTAAAACTTTCATGTGTCCCTCGAGGAGGAAGTGCTGGAAATTAAATCTAGTTTCCTACCCCAGAAATTCTCAAATGGTTGGTAGTTAAAAGTGGAGAATATTTTATGACTTTACACGCTCCGCAGGGGGTTGTAAAATTCTCAGAAATTTACCACTGCAGAACATTTGCATGAAACGGAGTGGCGGGAAATTTTGGAAAGATTCGCCAGCTAAGCTCCTGCCTAAGCAGAATCCTGCACAGAAGGCACGGAAATATTCCCACCTTCAGTAGCTCTAATGCCAGGGATATGCTTATTTAGCGGAGAGTAAATCGTGCTAAACTTTGGTGTGTGTCTCTTTGGGAAAATCCTCATTTGCACGCACCATACTCAAAATTCAAATTCCCTCCCTTCCTGGATCTTCTCAGGCACTTCTCGAGCCTCCCCCAGAGTCGATGTGTGTGTGTGTGTGTGTGTTGTGTCGAAAATATGGCCAATTTTAAGAACAAATGTTTTAACAAAACCACTTAACACGAAACGGGGCGTAATAAAGACAAAGCTTTTGGGGCTGCAACGATTAAATGTCTGGCTTTGGGGTGTTTGTATTGCTACCCTAGCTCATCTTTTGCATCCACACTCCATGCCCAGGATATCTAGAATGGGTGTTGCTTTCTCCACTGGAAAGTTTGTATGTAAATTTTCGGTGTGAGATGTTACTCAACGGCGGGCACGGAAGGGTGAGAGTGGGCCTGGCGAATGGGAGAAGACCCAAGGGGAGAATTTGAAATTGATGTCGTAAAATAATTAAGAAGCACACTGCTGGCTGCTGTTTCACAACATTTTAATGTATTAATGCTAAATAGTGACTCAAACTACGACTTTCTCACACTTTCTCGGGGGTAAAGTTGTCCGTAGCATCTTTCAGCTCACTGTCTTCACGTACACATGCCAGACAGTCGATGGAGAACCATCAAAGATTTCATTTCTGGTATTTGTTGTATTCGTGCGGTTTCTGATGCTCTGAATTCTGATGAGATTGAACGCTCAGTGCTTCAATACAAAGTTGCTTATAAGAGAACCTTATTAAGACTTCAGTGGGATTTTTATACCTTCATTCTTTCCTCCTTATCTCAAGAGATGCTTAAAGACCAGGAGCTACTTCAGAAATAATTAAGTTTTTCCTTTTACTGTAAGAAATAGTGCGGCATTTTCTCCAGAAATTCTTCCCAATTTGTATGTAAATTAATGTGTATTATATAACACAAATAAACACCTCTAGTGAAACAGGAAATAATTAGAAAATAGTGCATCAAACTTCACGTCATGCCACTGTGAGCAACCGCTCTCCGTTTTCACCTTCTCAATTACATCCTTGAAAGCTTTAACGTGTGAAAAGTACGGTTTCTTGGCGGGGAGCACAGAAGCGAGCACGGTTGTGTCTCAACCTGGCAACTCTATCAGATAATTAGTCCGGAAAGACCTCCACCAAAGGCGCCCCAACCATTGTTGAGGGCGTACGAGAACCGTGCAAATGCGCAGGTATTATGGCAAAGAGAACAATCCATAATGGAATTTGTAATTTGGGGCATATGATCAAAAGGGTGATACGGACGAGAAGTATGACGAGACTTGAGGGCCAAAGAGAACACATTCGAGAGGATTTGAGATTATGTGGCGAGCGCACCTGAAGATCAGGACGTGCAAGGAGACAGATTGAGGCGAGAGCAGAAAAATTGCAACTGTTGTTAATCAGATGGGGATTATACTTAAGAGGATGTCGTGAATGCGAGGGAGACGAGTTTAATTTCCCAGCCCCTATCGCAGGAAAACCCGAGCCATATATCTGCGAATTGTGGCATATCAGTGAAATCCTGTCGCTTGTGGAGTTTTCTCTCCTTTGACCAACTTTTGCGGCAGCCTCTCTGGCAGCATGTGCTCAAATACGGCTGATAAATAAACTGAAATTGAGACAAGAGCACACAAACGGGAAATTGTCTCCTCAAGTGTGTATTTGTACTTGGGTTGAGCATGTGGGGACCGGGAAAGTCGAGGCTTTTCTCCAGAATATATTATTATCAATTTCCCTGATGACACAGCTACTGAGGGAGACAGAAGAAACCCATAAACTAACAAGTGCTTTTAGTTGTTAACGTCGATTCCTCTTTTCAAACATTAAACTTGTCTCCGTCTTCCACCACTTCTTGTGTCTCCCCACTTAAAACTATTATTCTGTAAATGATAATACAGCGGAGACATTGCCAAAAGAGCGCGCTTTATAATTTGATGTGAAATGAGGTAAAAGAACAGACAGTTTTTCCCACTTTATCCGCTATAATACTTAAACTTTAAAACACTGAATGCAATATAAATAGAAGCACATGTTAGACACTAACTTGATTGCAAAGCTTTCAGCCTATTCATCATACAAATTCCTCTCTGATCATACACTTTAAGAAATTCAACTCAACTTTTGTACCATTTTCAATTACGTTAATGCTCAGGCGCTATTGTTCCTCACCCTTTGTCATCCACTGTACTTCCCCAAAAACATTGCTGTGTCGTTTATCGTTCAGTCTTCCCATTGCTTGTTGCTCCCAAGTTGCCCATTCTTTTCCCGCCGCCCTCATTCTGTGCCTCAGTCCATGACTTTTGCACCCCCGCGCCTTCTTGGACAATGTGCCAGCATGCTTTCATCCATGGGCACGAATCTGGGTGGAATGAGTGCACTCTCAGAGTTTTTCCCCGTCGAGAGTGAGAAAAAACTCCAGCAAATTTGCATTTAAACACTCCTCATTTTTGTAGACCGTTTGAGCTTTGACTCCGCGCCGAGATCTCCGAACCTCGACTATAATGCAATCATGAATTTATTTATTGTGTATGCAAAAGTTTACTTTTTTCCTTTCTCGCTCCTTCACTTTTATGCCGTACTCTATTGTTTGTCCGGAGAATTGTATTTTTTCGCGCTCCTTTCTTTCGCGAAGAGTTGTGTTGGTACTTGGAATCGCTCTTGTTCTTGTTTTCTTAACTGTGAATACTTTTTCATGAGTGCAGAAACAAGAGGGATGCTTAAATAGGCTCCTGCACAAGAAATACATAATGAATTGTTCTACTTTAGGTTAAAGTGTTGCCGTAAAAATACATCCTTGTTTGCATAACAGTATCAACCCGGAAAATGAGCAAAAAACACGCAAAATTCATGCTTGATTATAAATAACACTGTCATTCACTGCACATTTTGTTAATATTTTTAATGTTTTATTTATCACACTCATTAATTTTCATTCGCCAACGTTAAATTCCACCCACCGATAAATGGTAATAATACTTGTCTAGCTTGCGTGTGTGCAAAATGCGGGAAGGAAGTGGTGTTCATATTTTCATTTGTGTCCCGCGTAAATTTCAATACAATGTGCGCACGAGAGAAAATTGCCCCAAGGATGATTTTAATTATTTTATTGTGTTGATAGGGATGTACAGAAAAACTTTCAATTATTTGCATTCAACATTCAGTGTACAAAACGGTGTGAGTAATTGATGGTAAACAGCAAAGTTAATTTTTGCAATGCAAAATAACATGTAATTACTTTCGTATAAAAAATATCCAACATGTTTATGGTTGAACTTGTGGTACAAATTTCAATAAAACACGCATGTTTTAACTTATTTATGTTTTTGCAGTAAAAACATGACGGTTCTCGCAAAATCCTTGTGCTATAAAAAGGCCCATTTAATATGAAGAAATCTATGAAAATCAACTGATAAATGAATGGTTAATTGCACTAATTGACGCAATATCATTGAAAATGATACTTTTATTGCCATTATTTGATCCCGTTTATCATATTCTGATTATTATTTTTCGAATGTAAATGCTCTTTCGCTCATTAAGCGTACTAATTAAAGCGTCTGGTAAATTGTTTGAATGATTTTATGTGCAATAAATCATAATTAATGTCTAGAGAAGCGTTTCAGGAATATTGTTGAAAAACTTTGACTTTAAAACACAGCCACAAATAATTTTCGCCAATTCTCTCTAAACACTGTGAAAAAGCATTCAAACTAGCATTTTCTATCGAGTGTAAATCGTCTCGAAAGAGCTGAAAATGTTCCCCTCGTGAAGCGTTTACGACAGAAAAAAAAATGCCCCGAGAGTGAATTGCAGACGAAATCACAGCCATATATGGCTTCATTTTCGTACATCGTTTCATATTGCTCGGCCGTTGCACAGGAAAATAATTAAAAGATGGAAGAGTGAACGTTCTGGGAAAAAGTTTTCATTGCAATGCCCAGGAGGGAAAATGGGGCTTTTACCTCGGGTCGTCACGAGAGTCACAAGAGTCAATTGAGAGTGAGACATGAAAGACAGATAAATTGATAGTTGAGTGGAGGAATGTGTATTGGCTCGGGTGTAGTGTATAGTGGTTCTGTTCATCTGCGCCCTCGCCAGAGCAGTCATTTGATAGACAATGAGAGCACATTCTCTCCATTTGTTTGTTTGATTTAGCCGGATGATGGGTGGATGGATGTCAGAAGATGCCCTGCAAAATTAATATTGCAAATAATCTCCTGGTGTGCTGTGTGCCGGGCGGACAAACGGATGAAACTCGAGGAGGTGCCAGAGACCAGCCTGAAGAAGCCAAGGCTCAGCAGCTCGACAGACGGAATTGTGTGGAATATGACAAATGAATGGCATTTCACCCCTTTCCGGTTGATTTATACAATTTTATTGTTAGCAAATGCCATGAAGGGCGACGGAGTGGGAGGGAGTCAATCCCTCTTTAGTTTTTACTCCTCAACACCATCTCACACTTCCTCGGGTGACACGGAAAGTGTATTGATGTGAGAGGGAAGACGAATGTGATTTTCACCCCTCGTCCTGATGCCAGAGACCCCTTTTTTATACACTGTATAAACTCCAGTCTCGGGGAAAGGTCGCAAGGATGGAAAAAAGCGCATAGAGAGAGGTTCTTGTTTCAAAAGTAGCAGGTTCTCCTTTGAAATAGGATCTTGAACTTTCAGCACAACTCATTTCATGCGAGACTAATTAATTGGGAATTTAGAGAGGATTATTTGCAAGCTAGCACACAGATTTATTCTGAGGAAAAGAATTAGATTACACTATATTTGTTGTAAATTGAGTGAAATCTTTAGCAGACATCGATGAAATGGCAAAGAAAATGGCAAACGTGGCACACAGTGTTATTATCTAATTATTCGATTTCCAGCAAACTTTGTTACTCATGATTTCCATTCATAACAAGATCATTTGCTGTGAATTTCAGCCTTTATCAAAATAGTGCCCCCTGGGTAAAGGTATCTTGCATTCGGAGTGGAAAGACCCCTCGAGGCAGAGGCGAAAAAAGGGGTTCAATCCCAAAGATTTCCACCCAAAAACTTTCCAGCATATCTCGTCTATACACCATCATGCGTCTGTATTTAGTGTTTTATGGGGCAAATGCCGTGATTTGCATTATCTCGTTTAAGCATAAATTCACTTATTTGAGAGAATTGTGTGAATGAAGCGGAGCGGGTGTGGGAAGTTCGGGTGGAGGAGCTTAAATGCCAGCCATTGCTATTGAGCTACCCACAAAATATTGCACAAAGGAGAGTCTGGAATTCACTCTTTAGGAGCCTTTTAATTTACACCATGAGAGCGCCTCCTCACACTCCCTTTTGCAATATAACTCAATGGAAATTTTCGGCGTCATCGTGGGTGCGAGTGGAAAATCTGCCAAAAATATGGGAGACATAATCACATTTATTTTCATTATATTATCCTCTGTCTCTCCCTCAAGTCCTTTCCACCACTTGTGCCTCGGAGAAGGCCTCAATATTGTCAATAACAGAGCGCGAGCGTGTGTGTGTGTGTGTGTGTATCTGGAAAAGGCTGGTGAGATGGGAAATTGTTGTGCAGGGAAAATTTGATATCGATAACCAAATTGACGGAAACAATTTCCGAATATGTCAATCCTGGGGCCAAACTAGTGTGATCACCGACACTGAGAGCAAACTCACAAAGCTTGTCCCAAAATTCTCGATAATTTATATACACATCGGATGAATTCCCGCCGCCGATATTTATTGCCCAGGAAAAACTTTCGCCACAGAGCATTTTGTCTCAACCGACTCTAATTTTAAATTTATACTGGAAAACAGGGAAATTTATTATTCAGCTTCATTTTCCCACACAGCATTTGCGGGATTTGCGGGGTGGGGCTTTGGCATAAGGGCAGAAATATGGCTGTGAGCAAGTGAAATGAGGGTTTAAGTGTAACAATTGGGGTTATAATTTACAATAGCATTTTTGAAATGACCCTAAATGAACTAGAGAGCTCATCAGCAGGGAATTCTTTGTTCTCGCAAATGTTTCATAACACTTTCCATCCCCTTGGCATTATTGGGCCACTTATGACAATCCAACCTTCACCATGTGCTGAGAAGAGTGGCATATGATCATGCAACTATACACAATATTATTCAAACTCTCCTCTGCCCTTCTTTTTAACACTACATTCACCCTCTGCGGAGGGATTGTTTCACGCGAAGAAAGTGTAATGAATCCATACAATGGATGCTGAAACAATTCACAGCGATTTATGTGTCATTTTAAAATAATTTCACGTTTCCATCGCGCATTGTGAGAGCGTTTTAATGTGACCATTTTATAAATTATCCCGATGACATTCATACAAGTCGCTGCAGAAGTAATTTATAGTTGCTGAATAATAGATTAATTTGTAACATGTTTCAATGATGGTCATTTATCGAACTTTACCCATTATGGCGAATTTGATTTTCCATTGTGAAGTATTAATTTTGCCAATATTCATAACTTTCTGCATGCAATAAAGTTTCTGGAAATTCAAAATACTTTCGAAGCAGCTAACATAGTTTTGTTCAAGATTTCATTTAGCAATATTGACTAATTCCTAATCAAATAATAACCATTCGAGTTTCCCGAGGACTTTATTGAATTGCACGAGACGCAAAACACTAGAAATCACAAATTGAGGTAAATTGGATGGGATTCAGGCATCGCGAGGCGTGTTTCTTGTTATTATTCCATGGCGCGGCATTTTCGGGACTGTAAGAAAAACAAGGGAAATTTCCAACTCTGCTCTCTCTCGTTCTGTTATTTTACCAAATATTGCAGAAGTTTTTTCGCCACGGCAAAGTCAGGCAATTTGCGCTTAAGTGAGCAAATTTCTACCTCCACTTACACAGCGCACGGGAAGAAAAAACTTGTGGTAATTCCACGGGAAATGCTCAAGTGGTGGACCAAAAAGGCATCTCTTTCTCTAGTTCTCACAGTTCTCAACTCCGTGAATTCTTTCGCAAAAGTTGCAGAAACTATCGAGTGGGTTTGGAATATTGCACTCGTGGAGAAACTTCGCCAATCTTTTTGGTGTGTCTGTGAAGAACCAAAAATTTTCTAATGTCTTCTGCAAAGAAAGTTACACTCCACGTCTAATTATATCTTTGCTCGCAGTGTCTTCTGGAGTCTGAGCCGCGCAATCGGAGGGAAAATTTCATTAAAATGTGACGAGATGAATTAGTGGAGGGAATAAATTGCCAATAAAAATTCATTTTCAAGATGTGAGTGTGAAGCCAGTGAAAAAAGGCGTGAATGGCAAGATTAAATGCGGAAGGTGAGCAGTTAATTTTCGTGAAAAGAGGAAATTGCGATGAAATTGCACGAGCATTCTCCCCCTGAAGGTGTGAAAGAGAGGGGACGCGAAGGAAAGTGCCCAAAATAATCGATTTAGGGTTCCAACCCTCACCATTTTACATACACACTCACCCCAATGCTTTTCACATATATTTTCATTTTCATTTCGCGGGGGCAGAAGCGTGGCTCTCCGGATCGATAGAGTGCACCCAAAACATTGTCGCCCTCGAGCACTTGCCAGCGATAGAAGCACTGCTTTCGAGGAAGAAAGTGAGGAAGAGGAGTCTGTGATTGTTGGCAGGAAATCACAGTTATTGCATGCAAACACAGAATATAGTGACGATCAAATATTTCAGAGGTTTTCTTCACAAATTTTGTTCATTTCTAGTGGAATTTGGTCGATATATCTTCAGATAACCTGATTAACTCATGAACTGAAATGAAAACAGACAATTTGATGAAGAAAAGCGATAGGTCAATTTAATCATCACATTGTTAAGAAGTGTGCTATGTGTACAACAGTAATTTGACATTTTGACAAAGATCGAAGGTGTGAAAAAATGGGGAAAGGAAAAGCTTGGAAGAACTGGGATATTTCAGCAAATTTTCAGGGGATGTTAGGACAGGATTTTAAAGAAAGCAATTCTAGAAGAAAGATAAATCAATTCAATGCGTAACTCATGAATCACAGCTCGCTTTGGCATCGTCTTCTTATCAATACTGTTTTGGCTCAAAAGTTGATGAACTCACGCCAAAAACACAACAACGAGACATATCCTCATATTTTCTCATTCACTCAAAGTCAACCCCTTGGCGAACAATTGAGCTGAAGAGGAGCCGAGTGGGTTGGCGCAATGGTGGGGTTGGCAAATAAAGTGAAGTGTGCAAGAGGAGGTGGAAGAGAAGAAAGGACGAGACACAGTGAAGAAAAGACATTGAGGGTGAATGAATGAGAGAGAAAAATCGGAAATGTAATAGCTAATTAATATTTTATGCCCCAATTCGCTTTTCTTTCCAACCAAACCCACCCACTTGTGTACTTTTCCTCATTTTCCATCCTCTTTCACTTTCTTCATCAGCAGTTTTCCCCTCTTCCGACCGCAGGCATGCTGATAAATTACACGCAATTCTATCGCTGTCACTCAGGTATTTTATGTAAAAATCATTCTGCCCCAAAGAATTTCACTTGCAAGTACCCCGAAGACATCTGCCAGAGTTCAATTCATACAAGTTTCAGTGTGATTCAGGGTATTAATTTTAGATCCAGTCAAACGTGTTTATCATCTGAATAATGCATCTATTTTCTCGCATGAAAAGTCTGTCTTGAATTTCAAATTGGATGTTTGATTGCAGTAAATGACTTAATAATCTGAAATCTGTGAATTCTTGCATACAAATCCCCATCCATACATTGTTAGAATGTTCGCAAATTCTACCAGGAAAATGTGTGACTCTGCGTGATTCCATTAATTCAACACGATTCCCATTTTCTGATAAAACTTACCAATTAAGCGAGATGTTTTATAACATTCGCCTGTATTTATCACACAACTCTATTGAGTTTCGTACACAAAATTAGCTAAAAGCGATAGACTCTATTTCATCGTAAACTTTCATCGAAGCTTTCAATCTCATAAAAGCTATTTTAGTCAATTCTATAGTGATAACTTTGCCAAACTTACCACGCAAAGTATTATCTTGCACACATTAGATCAATTTTCAATAGACTTTTCTGTGGAGAATAATGAGGATTTCCTGGAGGCAAAAAACTTTTCCAATGAGAAGTTGCAAAGATAAATATGAGAGGTGCACAAACAATATATCTACTGTGTGGCAGCATTTCCATAATGAATTTTCTCCTTCATGAGAAATTCCTTTTGGCAGTTTTATGCATTTGAAAATGCAACACACCGAAAGCAATCGTCTGCTGAAGAAAGGGGAGGAATTAGTTGCAGAAATATAGTGGAATATTGAATTACGAGCTTCTGTAAGAAAATATCTTGGGAAAAATTCCAACAAGAAAGTTGTTTGCGAAAGTCTCTTGCAATATGAATGGAATTTATCATTAAAAATCTGTGTAGCCTTACAAGCAGCCCTTCAACATCCCTGCATGGACAAATTCTGGGTAAACATCCCCAGAGCTTGACCAGAGAATGATGGCTTTCAACTGTAAGTAAAAATCTGTACACGTGTCGAGTAAGTTAAGGACACTGGCTCTCCTCCTCCGCAAGGAGTCGGCATGCGGATGGAAGAGGGAGAGGTTCGGGCAGAGTGTTGTGGCAAAGTTGGAGGAGAATGGGTATCACTTACCTTGAATGAATGCTGGATACATCACGATGACGAAAAGCCATAAAAGTTGGGTCATTGTTGAGCTGGGGGAGTGAGAGAATCCACAACTTTCCCTTCTCCCCAAGTGGTGGACGACCACCTAAAAAGTCTCTCAAGATGATTCCATGACCGGAAATCCCTTTTATAAAATTTTAACAACACACACTCAAGGGATTTTCCACCCTCTTGTCCTCGCGCGCGCGGATGCTTCACTGGCGTCTCTATGGATTTGACAATGTGAAAATCAACATTGAAGCACGAATGTTAATTGACTTTTCTATATAATATCCGCGCAAGCCACAAATCATCACCAGTTAGAATTGATTCATGCCTCCGCAGGACGCTTTCTGCCTGGGATTGTCTTTGATTGTGCCGGTAATCTCTTGTCTGTCATGGAATATTTAGCTGCTGGATGAAATTTAAATACTCTATGGAAAACGAGGAAAAAGCCGCTTGAGAATAGCACGAGAGACGTAAAACGGATTAAAATCCACGTTCCGAAATACACGATGATGAATGCGAACACAAAAAGAGACACTTTACCACTCTTTTTCACTACTCGGTGTTGTTTTTGGCTGGTTGGAAAAAGACACCACGAGAGAATGGGCAGCGAGTCCCGGGAAGTGATGAATAAACACAAATTCACTCCTCGTGGAAGTCCTTTTTTCTCGAGTGGGTGGAAAACCAGACTTTCACACAACGCACTGTTTGCCAAACACTCCGAAATCCTGTGGCCAGAAAGACCATCTGCTGAGTCCAGCCGGAAAGGACTGTGTTTCGCAATCACAGAGACGCACTTCCTTGCTGGGAATCTTGTGCTCAACTGAGAGTTGCGATGTGTCGACGAGTGTCTCTTTGGAGGGAAAAGATGTCCCCTTCGAATTCACTTTTAGCATGTGCGGATTTTGCGCCGATCTGAGCGCACGCACACACTCTCACGCGCCCTTGCAATCACTGATCCCCTAAAATGTGCGACAGTCCGTCGTGATTCACATGCACAACTTCCGGAGAACCTCTGGAACGGATCTCAGAGGCGACAGAGGCGCCCAGCAGCGACAACAAGCGTAAACCGATAGAGATTTGCCATTAGTGCCATGTGTCCTGAGTGGACGCTTTCTAGAGACTCTCGAGAGAGAGCAGGCAAATCATGATCGCGGTGCACCGAAAGAGGGGACTTCGCGTCTGAAGGGGAATTCGCTGGAGAGGCAATCGATTCCTGTGCACTTCCCAGCAATTCCAGGCACACGCTCACGAGGGATGATTGTCGGAATGGCACATGCGTACACGAGCATTACACCGAAATAGAGGGAAGTCGTGGAGGTGAGATAGTCATCTAATGCTTCCCAGTCACAGTTTGCCAGAGCGAACAGACCGGAGGGAAAAAATACACAACAAACTCCTGTCCCTCTGTGCCGGCATGAACACAGAGAAGGACGCAAAAAGAAGGACATTGTTATTGTGTAATCCAAAGCTTAGGGGATGTTGGATTCCTCTCTGTTGCTTCACACACACTAGCCAGCATGTTATTACTTATTTATCCCACTAATTTACTGTGATTGAACAGAAAGAGGGTTTGGGCTAAAGTCCACATTGAAATTTCATGGATTCTTTCTCTCACACAATTCCGCACTCATTTTCACATTTGATTTCTGCACAGCGGATTTTCAGCGCCGGGATTGAACATTTTCCTGCCGGCATTGCGAATCTCAAGTGTTTCAGGGTTCTGAAAATCCTTGGTAACCACTAATCCTGGCTTAAATGAGTGCGGATTAGGAGAAAATTAAAAATTTCATCGCGAATAAATCTTGTGCCATGAACAAATATTAAAAGTATTCATCGTCATATGTATAGTATATATTAAAGCTCTTTAGCTGAAAAATGATATCAATTTCATCCAGGAAAATTGCTTCAGGCGATGATTTATGCATCGCAAATACTTTGTGTGCCTATGAGAAGGTGTCTGCTTTGTAGTGAGTATTTTTCCACATTCCAAGAAATTATAGTGAACACCTCAATTTCCCATCATTTTCCATGGATATCAATTTATTTCTTCATATTCTGTTGGATCAGGAGCCGCAATCGTCAAAAATATCCTCCAGACTAGACTGGAACATTGTCATTTCTTCGTCGTTCAAGAAGACGTTGAAATACCAAAATCATCCCCGAAAAGGAAATGAAATTTAATGACGTTTCAATTTTCATAAATTCCACCGCAATTACCTCCAATTGTGGAAAATAGCCCACTTCCCCCGCCCCAGCGAATGTGTTTGGCAACGGAAAAATGTCCCCGTCCCTCAGTTGGCACCGGACCATCCTTGTATCCTCGCAGACTGCCGCCCTAATTGGATTTCAAGGGGGAACGGGCGCAGATTGATATTTGATAAATTGGTGACCTGGTTTTCGGCACATTTCCCATCTCTCAGCAAAATGAACTGTTATCATGGAATATCTCATTTGCAGAGCGCGGCACATGAAATGCCAAAGGATTTTCATTTGATGTTTCGCTCGCGTGGCTTCGGCCGAGGATAAAGTATTGTTGAGCCGCACGATTACAACTCCGACAGAGTCAAAGGGATTTTGTGAAAGAGGGAAATTTTGCACATTATAATTAAATTCTCTTTGGCAATTTGACGAGCGAGTGACAAATTCAAGGGAGACGAAAAGCGAGATGGAAAAATTTGATGCACATAGAAAAGGAAAAAAGAGCCGTTTTATGTTTGCGCCACGTGGCGCTAATTCAAGGAGACGTTTTCGCAATAAAGAAAGTATTTTTGTGACTCCTTTTGTGGGTGTTGAGATGTGAGAACAATGAGGAAAAAACGGAAGAAAAATAGTCGATCGTTTCGAAGCTAATAAATAACTAACATACTCACTTAATAATGCCACTTTTATAGCAATGCAAGAGTTTTTGAACATTTTTTTCACTGAATTAAATAACAACATTTGTATCATTTGAGCAACACTTTGACTAATATGGTTTTTGGATGATAAAATTTAAGAACACTCCCAAAAGGAAGCAGGAAAATATTTCAGAGTTCTCGCGCAGCACAATTCTCCCCATAATCTCATCACGGTTTCTGTTTAATCACTGAAATTCACTGACCGCAAACTAGCACAACAAAGCCGGAATATTTCTTTACTCTGTGGCATGATTTGCAATTCGCATCGCCAAAACTTTATTGCAATCAGCCGCTGGCGCCAAAAATCTTCCAGAAACGACAGCCAAGAGTGGGATTTTTCTCTGCAAATCTCAGCGGAAAAGATAATGATATACAGCCCAGCGTTCCCTCGTGACATATTGAATGGTTGCTGCGCTAATTTCATCGGCAATCTCTGGAAAAGCTTCTCTGCAACCCCCAGAAATATTCACAGCCATAAAATCGACTATTTACTGCGTGGTTTGTCTCCTGTTGTGCCACATAGAAAATTGTGGTGTGAGAGAACTGCGAAGCAGGCATTATTTTCGGTATCAAAAATCTCTCCTAATACTCTCACCCTCTCTTGTTCATTTCTTCGATTCGCCTCCTTTTTTTCAGGCCCAAAATAATCCCACGAATCAATATTTTTCTCTCATTAAAATTAATTCCCCTTGACGAATTCCTATTGAACAAACATGGATTGAAGAAGGGGCGGAAGATCTATTGAAAAAGATAAATTTTATTCGTACTATGAGATAGTGTTACGTTTCCTTTTTTCATATATAAATTAAATTTATATCATAGTAATTCCTTTCTTTCACATTAAATCTCTTAATAGAATTTAAGAAGGACATTAATAAATTAAACTTTTCTCTCTTTCTTTCTCTCTCTCTTTATACTCTTGCATCTCTGTGCGTGCGGTGTTTGTCGTGAGCGCGTGCTGACGATAAAATTGGACTGGGATAATCGAAGGGACGCGATGTTCGCCGTTCCGGGATAAAAGTCTCACAAAAGAAGAAAATATATATGTGGAGTATTTGATAAAAGGGACCAAATCAGGACAAAAAAGAAACCTAATCAATTTGGCAGGAGATCAGAGAGAAGCTCCTTCTCGGCCGCGGTCAACTTTTCCGGGAATTTAATATCAAACGCAATGAGAAGGTCGCCCTTGCGATTTGTCTCCTTGGGGAATGGCAGTCCATATCCTTTCACTCTCTTCACCGTGTTCGGCTTGATGACTTCCTGCATTGTGCTAATCCGTATCTTCTCCCCGTCCAACGTGGGAACCTCAAACACGACGCCACACAGTGCCTGCAAACGAGACAGGAACACGGCATTAAGTCGAGAAAAAAGCGACAAGTGCCCAAAAAGAGATAATTCATGTCGCCCAAAACTCAATGCTAATTCAATGGCTCTTCCGAAGGCGTTCAACACACGTTTTTCACCATGTTCGACTCTGTGTGCGATAAATTTATTCTCTTCTTATTTAATTTAACCCTCCCGAAAGAGTGGACCAAAAGAGACAAATAAATAATTTATAGTGTATTAATCATTTGGCCAGAATTTCCTCTCCCGTGGTCTCAAGAGAAGCCAGTTTTCCGGCTCGCAAAAAAACCACGACTCGCAGCCTCAAGCGTGCTTCCTTCGCAATTGCCCAAAATCACGTCTCTGTGTTGGTCGCACTTTTGGCCAGATTGAGTCATACATGAGATTGAATTTCACTGTTAGATCTCGTGTCAATATTTTCTTTATGCCTCGCCAGAGTGGCGTTTTTGCAAGACACCCAATCAATTAGGCGACTGCGAAGCGCTCGATTTTATCCTCACATCCGATTATTTCACATAAACAATAACATATAGTTTAAAGTGGGAAGAATTATTAAATTACGCCCAATATAATGAGTGGATAATTGTCATGTTTAATGTTGGTTTCATTACAACAATTTGGATGTGATCATAAAATTTTGAGCAGAAAATTACTCTTGCAATTAACAAGAATGCAAAATGCATTAAATCCAAACCAAATCAGTGTGTTGACATTTTAAATTGTCAATGTAAATCACTGAACAATTTGAATTGGAAAGAACACTGATGTCAAATTATTCGAGAATAAAACTTCTATACACGCTACTCAAACGATCATTCAAATAATTGAAATCCAATTTTGTGTGTCAAAATTTGAGCACATTGAACGACATTTCTTCAAGATCTTAACGTTCTGTCGTCTCATTATATAGACAATTTCGAATGATTGCGTAGAAGGAGAAGAATCTCAACTGACCTGCTTGAGTGTGAGCCTCGCCGTATATCTAATATCGCTGCCCTCGCGCTTGAAGATCGCGTGCGGTTTATCCCTGATGATGAAGACAATGTCGGCAGGAATCTTTCCGCGTGTCTGGTCGCCCTCCTTCTGGAAAGTCACTCTCGTGCCCGACTTCCAGCCCGGCTTCACGGCTATGCTCACGTACTTCTCCTCGCGCTTCGGCGAGCCGTCGGGCTGCAGGACTCTCCGCGAGATCTTCATCTTCTTCACGCAGCCCTTGTTTATCTCATCCAAGGTGACGTACATGTCGTGCTCAATGGGCGGATCTTGCTGCTTCTCCTTCTTGAGTGGCGTGTGAACATTGAATGAATGTGATCTGGTGTGGAATGAGAGGGAATTTTCGCAACTTTTCACTCTTTTTTCTCTCTCTATAAATAGTCACCTAAATGCTCCGCCTAAGCCGTGTCGTGCACCTAAGCCGAAAGGTGAGAAGAAATCTGTGTCCGTGTCCAGGCTGTCGAACATGCTGTTCTTCTCGAAAAGGTTGTCCGACAGGTCGAAAAAGGCGGCGAAGGGATTGCTGGAGCCGAAGAACTGGGCGAATGTCGCCCGCGGATCCCCATGGAATTGATATGTGAAGTTGTTGGTTGTTGGTCCGCCGCCATTTGACGCTCCTGCTGACGAGAGATCACGGTAAATCACAGACAGAGAGTCAAGAAAACAGATCTACTCACGTCCTTTCAGACCATCCTCGCCGAATTTATCGTACACATCGCGCTTCTTCTTGTCCGACAGCACTTCATAAGCCTCTGCGACCTCCTTGAATCTGTCCTCCGCTCCCGGCGTTTTGTTCTTGTCCGGATGGTATTTGAGCGCCAATTTCCTGTACGCCTTCTTGATGTCCTCATCTGTCGCTCCGCGCTGAATGCCCAAGATCCTATAGTAGTCCTTCCCCATCTTCTACGCTGGCCTCCACCCACTTGCAATGTCCTCCACGCTATTTTCCGCCGGCGCTCTCGCTCTCCCGCCCACTCTCTCTCTGTCTCTGCAAAGCAACCAAAAGGACTCACGCTCAGCATCACACACTTCACAATCGATTAATACTACAAAACTTTTCCATTCGCCGAGCGACAATTGCAAAAAATGTCCCGTGAATAAATTATCGCATTACGAAATGTTGGACGTTTAATGGAAGTCGAGAGTGTGAATGGAAAAAATAGGCCTAAAATCTCGCTGAAGAGACAGGTAAACTGTACATCCAGCATAAATAGACACTATAATTATATTCATTCACTTAAAAGCTAATTTTAAAACTCCTACACATTTTCAGAATAGCCCAATTGTGCTGTGAATGCCGAGAGGAAGATTCAACAGTGATCAAATGAATTATTCTGACATGAAAATTGCACTCTAAAATGCTTCATTGTCAACATTTAAATGACACTATACGAGTAACTTTTGTCACTGTTGATGTAAATCCGCATGGCATTGAATTTTCATGGGGATTTTTGGTGTGCGGTGACATTCAGAAACTTTCCTTTTGCTCCTGCTGTTCAGACATACAAACACACACTGAGAATTTCATTCAATTAGTCACACTCAATTGGGATTCCTCTATAAATAAGAGCATGAACTGTAAGAACAACACCTACACACAGATGGAATGCCATATTTTGGACGTGGACTTAAGACCACCCACTCGAAAACGCTCTTTTTCGTTCTCACTCATCGCAAACGCACGATAGATTCCAATCGCGAAATGTGCTGAGGAAAATTCACAGCTTCCAAGAAACACTGTGTCGCTCTCATACAATATCTATGCGAGATGCTTCCGTGTGACAAACTCGTGGCTTATTGTTTACCATTAAAATTAAGGAAGAATACTTTTGCAATCACCTCCGAACGGAATATGATAGGTCAGTTTCATCGCAAACAATTTCTTCATAAAATGCGTAAAAGAGGAGACACATTCCACGGCAAATCGTGAAAACTTCATCAATTTTCAAGGGAGGGACCGTGAGAGAAAACTTTTTCTGTCTCCCACAAACATAAACTGTTTGTGTCATTTTCCCATACAATTTAATTTCTCAATTTGTAGCGGAAAATGAATCAATTTCCGCCATTCTTTTGTATCTCATTTCATCATTACATCCTCTCTCTCTCATCCCATCGCAGGATGGATGGGGCAATTGAGCAGCCCAATGATGTGTGGCTGAGTGGCCACAAAGCCCAGACAGGCAGTCGGATTGCACAGAGAACAATCGACTCTCAATCCCCTCAATGCACACGATGAGGCGCATTGTCTGCGGAGCTTTCCATTCAAACAATTATTATCGATATCAATACCTTTTGCCGCCGCGATCGCAAAATAATAGTGACGACACATAGTAGAATTTTTCGTGTGTCTGTCTGCGCACACGAGAGAGTTACATCTGAATGGCTTTTGTGAAAACCTTGAGCTAAATATAAATATATGGATTGAATCACACCAGGCGCACACAAAATATTGAGAGAGATACAGCCGAGAGAAAGAATCTCCCTCTCGATCGCGAGACTCTTTCTTCTCCTTCATCATCATCTTCCAAACCTCCTTGGCCACATTTAAATTGCACTGGTGCGCGCACGCATGAGTCGCGCGCGCGTCTTGTCCAGCAAACCCCGCACCGAAAATGGCCAGAAAATTACTGCCGACGTATTGGTGGTGAGCTAATACAAATAATCACAGAAAATCCCTCAGTTTCTTTTTCGTGAAACTCCACGGCAAATCAACGAGTCACAACTCTTGCAATCAAGCGACAACTCGCGCGACCATTTAATGTTTATTATTATTACTAATGTTTTTAGGCAAAATGCCATTTTCGACGGCCAATATTCATTAGAAATAAACAGCATTTCCAAATCCAAACTTAAGGGGGTTCTCTGTTTCGTTTCAGACAGTGTTTTGCTTGTGAGGTTGATGTTTTCAACTAACTACGGCTTCTGCTAACAGCCTATACTGGCCATGAATTTAAGGAAAGAAGTAATAGACGCTAAAAAATAATGATTCAGAAATCTACGTGTTTGAAATAAATTCCATTGCTTTAAGATATTATGTAGCCCTAAATTATTTTAAGGCTGTCAAAATTCTTTATTATTTTGGCAACTCAAACTCCCGAATAGAGCGATTAATAAAAGTTCTCTCTCGATATTTATAATAATATCTCAAACTTTTTATCTTCCACTGTCAGTCAGAGAATCACGTTCCTCAGAAGCCGGGTCTGGTTATCGGTGAATTTTTAAAATACATATTTCTTCCATCCTCGCCACAAGCTCATTTTCACGATCTCCTTATAACACTCTTCTCTGTGCGTCCAATTTCTCGCAAGTGAGAGGGAGCGAAAAGAACGTGTGTGTGCGACTCACGGCTGATCGCAGATCGGCGGTTCTACACTCATGAGAAGGAGGAGGAAAAATATTCGCCAAACACCTCCATATAAGTCCAAACTATGCACAGCGCTACCGAAGTCAAGTGGTTCGCTTTAAGCGCAACCTCTTTTTTTAAAGATCTCTCTCTCTCTCTCTCTCCATTTTACCTTCACAGATGATCGCTGACGATATTGGATGGAAAACGCGCACAGATCACACACTTCCCAAATGGAATCCTCTCAGTGTGTCTCTTGATAAGCCCTATTTGAGCTGCCTTGTGTCCAGCACGCGATCACTCAAGCACGATCGTGGAGCTTCTTTGACAAATTCACAAGGATTTTGCACACAGAAAAAACACAGAGAGATAGATGGGGAATTGTGTAAGAAAGTCAAATATATCGGTGTGTCATGATTATTTATTCCTTTCTGCAACTTCTGCCGCGAAGAAAAGTCACACTGAACCACGAATTCACGTCAAGTCGCGACACACAACGCGCAATATAACTTCGCACGCACACACAGTCTTGGCAAAGTCAAAAGGAACAACAAGCAAGAGATATCAATCAATTTTCCGTGCGACACATCAACAATCACGCTTGGAAAATCGATCGAGAGGAGAAAGAGAGGAAAATGGGCGATGATCACCCAAGGCGGTCAGAGTACTTCTGTCGCGGATGCCACAATGAACGAGACTACGAAGCCACACAGCTCTCCCACCCGTGTCCAAATGAGATAATCGCGCGCGAGATGATGATCGTGAGTTGAATTTCGCGTCGCGCAGCCGATGTCAGATCAATACATCGGCCCTCTTCTCCCACACTATAAATAGCCGGCGACAATTTGGCAACACAAAGACTCTGTATGTGAAGATCTGTGAGACTCACCAGCAAGATCCTTCCATTGAAGGTCTCTTCAGCGTCTGTCTTCAGCGACGGAGGCGGAGAAAGAAGGCATGACGACTCTCTGTGGACTCCCACGGAAGGTACTTGTCGTAGAAGTCGAGAATCATCTCCTCGATTTTGAAGCCAAACTTCTGGTACAGAAACACAGCGCTGTTCGTCGCGGAAACGTGTAGTGTGATGTCCTTCTCGGGACACGTCTGGGTGAGATGATAGAGCATAAAGGAGCCAATTCCTGCTTTCTGCCAGCCAGAACGAACGGCCATGAAGCTGATGTAGGCCTCATTATGACCGACATCCGGCACGAGGAAAGCGCAGCCGACGATCAGTTGTTTGTACAGCGCAATCACGCTGAAATCCGGATACATGAGGCACTCGGCCACTGGAAAAGAAGCGAAAATCATTGGGAAATCAAGTCAAGAATGGTATAATTCAAACTCACTGTCAATTGTGGGCCAGAAGAGCCTCTGTAGCAGCGAATTCACAGCTGGAATGTGATGAGGGCGAACGTAGCAGTAATCAATGGGCGCTCGTGATGGAATTTTACCATCATTCACAGTGAATTGCAGCTCACTCATCACGCGCACCCATTGAGGCAGTGACACGGAATCCCTGTAGATGAACGGCTGCAGAAGTCTGCCTGTGTATGGCGACTTTAAGAGTTCGTGCTGCACATTGCCAACGAGACGAGTGGAAAATTTCACATCTTCCATGCCTGACAATCTTCCAGTGCAGGTTAATTGATGAAAACGATCCAGAATCACTCTCGGCTTCTTTGACTCCTCACTTTCCGGAAAAGTGTCGATATTGTGCAATGGTTTGAAGAATTTCCTCTTCTCTTGCCTCACTGAAAGCTTCCTGTAGAATCTTCTGATGTCTTCTGGCACGTCTTCAGGTGCTTTCCTCTTAATGATGTCCCTGAGTTGTTTCAGCATTTCACCTTCTTCATATTCACTCATCATATCGGAAGTTTCCTCGAATTCTGAGAAGTTTTCTTCCTCCTTCATGATGGGTGAATTTGGCTTCTTTGAAGCTGTGAAGAGACTCTTTGGCACCTTGGAGGGATAGAAGGGATACTTGTAATCTGTAGCAGGTGTTGCAGTCTCCTCTGTATCATTCTGCTCTGATATTTCCTCCCAAGTGAAGAAGAAATCTTCTTCCAGGTTTTCCAAAGATGAAATGTCAGGCATTTCTTCAGTTGAGAATGCCTCTGAAAGAGGATCAATAAAGTCTTCTATGATAAGTTCTTCAGTCTTAATGTTTCTCATGGGGAATTTTTCGTCTTCCACCTCTTCCATCTCCTCCTCAACCTCCTCTTCAACCTCCATTTTAACCGTCCTGCTAACCTCCGGTGGTGGCAATGACTGAGAAAATGCGGCTTTCTTCATGAAAGACTGTTTCTGTTTCTGATATTCCTCATCTGCAAGTGAAAGACACAAAAATAGAGAGGAATTGTCATTTCCCAGAATGTGCAGAACTTACAGTGATAGAAATATGACAAGGGAGTCTCACTCCTGGTTAGCTTCCACCATCCATTGCTGCCCAACTCGTCAGTTCCGGACTGAAAGAACAGTCGATTGAAATGCGACAGAGTTCCAGCCACACTTCCCACCCAATTCTTCTTCCGTTTGCTGTAAGAAGAGACATCACAGTCAGAAACAGTCAGAAATCTCGGGAAATATTCGTGAGATGCCTTACAAATCCGGTGGGAAGAAGTACACCCAGTTCTTGGCCACAAAGTTGGAGATGTGAATCTTGTAGTGATAGTAGCCGTAATTCCCTAATCCGGGAGACGTTATCGTCAAATTGTGTATCACCAGCACCAACACCATGATCCAAGGCAGCTTCCTTCGCGTGAAAATGTCTTTGTTTTGCGGAAAATTGCACTGAGAGCAGATCATATCGAAGAAAACATCTCCATGAAAGTCGCCTGGAGTTCCGAATTCTAAGCACTGTTTGTGGATGCTTCTTTCACATCTTTCACACTTGAGCCACTCACTATCAATCACACTCTGTTGGCATTTGGTGCAAGGATCTATTGGAGGCATAATGCCAGAGAATTTTCACCAATTTTCACTGAATTTCGGTCTGTTTTCTAGGTAAAAACACGTGTGTTTGACAATCACGCACAGTAAAATGTAAACATGCCTCTCAGCGCTTCAAGTGGTCAATGCGTGAAGTGTTTTCGGCGGGAAATGTGAAATCTCAATTTCCCCCAAAAATGCACATCATCGCTGCTGGGGTCATTCGTTTCTCCCGTTCTCCAGTCAGCTTTAGACTTGTCGCGACCGCTCACAGAGAGAGATTAGAGGCACGAACAGACAGTGGCAAAAACCTCCAAGTTCAGTGCAAAGTGAAAGGATTTCTTGTAGTTTTCTTGTGACTTGAGGGCGCTGGTGTCCATTGTCAGGTTGTCAGGTTCTCTGGAGTGACCAACTTGTTGATTTCCTACGTTTCCTGGCATTTCTTGGAGTCTCTCGAACTTTCCCACGATGGCTGGACGCGTGGTGGTTTACGGTGGCCGCGGAGCGTTGGGCAACGCGTGCGTGCAGCACTTCAAGAAGAACAATTGGGTGAGTCCTTGACCCGCATCGCGGTCCATGACTGGAGACTGATGCGCTTTTCCCGTTCTTCCAGTGGGTGCTGAGCATCGACATGGCGCCCAATGAGACGGCCGACCACAATATCCTCGTGGAACGGGATGACACGTGGGCGGATCAGGAGAAGGCGGTGCTGTCTCAAGTGGGCAGCGCCCTGAACGACTCCAAGGTCGACGCTGTAATCTGCGTGGCCGGCGGCTGGGCTGGCGGCAATGCCGCCAAGGATCTGGCCAAGAACAGCGACCTAATGTGGCGCCAGAGCGTCTGGACGTCCGCCATCTCCGCCGCCATCGGCGCGAACTATCTCAAGCCAGGAGGAGTGCTGAGCCTGACAGGCGCGAAGCCCGCTCTGGCCGCCACTCCCGGCATGATAGGCTACGGCATGGCCAAGGCCGCTGTTCACCAGCTCACAAAGTCCCTGGCCGGCAAGGACTCTGGTCTGCCGGATGATTCTCTGGTCGTGGCCATCCTGCCTGTGACTCTGGACACGCCCATGAACCGCAAGTGGATGCCCAAGGCGGACTTCAACACCTGGACACCGCTGGAGTTTGTGGCGGAGCTCTTCTTCAAGTGGACCAAGGGCGAGGAGCGCCCTGCCAGCGGCAGTCTTCTGCAGCTCATCACCCAGGACGCGGTCACGAAGCTCGTGCCGTCCGAATGAATCTCAGCATCGACCAGGCATTCCGGGGAAGACAATAAGCCGCTCGCATTGTACTCGAAGTGTTGAAAACACTCACCAGTAATGGATTAAACATGTTATTTGTCGTAGCAGTATTTCGGGCATGGCGTTATCACTAATCCGGTCACAAATCTCACACATTAACAGTTGACTCTTGGCCTGCGAGTCAGGCGCAGTGCGAGAACGAGGGAAGCTGACCAAGGTGGAGTGAGTCGAGCGAATGGTGTACTTTATCTCTCATGAAATCCATGGAATGATGTGAAGGTTTCGCACGCCACGATGTTGCTTGGGAATTCTTGCATGAGTCAAGAAATATTTCCCCCTTTCCACGATCAGTTCCAAGATCAGTTCAATGTTTCTTCTTAGCACATTGCGGACTTTTTCTTTTTATTCTCTTACAAAAGTGGCATTGAAATAAAATGAGGTGAAACTGGGTCAAATTGCAGTGCTTCCAAATAATTCCACTGACGGTTTTCGATTAAATTCAAGTTTAATTTCACAATTTCTCTTACTCTCCACAATTCAATAATCTTGTTTTAGTTATTTCATTCGACAGAGTGCGTTAAATTACTAAATATTCTTCTATGGTGTTGCGATCCTTCACTGTACCGATTATCTCTCTCTGGATCCATAATTTTCTCACTTGTTTAAACGTTATAAATAACAATGATCGTCACACAATCGCGTCAAGCACAGTGTCTGCCGGACAAGGAAAAGGAAAAATCATGAGCATTGATAATGAGAAGAACGGCAAAAGCGTGCTCGAGACACCAGAGCGGAAGCTAGAGAAGGGGAGAAAAGTGCTTGGCAGACACTCTGATTGATGGAATCTTGTGACAAATACCCACTGAGATGGTCGAGCACCTTTCCTGAGACGCTCTGTGGAGTGTGCGGCCGGTGAGACATCCCGCCTTACACCAGCTCCAGGCGCTTCATTTCCTTGAACAGTTCCTTTCCCATCTGAGCCGGACTGCGCGTAACGATAACGCCGGCCTTCTCCAGAGCGTTGATCTTGTCCTGCGCTCCACCCTTTCCGCCCGAGATGATGGCTCCCGCGTGTCCCATTCGACGCCCAGGCGGCGCCGTGAGACCCGCGATGAAAGACACCACGGGTTTCGCCTTGATGCCCTGCAAGAACGGGAGGAAAAAGTCAATTCTGTTCCCAAATTCAGCACACAAATTCCCATAACAGCGCACCTGATTGTGCTCGAGCAAAAACTCTGCGGCCTTCTCCTCGGCCACGCCGCCGATTTCGCCGATCAGGACGATGCCCTTTGTCTCGGGATCCTTGAGGAAGATGCTGAGGCAGTCAATGAAATCAGTGCCGTTGAAGGGATCGCCGCCGATGCCCACGCACAGCGTCTGTCCCAAGCCCACCTCGGTCGTCTGGTTGACGGCCTCGTACGTGAGCGTGCCGGAACGTGACACGACGCCAACGCAGCCCTGTTGGTGAATGTGGCCGGGCATGATGCCGATCTTGCAGCGATCCGGCGCAATGATGCCCGGACAATTGGGGCCCACGAGGCGCGATTTGTCCTGCCTGAGCAGGGCGTGCTTCACGCGCACCATGTCCTGCTGCGGGATGCCCTCCGTGATGCACACGATCAAAGGAATCTCCGCCTCCAGAGCCTCGAAGATCGCCTTGGCGGCGTGCGGCGGAGGCACGTAGATTACAGTAGCCTCGCAGTTCGTCGCATCCTTGGCCTCCTTGACCTGCAGAAGCGAAAAAATGGGAGATTGTCCAGAGGCGAAGCGAATTGGAAGCCAATAGGAAGACTCACAGTGTTGAAGATGGGCAGATTCAGGTGAGTTTTGCCTCCTTTCCCCGGCGACACGCCGCCGACCATCTTTGTGCCATACTCGATGGCCTGCTTGCCGTGGAAGCTGCCCTGCTTGCCGGTGAAGCCCTGACAGATGACTCGTGTCTCCGCCGTGAGGATGAGGTTCTTCCGGGTGGCGTGGTATACACTGCTGAACCGCACTCCAGGCAGAATGAGGTTATCTGCGAGAGAACAAATCACTGTGACTATAAAAATAGACACTCTGTTTACATTGTTGTCAATTGCGAAGGGAGAAGATGAGGCATCGCACAGCAGAGTGACAAGGTCATCAATTAAAGACCGCAATCAGGCATTATCAGCTCTCGCCACTCCCGGAATCTCGACTCCAGCATCTCTGCACTGAAAAGCGCTAAAACGCCCTGCCTGAGGAGATGGACAGTGTCTGGAGTGTCTCTCCAGAAGTTGAGAAATCCTCGAAATGTCCTCGTGTGTGCTGTAGTTTCCTCAACAGAGTCACTGAGTCACACATTCCCGGAAAGGCGACTTCAAGTCATGGGTGCAAAATGACAATTGTCCAAATTTTCACACGACGATTACATAATGAAAAGTACCTTTAACTCTAGCGAAAATCCGTGCAGTGGCAGCCATGGCCTCTCAACTTGATCACTGATCTACTGCACAAGTGTCCACAGACCGGGGAAGATGGATAGTTTGGCTTTTCTGCCCGCAGGAGGGAAACACACAATTTTCGCCTGCACTTTGCCTCTCCGGAGATGAAGAGCGATGACGGCAGTGACTGCAGAGCCCTCTGCCAGCAATTACTGCCAAACGTGTAATCATTGAATTTATTCGAATTCCAATTGCGCCAATATTGCGTAAATTATTTTTACATTTTCTTCTATCTACAGCACACACTCTTGAGATGGGATTAATTACTCGCTAAATAAATATCAATGGCGATCCTACGGATGTGCGATGAAATGCTCAATTTGTCTTCTTCTGCTCGCCACTCACAATGGCCTTCTTGATGGGATTTTCCTTGCACTCTCTGAAGAGATTGTTCAGATCGAAGGCCGCCTTCACGTTGTCCTCGGAAAAGAAGAACTTCTGCAGCTTCCCATGAGCATCGGCATTGGGGCGCCGCGAGGCCTCCTTGCCGTTGCGGAAGAGAATCACTGTGGGCAGTTGACGACTGAGTGAACTGTCGGACACGTGGAACTTCTTGCCGGCCTCCGGGAAGCGGCCCAAGTCCACCTTTCCGAACTTGAGATTGTCCAGATGATACTCCGACGAAAGCTGCGAGAAGACAGGCGCGAAGTTCACACAAGCCGGATTCCAGACCGTGTAGAATTCCACGACCCACGACACTCGCTTGTCCCTCTCCAACTCCTCTTCCAGCGTCTGCAGGCCACGGAAGTAGATCACATTCTCGGGGCCAGAGTACGTGGGCTCTGGCAGGATGAGCGCCAGCAGGATAAACACGGCGCCGAAGGTGATTCCGTAGCGGAAGTCGCTGTAGAACCACAGAATCAGATTCGCGAACTTCGTGTACATAAAGGAGGACGTCAAGTAGTTGATCATCGTCACGCTACCCGCCTTCCGCGTGCGGATCATCACCACGATGAGCAGGAAGAACAGGATTTCCGTCTCCCGGCCGTCCAGCTCACACTGATCGGTCTGGTCGAAGAGAATCGTGCAGACATACGGCGCCCGCTTCGCAATGATGTAAGACACACTGAGCAGGATGTTCACCCAGTAGTAGGGCTTCAGCAGCAACACCAAGTCCTTCTTCAGCGACATCGTGACCCAGAAAAAGCACTGATTAGCGAAATTACTGCGCCCACGGGTGTTTTTCTTCCCTTGACAACTGCTCGATTTCTCCAAAATCCCGCAAGACTGCGCTGTCGCTATTCCCGCTCAAATCGCTGAAACAACCATGAAATACCAGTGTTGCAGAAAAGCCAAATTGCCTAGAAAAACTTATTTTATTGCTAAATCATGAATTGCGTGAGATACAAATAATATTGTCTTAGCCATTATTATTACTGATTTTTCAAAAAGTTCACAATAGAAAAAAATGAAAAACAACCATAAGAACATCTGAAAAGAACCTTTAATTCTACTTATCTAACCTTAAGTACTACAAATTGTCATTGGAAGACGCGGAAAACTAACTAATTTTCAATATTTTACCCATTGTCGCAACCTTCCTAAATATATTCTGAAAACCTATCCGTAAAAAACTGTCGTTGTCGCTTAAAATGATTGTGAAAGTCATTTTTTCTCAAATGTTAACATGAATCAGTGGCTCTTGTTATTGAAAAGGCACACGCGGTGTTGATTTGAAGCCTCTGGAAATGAGCGGCACCACCTCAGGCGCTTGCTTTCCGCGGGTCTCAGGCAAGTAGAAGAAGAGCAGCAGAACGAGGAGGAAACACACGACGACGAAGGGGAGAAAGACCCAAGCGCCCCACAAAGATTGGAGAATCGGGAAGGAAATGCCCACAACGAAGTTTCCCGCCCATGAGGCCAGAGAGCCCAGAGACATGATCGCAGCACGCGCCGAGACGTCGCACAATTCCGAGCCGATGAAGTACGGAATCGGTCCCAAGCCGACTTGGTAGCAGAGAATATAGAGCAGAACACAGGCTATGCAAGCGTAGGCAAGCCACGAAGCGTAATCCTGCAAAGGAGAAAATACATTTTTATTTGATATAATGGAAGGGAACACAAGCCCTGGAAAACTCCTCAGTACATCGCAGTAGAGGAAGGAAAAATCCATGTGGAAAACCATTTATTTACCACAGCTTGTCTTCAAAATCTTGTCCATTTGAACAGAACAATAAGACAGAGAATGCTTAAATGCAGCTGAGATCGCACGATCGACGGCACCTTCTGAAATATAATCTAATTCGTTTATTTCACATCTCAAGAGGCTTCGACTTGAACCCTTTCGCCACAAGCAGAGCAACGTCGGACGCCTGCTTCCCTCTGGTCTCCGGCAAGTAGACGTAAATCAGCGCGATCAGGAGAATGCAAGTAACGACGAAGGGGAGAAACACCCAAGCGCCCCAGAGAGTCTGCAAAATGGGAAAGGAAATGCCCACGACGAAGTTTCCCGCCCAATTGGCCAGGGAACCCAGCGCCATGATGGCAGCGCGATGAGAGACGCCGCACAGCTCAGAGCCCAGGAAGAAGGGAATCGGTCCCAGGCCGATGGCGAATAGCAGAATGTAGAGCAGAACGCACGTTATACATGCGTAGGCCATCCACGAGGCGAAGTCCTGGAAGGACGTGGCAAAAAAACTCATCTCACAGCTTCGAACAACACAGAAAAACGAACACATTCACGCTGCTGACGATGTACTGAGGAGTTAATAAGGCACGCGACGATGGTTAGTAAACTCCGCCTGAAAACAAAATCTGTACTCACGATGTAGTTGACGACGAAGGTGAGGATGAAGAGGAAGATTCCGCTGCCCAGGCACGAGATCAGACTGATTGGGCGTCTGTTGAAGTGCTTCATGAGGAGCGGCGTGAAGAAGGCCGTGGCAAGATTCAAACAGCCAGCGCCCAGGTTCGCCCACTTGGCGTTGGTCGAGCTGAGTCCGGCCGACTCAAAGATCGAGACGGAGTAATAGAAGACAGCATTGATTCCGGACAATTGCTGTCCTCCTTGCAAGGCACACACCAGCACAATCGGCAGCAGAAGTGCCGGATCACAGATCACAGACTTCACAGAGCGCGTGTCGGACTTCTCTACGAGTTCCTGGTTCATCTCCTCCAGTTCGCACTGCACAAAGCTCGGATCGTTGCCGCGAAGACGCAGCAGAACTGGAAATGAACAGGAAGCAACAAAAGATCAATTAAGGCCAAGAAAGAGCAGAAGTTGTGAATGTTTCTTCACCATTCTTCGCCTCGTCCTTCCTGTTCGCTGTCAGGTAGAGATATTTGGGACTCTCAGGCCACCAGGGAGCCGCCAAGAAGCAGATAATGACGAGCACCACATAGAAGGACAGCGCCCAGTGCCACAGCTCATCCGTGCCGAAGATCTCTTGCAAGCTGAATACCTGGCCAACGACGACGCCCCCGGTGACGCCGATCGAGCAGAACACGCCCAGAGTACCGCGCAACGCGAGCGGTGCCAGCTCCAGCAAGTACATGGGCAGCGTGGCGGTCGTCAATCCAGACGCGAAACCCACGATCAGTCGGCCAATTATTAGCATTTCCACGGAATTTGCCGCGCGACAAAATATGAAAAATATCGCGGCGAGCACGAAGAGAGCGCCGCACACTAATAAGGACTTTTTCCTGAGAAAAGAGAAGAAAACACACATTATTATTTCATTCAGAGAAGCGACAAATAACCCAATAAAACTCCCTATCAAACTGATAATTGTCTCAGGAGATAACTCGCAGGCTTCATTACCTGCCAAGATTATCCGCAATCCAAGCGCCACCGAGAGATCCTGCACAGCCGCCGATCAGGAAGACAGATACTATCGATGCCCAGAGGATGTCCAGGCTGTTATCAGTCAGCGTCACGCCGTAGCGCTCCAAGAAGCTGGCGTTACACCAACTCCTCATGTACTGTGCGGAAGAGATAAGGTGAATGTCGGACTACAGCTTCCGGACACGCGATACTGACCTCAGCGGGAGCATTCACAACGCCTATTGTGTAACCCACAGGAACGGCTGTCCCGAAAGTGGTGCTTAAGGCCACAACCATCAGCAAGAAGCCCATCTTCTCCACCTGCAAAGATATCACACGTGAGTTGTTGCGCTGCCCGGAAAAGGCTCGGCTTACTTCATTGAAGCGAGATTGCTCCGACTGGGGACTCGGAGGCAAGAAGGAGGCCTTCTGTTCAGACATCGCGAGAGCTTTCCTAAGGACAACCTGAGATCCTAACTATACCCGAATTGCACAACCGATCGCACTTGTACGCTCACAAATCGCCAGCTATTATCGGCACAGTCCTATTCCATTTTTCTTTTATACAACGACCAAAGTCTCTGCGATAAAGAGCACGAAAGACAACCAAAGGGATTTATCTTGCTTCGAGAGGCCGTTCTGACAATCATAAGCCACGTGGTCCTCAATAGCTTGTGAGCAATTGGGATTCTCTCGCACAACAAAAAGACTCCGACTTCCCAAATTCCAGAACTTGCTAATTTTGTACGTGTTTTTGGCCTTTGCTGACTTAGCGAATGCAAATTTTCGCGTTATGCAACAACCATATAATTGCGCTGCGTTAATTATAGATGATTTGCGTGTGAGAGTCTGTTCCTAACGATTACAATATCTGCGACATCTTGAAACCGCAAAGACACTGCGATGAACACAAGAAAGCGCCAGAAGAGTGCACTGTTTGCAAAGAGATTTCAATCATACGAAAAGTGCAAATACTAGAGGATTTTCACTGATTTCCCAGCCAGTTTTCACTCCCTATTAATCTAGAGGATGTCTTTTGTGCGCTGTTGAGCCAAACCATAAATTCATCAAAGAATTAGTGGAAGTTTCGCGTAAATCACTTCTGTTGCAAAATAAATTGCTTCGCCATTACACTTAACATTCAACACTTCCTCACACATAATTGCATGCACTGTGCTCTCAATTCCCATACATTTCACGGTATATTGCTCTGGGTTGAAAGAGAAATTGAATATATTTCAGCTATTTTTTATTCACCGGTCGCGCGCATTGGATTTTCCTCTTCACCACTGTCAGCGCCTCTGACGGAAAACATCAGCAAGAACTGGGAAACCAATCAATTGTTGATGACGTAACACTCCGAGACAGCACAACACTGCAAATGTCAACAACACTGCGTCGTGTTCCTAGAAGATTTTAGTGATAAAAATCGTGTGAAATGGCAATCGAATTGCTGGATATTTTGTCAACATCGACAGTCATCTCGACAATCCTCCAGTTCTTGTCGGGGATTCTCGTTTGCCGGAAGTGCATGCAGAGGAAATCGACAGAGAATGTTTCCGCTATGCCCTTCATATCCGGATTCCTTTCGTAAGCCTGCCCCTTGTCTTTAGAGCCCCTGAAAGCCTGTGCTAATTGTTTGTTTTGCCTTGCAGATGCAGTCTGTGGCTAAAGTATGGTCTCTTGACCAGTGAAGCGTCAGTGGTTCTAGTCAATATTGCCGGAACATGCCTTATGTTCGGCTACACTGTCATCTTTTACGTCCTCTCTACTAATAAGAAGGTGATTCTGCGACAATTCGCCACAGTTCTGCTCATTCTTGTATCTGTGGTGGCCTACACACAGTACGAAATCGAATTATCAAGATCAGTGGAAGTTTTAGGTGAGTTATGTGTGATAACAGCAATCTAAGTGCGTCACTATCAACCCCATTATCAGGCACAAATTGCCTCCTTGCGTAATGTATCTTTACATTTTCTTTATCGCTACGATTGTTCTACTTTCGGTTGTGATTTTCTATTTATTTGCACTTGCACTGGAAAAGCAATGTATATATCTAATCAGTGCGGTATTTAATTAGCATTTGTTGGGTTTTGAACATGTGAACATGTCAAATGTACCACGCGGCATTCTTCTTCTTCTTATTCGAGAGGACTTTAAAGTCACACCGGTTTATTGTTTACCTTTCTTTTCTTGTTGATAAAAGCAAACAGAGTTTGTGTAATATTTCTGGTGCTGCATGATTATTATGGCTAGTTCGTCAACTATGTTGTTAAATATTGTGGCAGTGTGCAGAGTTTGTGAGGCAAAGGAAAATCTCATTGATTTAACTGCGAACGCGTTTAGTCACTTGCAGAAAAAGCTTCAGAAACTCATTCAATTTGAGGTAAAGCACTTAATATTATCTTTTCACGTTATTTCCCACTAAAACATAATAATTTTAGGATATGCACAACTGGTTGTGCTTTATCTGCATTTCCTGCTCAGAGAGACTGGAAATGGCCTATAACTTTATGATTCAATACGAGGAAACCAGTAAGAAACTCATTGACCAATTGGAAAATCAAAGCTTTTCATATTGCGCGGAAGGATATGAGGAGGAAGATGTCATTGAGGAATGTCCAGAGATTGTTTTCGTACCTGCTTACACCGACAATGAGGAAAGCTGTGAAAATGAAAACGTAGAACCAGAGGAATTCACGACGATTTTTGGAGGGCATTCAAATTCTTTTGTATGCGAAATGTGTGATGCTGAATTCGTCACAGAAAGAGCCCTCAAATCACATATAGAAGATCATCAGAAAGTTGTTCTGGGAAAGCGAAAGCAAAGCGCATCGACTGGAAAATTCCCGTGTGTCATCTGCAAAAGGACTTTCGCGACGCAGGAGTATCTCGCCATACACAGGAATAACTTTCAAGACGACCCGAAGGGCTGTTCAGTAGGCGTGTTGCCTTTTAAGTGTGCGAACTGCGAGAGGCGCTTCGCAAGCAACATCGATCTGAAGGCGCATATGAGAAGTCATGTATTGATATACTCATGCTACCTTTGCACTCAAAAATTCGAGCGATATTCTCAGCTGAATAAGCACATGGATCAGCATTCTGCTGGCGCCAATGACACAAAATATGACTGCAAATATTGTGGGGCCTTTTTCGAAGATATTGGCAATCTGAGGACTCATACATGTCTTCACACCTCTATAAAACTTCCTTTATAACAAAGATGCCAAGGTTTTGTTCGTCTGATAAAGTTCCTAGAAAGATCAGCGAAGCTGAGACGCTCAAAAACAAGTCCTGCGGGTTCCAAAGCGCCTTGTGAATTCAAGCAAATGATGGGAGAAAGTGAATTTGGATTTATGGCAGTAATTTCATTTGCATTTCAACTCTTGGGACGAGTAGAAATGTGAAGAAAAATATTGTTTTTCATTCAAGTTTAATGAGACAATAAAAGTAAAAACTTTACAGGAGTATTTTTAAGGACGAAATAAAAACTGTCAATATAAAAGTGCAAAGGGTTTTTATTCTATTCAGCATTCTTAAAATTGCTTTAAAAAAATTAGCCTGAAACGAGTAAAGCAAACAAATTCAGATCTTCATCTATAAATTTCCATTTCTTCAGCGATTGTATTAATTATATTTACAGAAGCGATACAAATCCCCCTTTAGTCAAGGCATATTTTTATTTATTTGATACCCAAAATGAGGTGTGAATTCACTCAATCCCCTTTTCTTGTCGATGTTTCTTTTTAGGTATTATTTGCTGCACCGTGACTGTATTCTTCTTCGCAGCCCCTCTCACAATGCTGCTTCATGTGATAAGAGTCAAGAACTCCGATAGTCTTCCCTTTCCCATGATCCTCTCCTCTTTCTTTGTCTGTCTCCAGTGGTTTATCTATGGCGTGATCATTCAGGACACCTTCATTCAGGTAAGGAAGATAGACTTTCAGGCCGCTTCTCTTCGGTGTGCTCAATCGATTGATGCTCTCCCTTTGGCAGATACCGAATTTCTTGGGGTGCGTTCTCACCGTGCTGCAACTGTCGCTGTTTCTCATCTACCCGGGAAAGAGCTCGAGTGGGCCATCGTACAAACTGCTCGATTCGAGCGTCACAATGTCTTAAGGACGTTAGAGATGCAAATGGTTAATCGCTATGACAGGTATTCACAGTCAGTATCAAAGGAAATATCTGTGTATTAAATATGATCAAAAGACTTGAATATGAAAATATGTGCGCTTTCTTTGAGGGTGGACTTGATTTTCCCACGAAAAGGAGGTCTTATTTGAATGCGATGTCAGCAATTTTTCCAAAGACAAAGACGAGTGCGAGGTGAAAAATTGTAATTACAAAAAGACTCTTCTCACAATTATTCCGCTTTAGCGCAGGAAAGAGAAATGTGTAACATGAAGAATCTGACGAGGGTCTTTTGCGCACCGTCAGAATATTTTAATTATTCCAGAAAGACATGGAGAATTTGCTGTTAATATAGAGCAGAATCTGCTTAAAGATAAATAGTCTATTTAGTTTTATGAGCTTAATCATAATCATAATCAGAACTTCACTCCCCGGCATTCTGCTTGGCATTTTGTCTGTAGCAGCGAAATGTTTCCCTGAATCCCTCATCAATGCGAAAGAGCTTGATTGCAATGCCTACATTGAACACCCCTTTTTTACCCAACATGCATAAACACTCTTGCAGCCGTTGATGAAAGTCAGCCGCGCCATTGTTTCATCCCACTTTTCATGCCGTGCGGAAAGGGTGAAAGTCCGGGAGGTGGAATTTGAAGTGGTTTTTCATGTTTGTCGGGAAGATCATCTCTCTCTCGAGAGAGAGAACGCGTTCTAGAGCGGGTCTGCGTTCTGTATTTGGGCAGCACTTTGGGGGGAGAGATAAGATGATTTGACTCTTGGCGGAAGATGCACTTGAGGAAACGATGACGCCAGATGAAAGAGTGAATTTGAAAGCATTCCCCTCAGACAACGCTTTCAATTGAAACACTCCCCTCCTCACGAGCTGACGCGGCCTGAGACTCAGCGCGAGTCTCGCAGAGCGATTCAGTTTGTGCTGCGGCGCCGTTGGAAGCGAGTGCGTTGGATGAGTGCCTGTGCGACGATCGGTGGTTGTTTGTTGTGCGAGAGGAGAAAACGATGGTTCCGATAGTGGCAGATGTTTCAAGTGGTTTCGGCGGATTTTGATGTGATTTGCCTCCGACGCTTGTGTGTGGTGTTCATCGGGAACGGCAGCAACAAGGCGATTAACAGCGGAGTGGATACAAACAATGGGAATTCTGCGGTTTCCCTCTGCAGCACAGATAAAAGAGAGACACTGCAATAGTGAGAATCACACGCAGGGGTGATAGAATTGTGGCTGGGAAGCGCAATTATTCCTCCTCAATTAAGGTGTGTTCTGTGTGTGACATATATACCATTGCGTTTATTAAGTAATAACCCAGCATCCCACGGATCTGATGGATTCTGCAGGAGGCGGATGCAAAAATACATTTGCCATGTTATGCAAAATAGTCACATTCCAGCGCGATCGCGCGCAGTTCAATGGACATTTTCATTGATCATGATCTCTTGTGCCAATTCCAATTGTTTTCCGCGCGACACAATCACTTGAATGAATCGAGAACGCACTCTAAGAGACAAGAGATGGAAGCGAGATTGTAGGCAATTCTGGCGATCATGTGCTTGAGCGAATGCGCGAAGGGGCAAAAAAGACCTTAACCTCTTGAATTTATTCCACAAAATTGTATAGGGAAGATCACAATCTTCGTCATTCTCATAGTCGCAGACGCGCCATCAAGATAAATCTGACTCTGGAGAGTAGCTAGAGATTAACACAGAAAAAACATCTTGTGATACAACGTCTTGACCGAAAGTTTCCCAGTGAGAATTTCCTAATGACACGAAAATTGTTGGTTTTTACGTATGGAATTCTAATGAAATTATTTTCACGAGCGACAGATAAAAACGCTTAAATTATGCAGACATCAGCAAAAAGGAGAAGAGATCATGCCAAAAATGACCTTCTTCAGCTATTACTCGGCTATTAAATTTCTTTTTGGCCATTACAGTTGATCAATCTCATGCCATTGACAAGCAAGAAATCAAATAATTCATGCTGTTTTGCTGAAAAATTGAGATTGTTCTGTTCAAATTCCAAACCACTGGCTTAATGGCAGGTTTTTACTTACGCCCCAGACGATCATCATTGCCTCTGGCGCAGAGCAAGTGAAGAGATTGAAGGGGAAATGTAGGGGGAATCTTACGAAATGTTTCCGGGCCTTAATGAACATGACTCACAATCGATGGCTGATTTTACATGGCCTCAAGACAATACCTCATCGACTAATTGTCTGCTTCTTGCGTTGAGCGTCCTCGAAGTGCGACGCGAAGAAGTGATTCAATTTCAATATTCAATGTGAAATTTCAATTGAAGAGATCAGAAAATCCATTCACTATCTCCATCAGTGCTAATTTATTCCACTTCCATTAATCTCTTTCACTGTGTGAGCAGAAAAATTACTAAAGTGTAATACTTGGTGAAATAGAAGAATCGTCACTTTAAAGTGCCTCAAAATCTCGGATTGAGAAAGTCTTAAGAGATTCTTACTTTCGAATGTGATCGATTTTTACACATTTCAGGTCACACACTCAATTTCTCCCTCAATCAACTGATCTTGTATGACTTTGCGATCAATTGAGTGGTTACATTGTGTGGAAGAATCCATGGTCACATGAATTTACCAAAAAGTATTCTTAGAGGAAGTAATAATTTCAATTTTTCAACTATTTATCAACCGTTTTTTATGATTGCGCAGCGTTTAACCTTCAAAATATTCGCACTTTGATTACCAGATAACGATCTTTGCTCCACTGCTTCTCGTATATCTTATATCATAGCACGATCGCACCCAACTTTTGGGATTTATAATTAAATTCACAGAAAAGCTAATTGGGTTTATTGCTTCCTCTCCGTGCAATTTTCATTTGAACACGCCTGGATGGCAAGAGAGCAAAGAATAACGATCAAAAGCGCTATTCTCAGCCCTTAAAGTCACTCGAATATTGTCATAATTTTAATGGATTGAAGCAGAACGAGGGGAACTTAACTAGATCTCATTGTTGTCGCAACACGCATATGCTAAAGTCATAAAACAAGGCAGTTTCTTTCACGTTCAAAACAGTTTTTCAAATATAAGTGCGATACTCAAACATTTGATATTGATCATATGATATTGTGTGGCTTTGGTGACATCTTGCAAAATACAGTTTTTTTTTCTTCTTTTAACTGGGTGTTCAAGTCATAAAAACAATTCCAAATATTTAAGATATTTAACTGATGTTGTTAATTAAATTTTATACGGAATTGTTCAAGACTCGTTGAGACTTAACCCGTAATAACCATATATAAAATACTTTTATGTAATTTACGAGTCAGAAATGAACTCCATAAGATGAGAGTTTGCTCAAGTCGCACACACTGTTTATAATCCCAATTTTAATTGAAGAGAAAATCCGATGAATGAGACGCTTTTTGCTCATTTCCTTCACTGGCGATCGCGGCTGCAAGAGTGTGCGGAGAAAAACTCTGGGAAAATTAGACCGGACACGAGTTATCAACCATGATCTCTGTCTATCGGATGGCATTTCAGGCTAAATAATTGCAATTATCTCCTCGAACGTACTTATCACGCGGAGTCTTGCATATAAAGTAGCGAAGATCGCTTCTTGTCGTTGGTCGTTTTTCTATATGTAAAATCTCTTTAAGTGTGCTGAATTGATGAGGTGCAACTGTATCAAAATGAAAATGACTTTAGCAGTAAATCTCCGCCGAAGGCGTTTCCTCATCTCACTCTCCGCCACCAATAAATTAGCAATTTTGCACAATTGTCTCAAAATACCCACACGGGAGTCGGTTTGAAATTTTCATGATATGGAGAATTTCATGGGACAACATTCAGTCGGCGACTGTAAATATGCGTTAAATGATAATGAAATTATCACGCATGGCTGGAAAGTCAGTCTAATTCGAGCGAGAAGAGAGCCACACACAAAAAAAGATATTACGAGAGGCACATTAATGGCATATGAAAGGAGAAACAAGCAAAAGTAAAAGAAATGGAGAAAAATGATCAGAGAATTGATTCAGTAAAATATATTGACATAATATCGTTGTATAAAGTGAACAACAATAGGAAAGAGAGATTGATGAGATTGCTTGAAGATTTCCATGCTTTTAATCATGCAGTTCGTGTTACAACCAAGACTAACCAGACTCTGTTGAGTGCTCGAAATTAGTTTATGAGATGCAAAGTGTGAATTTAGACAGAAATCTAGAAGAGTGCAATTAGAGATGGAACATTTCTTTTATTGTCTCGCAGAAAGTTGCAGCCAAGAAGAGACTCTTCTTCAGTAGATCACTTTGAGAGTAACGAGAGATCAGAAGAAAGGAATAAAACTCGCCTCCGCGTATTTTTTACTCTCTATTGTGATGTGCGCTTCTTTTTTTCTATGAATGTTATATTGTCTTCTCTGCGTTGGCATTATTTCTTATATCTAATTACGCGGTGTACGTACAAGCAGAGATATTCAACAGTTGGAAGGGAAATGAAAGAGCCGGCAAAATGAACCTATCCAGGTGAGGCGGGAGGACGGCAGAAATGATGGCTAAAAGAGGCGATACGGTTTGTAAGCAGAGGAGACAGTTAATGAAAATAAAAGAGAACACGAGACTCGAAGAGACTTTCAGCGGGAAGACGCGGGCTTCAAGAGAATCTCCCCATTGAACTTTATTGTTTGCGGACTCAACCTCTCTTCCTACATTCAAGTCTTTCTCTCTCTCTCTCCTGACAATGAGCACAATAATATTGATTTCCTCGAGAGTCTTGAGTAGAGTTCCCAAAGACGACACATGATCGCGTCTTAACCCCTATGAATGCGAGAAGCGCAAGCAAACCAACCACAACCGCAAAATTACACTTTAGGAACTTCAAAAGGAATTCATTCACACAGCAATTTTACCAACTTCTTGCACGACATGAGAGAATGACTCCCTCAAAACACTCTTTTTGCCCTCCAATTGCAACTTGCTGGGGTGTAAAATGTAGGAAAACACACACACGAGAGCCACAAAAAATCAATTGAAGTTTCAACAGCAATTTCCGGTTTTTTGGTCTTCAATTTTCAGCAATGAGTAACTCAAAATTAAATGACTCAGCCATAGTAAAACGAACTAGAATAGTCAGCAAATTTTCCTCATTGAACTCTGGACATTAACTAAAAATACATTGTAAAGGTGAATAGCAAAAGTTTTTACTGTATTTATCAAAGTTGAGGATTAGGTCGGACGGTAGATGAAATCGTTATTTATATTTTACGCTTATTTTCTTTCTGAGATTTTCAAATTACTCTGTTTATATGCAGCATAATAGGAATTCAGTGAAAGTTTATGATAGGATGACAGTGTTAATTGTCTAGGAATATTTTCATAAAAAGCCAATGAATCCTCATGAAAATGCATCAAAACTCTTCAGCATTATCTATGCAAAACTGCCAACGAGTCGTTCATCTCTGATTGATGACTGTGAGTGAAAGAGTTGGGCAAAAAATAATATTTTTATACAAATTACGCACAGTCGAAAGGAGTTAAATGAACGTGAAAAATACTCTTCCATTGTAAAATATTGCTATAATTGCAATAATTGTTGCTATTAGAGTTGTTTAAAGTGATTGAACTCACTAAATAACGTGCTAAAGAGGAAACATGAGAAATCTTTAAGCGTGAATATTTCTAATTCATATAATTCAACGAAACAGCCCATAAAGTGCCTAAAGAGTCAATGGGTTAATAGATTTTCTCTCCGAAAATGTAAATGGCAATCTCATTGCACATCATGAGAGTGATATTTATCATTATTTTTAATTTTCTGCTTTTCACACTCGCCCAGAAACAATTCAGTTGACGTTGAGGAGCAGCGCGCGTGCAGAAAATATTGACTTCCAGACAGACATTCCGTGCAATTAGGAGTTTTTGTGTCTGCGACCGAGAAAAAAACAGTGTTCAGATAAATTATGTTATATGGAATATTTGAAACAATGGATTAAGTAAATTGCAGGAAGTTACATTAATAAACACTGTGAAAAAGAGATACAATAACTCATATTTACCGCATTGGTAAAAAGTGTGACTATAGAAAATTAATGCTGACCTATCAACATTATGAATCTCTCGCTGTGCCTAATCTTGACTCGGGCCTAGAGGTGAAATAAGCACAGAATACATTTCAAATTTGACGATGGACTTTGAAGGCCTCAATTGCCCGCATGTAAAATGCCTTCTTTTACAAAATCCAGCAGTATTATCATTCTAAATTGGATGGAAATACCACTAAATTGTCCAGCAGTGAAACTAACACGAAAAGAGGAGAATTTCAGACAAAAAGAGAAAAATTATGGCTGGAAAATAATTTGAAAATAACAACCAAAACGCATAATAAACCCATTGCTTCACTTTATCTTATTTTGCCTGGGATTCTTCTTTATCATAACATGGAATGTTGTAAAATTAACTAACAAATATCTATAAAATGTTACTTTCCATTTTGATTTCGCATTTATTCACTTTCGATGCTTTCGATATTGAATTTTTGAGCAGTGGCTCTGGCTATCGAAGAAATTATTTGGAACACAGCAATTTCAATTATGCCATGAAAGACAAAAACTGTGAATTCCCGAAGAATCCCATTGAAAATACCTTGGAAGAGAACAAGTTTTAACAGCGAAGAACTCGCGCGCGGTCAAGGTGAATTTTATATAAAAAGGGAAGAACAGAGGAGAAAATAGCATGTAGAAGAGGAGCATTTTCAAGCCTTTTTCTCTCTTTTTCTCACCTTCTCAATTATCATTTTATGGTTCTTCCATTTCTTATTAAATTCCTCTTCTTCGCGCCCTCACAAAAGCACGCCACAGCCAGTGTTCATGGCGGATTCGCTGGAACTGGAGCTGAGTTTTGCATCTCAAAACAAGAACAAATGTGAGACACAATGAGAATTTTAATTCTATGCAGTGCAAGTTTGTTTATTTTCACTATTACTTAAGAAGTCTTTCGCCTCCATCGACGATTGTCCCTTTTTATTGTGTAAAGATGAATGCATTTTTTTTGGGCGGGAAACGCGTCAATGAAATTGCCAAGAAAGTGTATAATGGGAAAATTTATTTACCTTTCTCTCAGGCACTTTTTACGTTCAGTGGCGATAAACAATTCACGAGAAGAAGCAAAACCTTGATGAAGTGTTTATAGTTTTCGTCTTATTTCACATTTTGTGTTTGGCTCGTAAATGTGCTCAAAATGTTAAATAATTTTACACAATATTTTATTTAAAAAAATTCTTCTCACTCCTCATCCAGATCTTCATCAGAGCGGCCGCACAGAAGGAGCTTTGTCTCACGAAGAGACTAACAAATTTCCTCAATTAGTGAAATTGATGAGAGAGGCGCGAGAGAAGCTGTGAGATTCCGGGTTTAATGATATCTCGCAAAGTGCATCGAAATAGAGGATTTAATTGAGAAACGCCCATCGTGCCGAGGTGAAGAGGGCTCATCTATAGTGAATCTCATGGGATTGTGTGGGACAATGTGAGATGGAATCGGGCAGTGTACTGAGTGAACCCACAACCACGGCCTTTGGCACTAATCGCGCATTTTTCGGTGCCCCGGAGAGAACGACTTCAATGACAATCCTATCGACTGGGGGAGCACCAGCATCAGCCACGCCGCAGGGAAAGCCAAGAATGGCCCACCTGGAGACACTTGAAGCAAAGGTATCAATATGAAATACATTTATAATTATATGTAAATTCCTAACTGTGATCAGAAACTCGTATCATCTCGCGTCTCTCTTGCTCAATCACCTCCAGCTCTACTATTTGTACACTTCGCCATGCGAGTCAGAGTGGAGAAGATGTTCTTCTAGTCTGGTCTGAGGACAAATCACGCCTCGAGTCCTCTTTTATGCACAAATGCATTTCGAAGTGCTGTCCATGTCGCTTTGAATGATTCACGAATGTCTGAATATTAGGTTTCTTGCAACATTTTCTATCGTATTAATTTACTACTTGATTTCCTGAAACATGATCACGTCTTCAGATTAATTAATAAACTCTTAAGCTCAGGTTGAAGATTTTGCCATTTCTGACTAGCAAATCCCAAAAAATCTGATATTGAAAATTACTGCAATGATGCAATTTAACAGTAAATTCCACGAGTTCACCTGAAATAGCGTGATATTCAGTAGAGTAAATAATAGTTTAGGAGTAAATAGTGAGATTTTCATTGTCGGTTTTATTGCAATTTGTTAAAACGATGTTTTGAGTCGTTTTTAACTAGCCACCAAACATAAACTTTCACGCAAACGCATTTCTCACGCGCAATTAATAGACACGAATTTGGAAATGCTTCACATTACGAAAGAGAAGAGATAAATGTACTGATATAAAGCAACAAATATGACATTTTCATTGCATTGAATATGTAACTATTGTGATTTATTTGAGGTGTTTTGTATGGAAAAAAAATGTGTTCCAAAAATCTTGCGAGGTGTTGAAAAATCGCGTGAATTGAGTGGAAGAGTTCAAGTCTACGCTCAATAAATATTCGCTGATTTGTCATGCAGATTGAGGAGCGTGGCAAGAAGACGTCTATTTTCCCCAGCCTGTGTCCAGACATCGATTACTCGCGATACGCTTGAGTAATTGAAAGGCAAGAGAGAAGATAGACTGTGTGATTAGAGGCCTCCACAATTGGCTAAACCAGTTCCAGCATCTCTGAATTGCACCTTTGGAGTGTGTATAATTATTCAACGGAATGTCTTTGGCTCAAACGGATTTTCATCAACTTTTCGCCACACACAGAGCTTGTTTTGTCCACTCATTTCCATCGCCCTGATGACACACCCACAGCAAAAGAAATCTCTTTCATTTCGGCATGTCTTTGACTCACAAATTTCACTGATACTGTCTCAATCTGTTGACAAAGAGCGTCTTCGTTGAGATTCTTTGTGAGACGCAGTGAATTCTCTAAGAAATCTCTGCCACCGCAGCCAACATTGGTCTATCTCGAACTCTGTCACTTCTTTCTTCTGCTGTCCACTTCCATTTCTCCCACCAAGTGTCTCAGACGCCTCATCCTGGGGCAATCAAGAAGAGAATTAACGGGTCATCGACACAGTCTTCCAACTCTTGAGATCTTTAGCATGATTCCATATTGATCGAGCTCTCGAATTTTTTCTTAGATGGCCAGTATTGAGGTGTCGCTCAGCGGAAGTACGCCACGGAGGCGCAAGGGAACGTCTCTGGGTGGCAGTTCATCCGTGAGATCATCGCCCAGACCAGAATCCGCTCCGGCGAAGGAGGTGCGCTCAGCGCTGCAGGATCGCGAGGCAATCATCCAGAGTCTGAGGATGCAGCTGGGTCTGGGAAAGCTGCCGCGACCCTGTGGCACGCCACTGGAGGAAAATGAGCGGCCAGCAGCGGAACAGAGACTGCACAGACTCAAGATTGATGCGGAGAACAAGAAGATCGCCATCAGAAATCTCAAATCCGCTCTGGACAAACTCGACATAACAGAGTGAGTGATCTTGTGCAGCATCTTTTGCACAACGGGACATCAATCTCAGCGTTTTATTAAGCGTCCTTTCGCGGAGCAATTAAATTATACAGCTATCATAAACTTTCTCACATGGACAAATGATCAATGAGATGAATCTCCTGAGATTGGAGGCTAATTAGTTTAATTAATTAAACCATCAATTTTGGTCTTTGCAGCAATATCGATGTGAGGATCCGACAAGCTGAACTGGAGTACGCCTTGGGGCGTGAGGAATTGCAGCTTTTGTCACTCGTCGAGGAAATCCAGGCTCTGCAGTCGCGCCTGGACAAATCGCGACCTGAGGCCAATTCCATCTATAGCATCCTGCAGAATGGCACCAATCTCAGCCTGCACGCGGTGCAAGTGACCGTTGGGCGCTGGGCGGCTTCATCCAGAAATGACAGCCCTGGCGTGTGGATCGAGTGGGCGCTCGATGGTGAGGGTCTCTATCGCGGTGACCGGATCATCGAGGTGAACGGGAAGATTCTCAGCGGGCGCACGCGCGAGGAGCTGCAGAAACTGCTCGGCACAGCCAATCGCTGCCAGCTGGTGGTGATTCGCCAGAGAGCCATGCCATTTGCCCAGCAACAACTCCTGCAGAGTCAGGAGGACAATTTGCGTCTGCAGCATCGCATCTCGTATCTCGAGGAACAGGTGAAGGAGCTGCAAGACACCAAGGAAACTCGCTCATCACCCACCAATAACGCCCACGTCACGAGCATCAGCATCTCCTCGCCGAGTCTGAAGGTGTCGGAGAAGCCAGAGATTTTCCAGCGTGGGAACTTCATCACGACCATCGTGGATGGGAAGCCCGCCAAGAATCCGCCGTCTGTGCCGCAGAAGGTGAAGCCGTCGCACATCACGAAGACGACCATCGTGAAGGAGAGCGGACATAATGGCCATATCTCGAATGGCGAGGAGAATCGCAGAAATTTGTCCACTTCAACGGTGTCTCTTACGAGCAGCATCTCGTCGAAGAGGGACTTCGAGGAGGCGCGCCGCGAGAGATATGCCCAGAAAGCCGGACGCATCGCTTGCCATGGACACCAGCATATTTCTCGCAGTGGAGATCACCTGCACGAGTACACTAAATCCACCAGGTGAGTTCGGCGCATTGCCGATAGTCAGGCGAAGTCTCACTCTCTCTCTCTCTATGTATTACAGTTCCGATCGGAAGCTGGAGGTTTTGGCACGCAAAACGAACGGCCAGATCGCGAATCACCAGAGAACTCACGATCTCAGGAGCGTGAAGAGTCTGGACTTCGACTCGGATTGCGGCCAGTCGAGGGATGTGGACTACACTTCGGAGCCGCTCGGCTCGAAGCCACTGCGACCGTTGCCGCCAAAGAAGCCATTGCGGCTGTCGCTGCAGCGTGCCCAGAGCCTCCAGACGGTGGAGGCTGGCCTCGCGGAGCTGGACAAGAAGAGGGCCAGCAAGAGGCCCCATCACAGGGGCATAACGCCCTTCAACGGCGAGGCGAACGCTCTGCACACCGCCTCTCTGGGACGCAACAAGTATATATAGATCTAGACTCCTCGGCAAAACTCTTCGTTTCAAGCGAAAGGCAATATAGTGAAGCATGTATGTAAGCAAGTAGACATGAAAACACATCAATATGATCAATATATAGTTTGTCGTGAAGAAGCCTTGGATGTTTTTGCAGTATTTTTCCACAAGAAGGTTTGTTTTTCTTTCAGAAAGCACGATTTCTTCATTAATTTGATTAATTTAATCAATTCGTCCGAACAGATTAATTAAGAAATGGCAATCTTTTCCTATTGTTTTGCGCCAAAAAAGTGTCTGCTATTTCTGTTCTGTGTCCACTTCTTAATTGTATTCCAATGATAAAATTCAAGCGCTGTCTTGCTTCTGGTGTGTCGAATTTAAAGTCTTACCTTTTTCGTCACATTGTATGATTAGGAAAAATCTATTTCTATAATAAAGACCGGAATGTTTAAGGAAAAATTGTTCTTAACTATCAAAAGCTGATGGTCAGGAAGAGCTCAGTGCATCCTGTCCTGGACAGCTCGTGTCTCTTGGGCATAGTGTTGCTGGAGGGAGAAAAAACGTGTCTCTCGTGTGAATGTTTGAGTCATTTATGTAATCAAATTATACTGCAAGTACACAAATATTCTACAGAGATTGACGGTTAGAGTGTGTGCGAGGGCAGAAAAGTGAGGAATCTAGTGTCGGAGCCAATTTTACGCTGGTCAGATCACACTGAGTCGTCAGTCGAATAACTTGATTTTCTGTGCTAGTGAAGAGACACTTTTTCACTGTTGAAAGCAAGAACTGGAAGAAGGCGTTTCCCCCAAAAAAACACGGTAAGTTTTGTGAGTTTCACTTTCGGTTTGTTTGCAAATGGGTAAGAAAAAGAGGGAAAAGGTGAAAAGTATCTTCTGCCTTCAGTGCATCGCAGTGATAAGATAGCGGAGACGAGAGAGAATTAAGGGAGAATTCTATTAACCCATTTTCTCTTATTGGGTCATTAACAAATAAATTCCCATTTCAAATTACATTCCTCGCCAAAATGCAAATGCCGGGCTTTCGTAGATAAGATAATGAAGCATCTCTTTGTCACGAAAGCTGCGCAGTGAGGGAATACATTCCACGGTTCCACGAGCTTAATTAGAAAGCAATTACATTTCCTCCAGCCATAATTCTGTATACATGAAAAACGACAGATAATAGTAATGAGCAAAGAGAAACATAGAATAGAGAAAAATGAATGATTATGTCGTTAATTGAGTGGCACCACTGTACAAATACTTAAGCAGAGGTGGAGTAAATTCATGCCAGGAATCCAACATTTCAGTGGATTGGGTAATTTTCCGTTGATGGTTTTTTTGAAAGCGCTCAAAAAATCAAAAAACCACACTAAACAGTCATGTGTTTGAAATGATAAAACATTCAGTTGCAAGTTATTTATAGTCACAATATTGTGACAAGCAATTAGTATCCAATAAGAAGAAAATATTCTGTGTAATATTCATTCTTAACAAATCTTGTTCTAAACAAGGTGCGTAGGAAATTACCGAACAAGGTGAAAAAATATGTTTCTGGAGGTCAAAATCAAGATCATTTCGATCGATCTACTTGGGAATATAGAATAGAGCGAATTGTATATTTTTTGCACTAATTAATAATATACTTCAAAATGATTCCTTATCGATGGTCATAAAAATAATCTTTAACACATTGCATAACCTTGCGAAGAAGTGAAAGAAAAACAACCTGAGAAGCTGCATATTTTCTTGGCCACCAACTAAATGATTGAAAAGGAGAAATTTAATTTCAATCATTGCTTTTGCGTGGATGTCAAGGACTTCCAGTAATTTGGAAAAAGACCATAATTTAAGATGGCAAAATTTCAAGACACTATTTACCTTATTATCTTCTGCATATTTGTCTTCCATTTTGTGAATTGAAGAAAGCACATGAAAATCACTATCAGGAACTGCTAAAGTGACCACGTAAAGAGGAAATTAATTGAAGACTGAGTAGGGAAATATCTCTACGTGTTTCTTGCTTCATATTAGATAATATTCAACAATCAATTGAGATATTTTGCTAATCTTTCATCTTGAGATAAAGCAACAATACTATTTCACATTTGTATCTTCCAGAATCGCGTAAAGGCGATAATGGAAGTGATAAACACGGCACTTTCTCACCTTTATCACGAAGAATTGTTTAGGTGTTATTGAGTGAAGCTAATGAATGAATTTATCATTGAATAAATTATGCATGCTCGAGGGTGAAATAAAAGTAAAAGGTGTTTGTCTTACTCATTCGAGTTTCGGTTCATTCAACTCGCCAGAGAGTCTTTGCGACACAAGAAAATGTATCCGCACGAGAAAATGAGTTTCCATGTGTGATTTTGGCATAATTATGCCATTAATTGAGCCTGGGCTGAAGTTGAGAGAGAGCGAGATCTACGGGGATTTCTCAGTGAGTCTCCGAGACGAGTGAGAACGAGTCAAAGGTCAAGTCAATTGAGTGTGTTCCGTCTATTAATCATTCGACGCGCTGTTCTTGCGCTGGTGGATAGAGATAGTCGATCTCTGAAGACAAATTATGCTCTCTCTGTCCATTTACTCTTGACGACAATCACGAAGGTGGATGACAGGCTTTAAACTCCCTGACCCACTTTGTCGTCACTCCGCAAATGAATATTTATGCACGTCTCTCACCATATGTATATCACTCTAATTTCAGTTGTGTTGTAATCCACTCACTCCCCAGAGATCAGAGCAAATCTCTCAATTGCCGAGATGAAGTGTCTCCACGTTGCCGGAACGCTCCTTCTTCTTGGCGCCTTTGCGGCTGCCGCGGTAAATGTGACGCGTGCCATCAGCGAAGGGCAGCCGTTCATGCTCTTTGGCCTCTTTTCAGGACAACAAACCACTGAAGGCGATTGCCGTGCTCAGCCAGTCGGACACAGTCAGAGGCAACGTCACATTCTCTCAGCCTTCCTGCACTGAGCCCACCTTCGTGGAGATCAACATCGAGGGACTGCCGCCAGGACCGCACGGATTCCACATCCACGAGAGGGGCGATCTCTCGGGCGGATGCGGCTCCACTGGAAGCCACTTCAACCCCGACAGGGTGAGAATACCTACTGTAAAATCAAATCAATTTAATCTCTAATATTAATTGCAAGAGAATTATTGAGTGATAAGCGTTAAATTCGCGTCTTATTTGTCTAATTCATTCATACTTGCAGCTGCACCACGGCGCCCCCAATGATGAGATCCGCCACCGCGGCGATCTGGGCAACGTTCATGCCGATAACTCGGGACGCGTGTACACTTCCTTCAGTGACAGCGTGATCAGCCTGAACGGCGCCAACAGCGTAATTGGGCGAGCAGTGGTGGTGCACGAAGCTGAGGATGATCTCGGACGCGGAGGCAACGCGGACTCCCGGAAGACTGGCAATGCGGGTGGCAGACTCGCGTGCGGGACCATCGGAGTGGCGTAATTATTCCTTGTGTGCTGTTCACCTCAATGTCACGGCAAATCCACTTCCCTCCCTTGTCCAAACCTCATTTGCTGCAATGAAGAAACGTTTACACTAAATACCTTTTATATACTGCTCAGCACGCCAGACACATTAATTGAACGCAAAGACATGGACACTCTTGGACACCTGCGGTGTCCTCTGAACACAATTGATGTGCTTGTCGAGAATCCTTTGTCAATAAATCCTTCTGTAAAATGCGCTAAAAGCAATTGTCCGGTCAAAGATTTGCTCAGAGAACATGAACAAAATAATTTCTTGTGCAAATTTCCTCGTATTTCTGTTTATTATTCCAATTAAGATGAGCTTTTATGTCTTTCTGGCTTTATTTTTCATAGTCATAAAGTTGTTTTATTTTGTGTTTTGCGTGAATATTGTAAACCGCTTACCTTGAGACACGATTGGAAAGGTCATGTGTTCAAGATGTAATTTCAATATTTGCTAATATCTTGTGATTGTTTTGTGGCTTTTCTGCACATTTTTTTACCTCATTGAAATCTTTCTCTCTTCTGCTGGCTCTTCTCTATCTGTGAATTCTTTTCTCTCTCAAAACAGATCACATGAGGAAGATTTTTGGCCATGCAATGGAAGTGTTCTGAATTCATTATCATTTGTCCTCCTCTTTGCGACGTTGATCTTTTCAGTGTTCAACTCTGCGCGCAAGTAACTCATCGAGGGAAAATCTCTTAATAGCGGTTTTGTGTGGGGCAAATCTCCTGTGTGAGCAACAGTATTTAATAAATTATTGATTAAAATTGCTCCTGTTTCTTTCTCGGTCAGGAACGAAAAGCTCAATAGAGGCACAAAAGTCGCCGCGACAACAAAGAAGTATATTCTTTCGCTCAAGATCGCTATCGGATTTGGTGTTTCTCACCCCACGAAGAGTGTGAAATAATTCCTTTCCGAGACACCCGAATAAATCAGAACAGCATGAAAAAGTAAACCACCGACTTGGGCATAATTCTGAGAAGTGGACACCAAAATAGCAGGGTTGGTGGGTGGAAATTGAAGACAAATGACCCGACGTCCAGCGAAGGGCTGGCTTGAAATCAATCAAGGGCTCTCGTGCCCAAATGTTTTGAGGGTCGCCAAGGCGTTTCGAACACAGCTAAGTGGAAAAACCGTCTATGATCTCACTCAAATCTAACTGATAAATTCTGCATATTACTACAGTGCGCACAGAGAACGATTTATGACCTGCGGTAATGCGAAGTAATTCGTGCTAGAGTGGAAATTCGATAATTTCAAACACTCTCAAAGTCCATTTGTTATCCATCTTTTAGAGGAGAAAAGTGTCATGTAATTCCGTTTAATTTTGCTAAATTCTGCCTCACTGTTGAATTATTCAGTGAATAATTCTCCACACAAAAGTTCATTCTTTGAGGTCGGCAGTTCAAGAGATCCTCAACTTTTCATGCGTCCATGCAGGAAAAATGCCACGACATAAAGTTATTTATCGAGTTTATGGAGCTCGAGTGGCTGTTAATGTTTATTCTCTGTGGCGGAGGAGTGAGAAAGGGGTTAATTTGGATATTGCCCCCAAACGGTCATCAATTGATTTTCGGTGCGTTTCTACTGAACTCCAGCATAAATATTAACCTTATAAGATCACGGGGAAGAAAGAACAGGAATTCTGTGTCAGAAAGGCATATTCATTAGGGCTGCACATAAACCCAGATTAAAAGTGGGTAATTTCGCGAGCTGAGCGACCCTGGGAGGGAGCAAGGAAGGCGGGAATCCCACCAAGAGTAAACGGTCACTCACCTAACCATTAAAGACTGGACGCGCGGGCTCGTGTGGAAAATTCAGGGAAAAATCTATATTTTCCAAGAGTGTGTATTTGTGTAGTGGTCGTATCGTGCATTTAGTAGAACATGATAATTAGCTATAGCCAGCCACAACAGCAGGGTCTAATTGGAGCGAAGCTCTGTTTTCCTGGCCAGTTTCCACGACAACACTGCCCAAATAGTGACGCGCCAGAGATGAATCCCTAGAGAAATCCATGCAAATTCCTCTCGAAAACCATAATCTGACTTTAAATCGCTCGCTTCGGAATCCAATTCAGTCCTGGCGGATGACGAATAAAAACTACCCCAGAGTGAAATGGAATTCCTTTATTACGAACCTCCCTTCTTTGTCCCTTTTCACTCACTTTTAAGAGTACCTTGCCACGCCAACTCAAGGCAGTTCCCGCTCAAGTGTGGTCAAGCGCTCACGCTCCGGACGCTCTTCTCGCACTCGCAACATTCCTGCAGAGCAGAGAAGGACAATTCGCGCCTGGTCAAAATTTCAAGTGTTTCTCAAAAATTGTAGTGCCTAAAAACCAGTGAAAATCCGTGAAAATGAGGTCCTGCGGGATGAATTTCATTAAGACAATTTTGTTTATTTTCAATTTCATTTTTGCTGTGAGTATCTCAAGTTAATCAATTCTATTTGCACTATTCAAAAAATCATGCATGAGTTTATCTGTGAATTAATTGAGAGGAGAGCAAAAGATGATATTTAAATGTTCTTCGATATTTAATAAATTCGTGATTATATTCAAGGTGGGAAAATTTATTGAATTTTGTGGTTTTTATCAATTTAGTGCCTTAAAAGTTGACTTCTGTAAGAGTTTTTCAGTAAAAGTGCGAAATATATATTTTTCACATCATTCAATTCTCAACTGCATTTTGATTTAGATTTTCTTCATTCATATGTAAAAAATATTTATTCAAGTCAAATGCGTCATTCCATGCATTAAGTTCTTAAAGGTTACATAGTTTATTAATTTCAACACGACATAAAAATATTGGTTGAATCTCGAATCACCTGGATTTTTATTAATAACTGCAAAATAAACACATGACACCAGAAATTCGTGATTTATATTTCATCAAGTTTACATTAGGAATTAGCTGTGGCACGCAAGTGCTTTCCAGCAGTAAAGCTCCTAAAGCCTAAGCGCCATTAGTCACGGCCAAATGTGGGCCGAATTTTGAAAGGACACAAAAGCTTCCTTACTTGCACAAATCTGTAAGTTAAGGTGCGAAGTCATCAAGCTCTCTGACAATGTGAATTCAACCTCCAATGTTTCCCCTTTCATTACGATAATGAGGTTTGTAATCCATAATTCACTGTGACCCATTCACAAATAGAGAAGCATTGAATTGGGTAAACAGACTGTTTACTAAAACTTGGGGTCTATCGATTGATTTCAGCCATGGTTTAATGTTAGTCATATCCTTAAATATTTCAAGATTTTCCTTTAATTGTAATTTCACCATAAATTGTAATTTACAAGCTTCACAGTATATTTATACGGCCATTTGTGGGTATATATCAGTTGTGACCTGGAAAAGGCAGAGGAACTCTAGAGCTTTTGGGTGGGGTTAATTTGCTTAATTAAGGAGGGACACTTAATGGAGCAAACGTGTGATATTCCAGCGATAGTGCTCGATGGCAGGAATTCCATTCGCTCACCTCGTCTTCCTTGCAGATTTCTGGGCTTGGCGTCCTGATTGCCGGGGCGCTGGTTCTAGCCGACGTCGGCGAGTTCAGCCACTTTATCGAGGGCCGCGTTGTGGCGCCGCCAATCGTCCTGATTGTCGTCGGCGCGCTGGTGTTCCTGGTGGCTTCGCTGGGTTGCTACGGCGCCATTCGGGAGTCTCCGCCCCTTCTCACGCTGGTGAGTGATGTCTTGGCCATCAAGATCCCTTATCACGGACCTCAAATTGACACCGAAATATCAATCATTCCAGTTTGCCGTGTGCCTCGCTATCATTTTCATCGTTGAGCTCGCCGTGGGAATTGCCGCCATCGCCTTCAAGGCTGACCTGGAGAATGCCCTGAGAAATCAGCTGCAGAAGTCCATCAAAAACTCCAACACGGAGGATCTCAAGGCCTGGGACAATGCCCAGAAGAAGCTGCAGTGCTGCGGCCTCGATGGACCCGCGGATTGGGTGGATCTCAGCCGCGATCGCTACTTGAGGCCCAGTTGCTGCCGCCCTGAGTACATCGATCCGCAGACCAAGGACTGCAGAAACGCCCTGCCTCTGCACAAGGACAAATACTACCAGGTGAGCCTAATTTTCCTTTCCGTTCTTTGGACTGCCAGCACCACTGAAGGTTCTTCTTCCTTGCAGGACGGCTGCGCAGAGAAGCTCAAGATGCGCGTGGACTCCAATGCTTCAGTGCTGATTGGCGTTGGAATTGGTATTGCTTTCATCCAGATTCTGGGCATTATTCTCGCTTGCCTCCTCGCCAGCGCCATTCGCAATGAGAGCGCCAAATAAGCAGACCACAGAAATCATGATTATCAAAACTTCCACATATTAATTTCCATTGTAGAAGAAGAAAAGTCCGCAAGGAAATCCTTTTTTCTCTTTGTATACTTCCCATCGAACACACAATTTTTCTTCGTAGCTGTAGAATCTTTTCCAACATTCACCCAGAGCTTCTTGCAAGATAAAGTCATTCCTAAAAGGGAAACGTTTTTGGATAACGTTGAATTTTATTAATGGTCGCGTAGTGTTTTGTGGGGTAAAGAAAAATGTAAAGCATTTTACAAGTTAGTTGACTTGTTAGTTAAAGATAGCAGGATTTGTAGGGAAAGTCTTATTGGGCCAGTTGTTGTGTTGAAAATTGATGGATTTAATGGATATTTTACTAGTAGATTGGCTAAAAACAGATTTGATTTTCCACATAAGAAATCTTCAAACCTTCTACCTCAGTTTGCATTTGATAATGTAAAGATATATTTGTAAGAGAGTCATTCTGAAAGGAAAACAATAAAATAGATGCCTTTAGTCTTGTCAATTCATTTGTAGATTTTATGTTCTGTACGTTCTGTAAATAAAAACGATTCCGTTCAAAATTCACTGCTTTCTGCGATTCATTTCTCTGAGTGTACCTGTGAAACCTGTTACATGTATCCAGTGAAACTATTTAATGTCGAGTAAATTCAAACGAAACGTTTTATTTCTCCAAAGAAAATCACGAATCGGAGGACTCTTCGCCTTCCCCTGCTAATCCTGATATTGTCCTGGCTTCAGCGTCTTAAGCATTGCTCAAGGCGGCAACTCCAGGCAAAGTCTTGCCCTCGAGGAGCTCCAGAGAAGCGCCTCCGCCAGTGGAAACGTGCGAAACTGCGCTCTCTGTGCCCCACTTGGCGCAGCAGGAAGCCGTGTCGCCGCCTCCAATGATACTCACGCAGCCCGCCTTGGTGGCATTCACCACGCCATCCATAAAGGACTTAGTTCCCTTGGCGAAGTTGGGGAACTCGAACACGCCAGGTGGTCTAGAAGGATGAAAACACAGCGTTAGAGTGGGAATTTAGAGGATTTTCGGGATTTTCTTACCCATTCCAGACGATAAGCTTGGCACGGGAAATGGGAGCAGCGAAGACTTCGCAGGATTTGGGGCCCACATCGAGTCCCATCCAGCCATCCGGAATGCCCGCCTCAACTGAAGCTTCGCCAACAGCCGCGTTCTCAGCGAACTTGTCGCCGGTGATAAAGTCAACAGGCAAGTGGAGCTGCACATTGTTCTTCTTGGCCTTGTCCACGAGATTCTGAACAATCTTGGCGCCCTCTTCGTCATACAGTGACGCGCCGATCTTCATCCCGTTCAGGACTTTGAGGAACGTGAAAGCCATTCCGCCGCCGATGATCATCTCACTCACTTTGTCCAGCAAGTTCTCGATCAGTTGAATCTTATCGGCCACCTTGGCACCGCCCAGGATGGCCAGGAAGGGTTTCGGCGGATTATCCAGCGCCTGAGAGAAGTACTTCAGCTCTTTGGTCAGCAGCAATCCGGCTGCGCGCTCTGGGAAACCCTCTCCAAGCATCGAACTATGTGCCCGATGAGCAGTGCCGAAGGCGTCATTGATGTACACATCGCCCAACTTCCGCAGACTCTCCCGGAAGCCCTTCACCTTCTCAGGATCCGCCTTCACCTTCGCGCCAGACGCATCGACGCCCTTTCCCTCCTCCTCGACGTAATAGCGCAGATTCTCCAGCAGGATTATGCTACCCGGAGCAGGATCTTGGCAGGCTGCCTCCACTTCAGCGCCCACACAGTCGCCGATGAACTTCACGTCCTTCTTCAGCAGACTCTTGAGCTCATCCGCCACCGGTGCCATCGTGTACTTCGCATTCTTCGTGCCATCCGGGCGCCCCAGATGAGACATCAGCACCACCGACTTTGCGCCCTTGTCCAGGGCGTACTTCACACTGTCCAGCGCCGCCACGATGCGCTGATTGCTGGTCACCTTGCCATCCTTCATGGGAACATTGAAGTCCACTCTGGAAAGCAACACTCTCTCAGCAAATCCACTTCCACGCTCTGCTAAACGCCGAACTCACCTCATGAGGACTCGCTTTCCGGCCAAATCCACCTTCTCGATGCTCAACTTGTTCAGCGCCATGGTTTTCCTGGTCAAGAATCGCAGAATTGTGCAGAAACTCGCGGATTTGCAGGACAAACCGAACAGAATGTTTGACGCTTGAATGTCAGCGCAAGGTCGATGAAGTCACAGTTCTGTGCAAAACATTGTGATGCATATGAAGTTTTTTGCTTTAATCTTCGCTGCGGAAACTTTAAATGTTTTCAATGCTCAACAATTGATTTCCAATTCAATTAATGTATTTTACTGAGAAAAAGACTTCCAAAACTTCATGTTTTATTTCATTATCCTAACCTTCAGTTTAACCACGTTAAATAGCGCCAATGAAGCCAGAAAAAGCCAGTCAATTTATCCTGGAAGGTAGGAAATACTTGTTAGTACTGCATGCAGAATTTGCTGATAGAAAACAAGCGAATTACTTACGTAAATGCGATGCTTTGATGTGACGAAGAAGCAGCTCCTCTGAATCGAAATTCCCATCGCAAATTTCACATTTATGCTCATCATCTTCCTCAGCTTCGTATCTACGCTTCCGGAGACTCATTTTAGCGCTTGTGCTCGTCTCCCGTTGACGGCGTTTCCTGGCTGAAAATGGAATTCTATGAAAACTTGCACAGGACAGAGCAAAATCATGATTTTACTATTGATTGCGTTGCTTGCATTGTGTGTCGCTGTATGATATTTGGCCATGTGCAAGTTGAAATATCGATCGTCGATGAAGAATCTATCGCACTCGAGGCACTTCTTGAACTGACTGGAATCGGACGCGGAGATGTCATGCCGGATGATGGGATCGCCTTCGACCAGGTGGCATGTGAGAATTGTGCTGTTTTTAAACACCTTTCCACACACGCGGCACTCGTGGTTGGCCGCGGGCTTGTGGCTCAAGATGTGCTGGACCATGGACTCTGAGTCTGTGAACGTCTCCGGGCAGAGAGTGCAGGACAAGGACTTCCCTTCCACGTGTTCATGCAAATGCTTTCGCAGCGCCTTCCAGTGTGGGAAGTCCCTGGAGTCTGTGCACAAGTGACAACGGAATTTATGAGTTACTTTTCCTCTATTGATCAGCATGACTCCGTCAACCATAAATTCCACTGCCTCCTCGGATGCCTCCGTATTATCCCTGGAACAAGAAACTGTGAGAAATGTCCAATCATAGTTAATATTACATTACTGTAATAACTCTATAGCTCTTGAGCTTGAGGCAGCATTTTGTCCTCGATCTCGTCTCTCTAAGGCGTAATGAAATAACTGATCGTCGATGTCTTCCATGGTTGCAAAATGGATACAAAAGTGTTTGCTTTGGCGTAATTCCACGCTTTTATGAAATTCTCTGCAAATTTTCGCACACATAAAATACCAAAATACAGTGGACGTCAAAATCCCGATCGAACTGTGTCTTGTCTAGCAGACTTCTAACAGAACAATCTTGGGACTTGTCGTATGAATTCTTGAGACAAATTTGTACTAATTATAAAAAGTCCAAGATTTATACGTAATAAAATGAAATGGCACAACTTCATTTTACCGAACACTCTCAAAACGCACTTTTTTTGCTTGAAAGCTGATGACCTCACAAACATTTTCTTGTTATAAAATCGAGTCGGACTCTAACGGTTCTTCCGCTAAAAATCGGTAAAGTTTGTAACCGAAAACAGAAAAAATTGTATTTTTAGCGGGGCCGAAGGCCCCGCCTCCCGCTTCATACCTTCACTACATACCTTACCCCAACCCCCACCACCCCTTCCAAAACCAACCCCTCCCCCCCACCCCTTCCGTATATATTAACTAATTTTCAAAAATCAAATTCAGAGTGTCTTGCGTTGTCGAAGGCCTCGGCCCCCCACCCTATCCCACCACCCGAAACACTCTGTCAAGCTTATTTTCAAGCAAATAAACGTGAAAATAGCGGCAAAGGGAAAAAACTCGCGAATTTTTCCCCGTTTTAGCGTCTTCTCATCCACTTTTCACCAAAATAAGCTTGAAAACAGTGGCAAACGGGAAAAATTCGCGAATTTTTCCCCGTTTTAGCGTCTTCTCATCCACTTTTCACCAGTGCACTTTTTTGAACTTTTTTGAAAGTGCACTTTTTAGAAATAGAGAACTTTTTTGAAAGTGCGAAATGCGAAACCATAAAAAGAACAACAAACAATATTGAATCTGAATTATAATTGGAAGAAAACCACGAGAAATGTGAAAAATTAATTAGTTACCTTGAGATTTTCAAGTGCACATCGTTACTTTTCAAACGCCACTATTACCGCAGTTTCCCAAGTGTTCTAGCAGTGTCGGCGGACTTGACATGGAACGTCACCGCCCCACCGCTCGAGTGCGTGTGCGCTAACGACACGCCACTTCGCCAGTTCGATTTAGTTTGCAAAGGTGGCTGGTTGTGTTCCACTTGCAGCCGGTCAAATTTTTTATGTACAGTGTTTCATTAGGAGAGAGTATAAAACATTTTGGGCGCAGAGTGTCCGTATTTTGAAGCAGTCCCAATCCATTTCCGCGTGTGCAGTGTGATAATTTCCATCTGATTTTGCTTGATTGGCAAGAGAGAAAACAATTCGAGACGGATTGTGCTTCGCGAGCAAAAATCTCCCGAGTATCACGCGCAACCCCAGCAATTAAACATGGAATTGGCACCAAATTACTCCTTCGTTTTCGACTTTGAAAATGACTTCATACACGAGGATACACGCCACTGGATGCTCAGGAATTGGACATGGGTCTTCTACTCATCCGGAATATACATGCTAGTAATTTTCGGGGGCCAACAGTTTATGCTCAATAGACCAAAGTAAGTGATGAAAAATGCGTGTGAACACGGAACTTCTGCACATTCCCGATTACACCCATTCATAAATCGGAGGAAAACGCCCCTAACCCCATTCCGCGGCCACAGTGACAGCAGTCTCCTCGCCAGATTTTATAGAAGCAGGGGCAGAAGCGCCTTTCCGGGTATTTCTGCACTCCGGCCAGCGAATAGAAAGTTGTGCCTCGAAGACTCGCCGTGAGTCAACGTGGAGAGGCTGAATCTTCCGATGAAAATCGGGTGATATTCGCACGACTGTGAGGTTATGTCGTGGCACTGGAGAGCCAAACTGCAGTTGGCCAATGCGCCCCCACATGAGCCCCTCTGAGGGCTCACGAGTGCACTTCGAGTGACGGAAAATTCAGTGGAATATCCGCTAATTTGTTTGGGTTTTTCCACCACACGGAATTCCATGTGCAAGACAACAATTCGCATTCGCGACTCGTTTGCCTAGAGACACATCTTATTAGTCATGCAGACGGTGTGGGTGGGAAAATTCTTCATTTCGCAGATAACTGCAATTTGCCACTTTCCTTTGAGGACAAATAGTGCAAAATATTCCAATAGGTTGACCAGAGGTCTCAGGAAGGTGTGATTCTTATTTAATCCAACTGGAATTGTGTATGAATGGGATTTTATCTTTTTCACCAATTTCTTCGGTTCATGAAGTAAAAATGAGGAATTATTCTTTCCACGTTATCACAAATTCTTTCCATAATTTCTTCGTGAATAAAAAGATTAATGAATTCTTCAGTTCACAAGCTTTCACAGGAATTTACGTAATTCTGCTTTTAGGCAGCGTTTTTCCCTGATATTACTATTACCTTCTTGATCAATTTGAAAAGGTCTTCAAATTCCTGTGAAACACTTGCGTATGCCAAGGTTGCTGTTCCAACGTCGCAAGTTATATTCTATTTATTCCCAAATATGATTTCTTATTTTGAAGCTTAAATGATTTCTATAATTCTACGAAAAATGTGATTATAGTTGCTTGACCTTCTTCCGATCGTTCATCATAAGCTGTTTGGCTGAATTGAAGTTTAGCCTTCGGGGTAAATCGTGGGTTTTGGAAGTTAGAGTGTAGCTTTCGAATGCGTTTTGAGGATCTCGATTTCCCATAGAGAGCAAAAGCTCACTTCCTTGGAGCTTCCAAAGCACTGTTGCGAAATGCCGAAAGAGCCATAAGAGGCAGCGTTTCGTTTGGCTTATCACATCGTAATTTGATATGACATTGTGTCCACGTGATTACAGAATTTCCACTTGTGACTTTATGCACTTAACAACAGCAATTTCGCCCGCCAAATTGCCGATTGCCTCTGACCTCAGGACGATTTTCTTTGGGGCGGCAGCAATGCAATACCTGTGGCTTAGCGTGTCGGCGGGCCGCTCGGGTGAAAGTCCGTGGGAAAGGGATGTATGTGCATGTGGGGCCAGAGAGAAATGGGGTGATTTCACGAGAGTCTCACGCCACACGGGCAATTTGGCGCCTCGACAGAGGGTGTCTCGAAAATGCAAATCAAAGCACATGGACACACAGAGTGTGCAGTGCGTGGAAAATGTAGCACATGCTGAGTGGCGGAAGTGCTCAATAAAAAATTCATTCTTATAAATAGTCCATGTGCCATCTAAAATAGCCGCAACAATTTCTAGTGTCTCCAATCACCATTGCGTCATCCCGCTGGAAGCTCTTCTCTGTTGACCCTCTTTTTTTCGCTGGACGCGAGTGCGGAAAAGTCTCCAAAAATTTCTATTCACTTTCACTCAATGTCGAGATGGCGATGGAAAAAGTGAGACGACACTAATGATAGAGTGTTAAATGATGTTTGTCTGCTACTTATCACATGCAAATGTAAAATAATTGCTAATTTTTTCCCCAATTCAAACTCTACGGGATTGACTGCATTTCAATTGCTTTCCTCATCTTGTGCTGATTCTCACAGATAATTGCGATTTTCCATGTGTTGTAGATATAGCAATATTCCAGATTGATGTAAGAAATATGAGTAAATGCAGTGGAGAAAAAAACAATTCAAGTGGGGGGAAATTATATAATTAGCAATTTTGCTGTATTGGTAAATAAAGCTGCCGTCTGAAAATCACACGTGCTTCTCTTTAGAAAATTTTCAATGCACTTTCCATTTTTCATTTTTCTAGACCAGTAATTATAGCTATTATCTCATGAGATCTCTAAATTGTTGCCAAGTGTTGAAAGAGTATTAGAAGTTATATGCAAAAAAGATCTCAGGATATCGTTATGAAAATAGTTTCTGAGTCTGTTACTTCAAAACTTTATGAAAGTAGTAAAGTTTAATGAATTATGCTTAGTGATAAGAGTGTTATTAGAACACGTGTGGTTAGTAAGCGTCCATTTAACAAATTAAGAGGGCACTTAGAATTAAAGGTGACCCTAGCGATATGGGTATTGCTTGAAAAATGGTTTATTATTAATAACTTTTGAGAAGTATTTAACTAAACATCCGACAGCCAATTAGGAAGGAAAATGTGAAATAGAAATGAAGGTGGGCTTTAGAATCGTCAGTGAGATCATTTAAGCAGAAATAAAATATGCTGATCACATTTATTCCCGCCAAGTTTAACGTCGAAGACGAGCATTGTAAATATATTGAGTAATTATTTAATCTAGAATTCTTTTTTCACATAATATTCATTATTATCTTGGAAAACCAAATACAGCCGAAGAACATAAGGCGATTTCGGCAAGATTCGACTAAAGAGGAAAATTTAGTTTGGCCGCTGGTTCACCTTGAAGAAAAGAAGAATATAAGTTCGTGTGTGAGATTTTTAAGTTCACAAAACTCTTTATTTTCGGAGGTTTATGCCATTTTTCCTTATACGTCTGTGTCTTCATTCTCCTCATCGCCAAAATCACACATTGTCAGACGATGTGGAATAAAAAATAAGATTCAACAGTGCTCTTCAGAATTTCCGCGATGTGTCATGCTCACAAGTGGTCAGTCTTTCATTTGGTTATCGGCTCTTTTTGCTGTCTGGAGAGGAGAGGAAAAAAAGATTGTGCGGAAAGTGGGGAAAAGATGTTAATTGTCTACTTTTATAAGCGCTGTAAAACTGCCCAACAATGTCATATGGTGTGGTGACAATAAAAAGGCAATAGTGCCTCTCAAAGGCATGAGATTTTGAGCAATTAATTATGCGGGGAAAATGGCACTTTGATCATAATGTACTTCTTCTGGAGGACACTACAAAATGCCCATTGTCGACTAATTGCGAAGAATAATTGGTCTTGGAAACAGCAGAAAACCTTAGTTTGACACTTTCTTGAGTACTTTGAAATTCTAAAACTGATTAATATACATTTATTCGGCATATGGAATAAAGAAAGGAGTTTATAATTGCAATTGGTGTTGAATTATTTTGTAAATTCATTAGTAATCTCTAATTGTCTTGTGAGTGTTTTCGATAAAATAACCAATGTTTGGTTGTCATATCGTCGTGTGATAAAAAACAGGTCACACTTTTGAATACAATGTTCATTCATTGATTGTTTGATTTATTTAAGAGGAAGTTCGATGAATTCAAATAAATTTAAATAAAATTGAGCTTAATTCTTTGTCTGAAAACCTTCATTTTCCGACTGAAAATGACCTCAGACGGCTGGAAATTACCATATTATCCATGTTATAAATATTTGTATGATAAATTATAAGAGAAATTTGGGAATCGCGATGACTTGTACGATTTGTGGTGCTCTGCAGAATTCTGAAGCGTATTTTTTATGTTAAATCATACTTGATCAAGTATATTACATGGATTACATGTCATTTATTGTCACTATTGATTAAATAACATAAGAAATTATGAGGCAGAGCGCAGATCCGCGGAGAGTCCTAAATATCACTTAGCGCTGCTGTTGATTTATGACAATTTTCCTTCTCTCTGTGGCGCGCGTTTTTCACAATACACCTTATATATTAATTAAAAGTGCAAATTGTATAATGTAATGTTTTCGTCCGAGGCGCGCACACACATTTGCAGAAATCCATTAAAATTGATACAGTGAGAGAGTCGTGAAAGTGTGTCGCTCTTTTCAGCAAAACTATATGAACTTTCTATACTAATCAAATTTTTATTTTTGCCTTTTCGCGTCTGTCCTTCTTGGGGCGTTTTTTGCAAACACACTGGTTTTTTGCGGAGCATTGATCAAATATTTTTGGCGTGGAAAATACACAACAATCTATTTGCAATTCGGTGGATTCCTTAAAAGAGGGAGAGGGAGAGAGAAATGAGTAAAAATATTGGCGGTGTGATTTTATTTTGGAGTGCATTTGTAAGGCAATTACTGGCGATGTTATTTATAAGAGAGTGATGCGTGTGGGTGATTGGGAAAGAGTGGCCAGAGTCAATGTGGGACAAGAGTTTGAAGTTTTGATTTCTATTTTTACGCCATTCTTGCCTTTTTCACCGATAAAATATTTAGCGACAGGGAGAGTTTGATCACAAAAGATTTAAATAAATGAAAACATCGATCTGCTGAGCGGCATATTTGGGCGGATGGTGTAATCGTCCGGTCAGAAAGTCGATCTTCTTCCCCTCTTACGTGGCTTCCGTCTTTGCATAGCCAACTGAATTAGCCAAACACGCTTCGATAGTGTCTTGAAAAATGAGTTTAGCTCGGCGAATCAGTTCCGCAAAGTTCTCCGAGGAAATCAGCATTCTTTCCATGACCTCACCTGATGTCGCACGCTGGATTTTTTCATGCTATTCTGCTTATGAGTGCTGCTTATGAGAAGAAATGCGACATTTTTTCTGTACCTTAAGCTGGATGGGAGAAAAAAGTGTTTATTTTGCCAGATTAAGTGTGTTTTTGTCTTTCTCTTCAATATAGTGGAAATTATAATTCCCAAATACCGTCCCAGATGATGTTGAGACGGCTGATTATGTGATCCGAAGACGTTGTGACTCTCAATGAATCGCAAAAGAGAGACTGTTGCTTTCACTTTCGTTTCACATTCAACGCCTTTCTGAGTAAATGCTTGTGTACCACAGATTCAGTTTTATATCTCAATATGCATGCATTTTCCTGGATAAAGATGTTGTGTGCGGTGAAGATGGAAAAAAATTTCTCTCTTGAGTTCACGAGCACTGGCTATGCAAGAGAGGCGAAAATTATGTCACCGCTGGCATATATTTTGATTCATAAATTACACACAGACTTACTCAATGTGTTTGCAAACGGCAGAATTTATGAACAACCCTCTGGACATTTCTCTTTGATCTTTTGAACAACAAATAAGAGAGAGAGAGAGAAGTAAGTGCTCGATAAAACAAGAATAACCACTATGCTGTCAATAATGCTATTTTATAACATGCCCAGCAATATTCCCATGCAGAAGCGATCAGAAAGTGGAATTCGTTGCATTTTCCCAGTGAGAAATTGCAGAAATGCGGCCGAAGAGTGGGCGCGAGGGAGGATTACAGTGTCAATTCTTCAACTTATATTGCACTGATGATGAGCAAATAATGAGAAATAATTTTCTGCAAGAAGTTGTGTTGCAATGCGCGCACCTTTTGAGCAATGTTATTGTGCGAAATTGTAATGCTTCTTACCATCTCTGTCTATCGAATGCAACCTGCTGCAATGCCTATGTACAATACATAATTACTTTATCGTATGTTCGAGGCACGTGAATTGTGTCAAGTTTACCAACCAGTCTTCGGACGCCGTGCATTTGTTCGGCACACTGCAAATTAATTTCAGTCAATAGATTTTTCCACCAAGTCCACAAGCTGTGCTGGGAGACGTTTCAGTTTGAAAAATGACTCTTGTCCGAAAGGGGAAGGTTGAGCATTTGAAACAGCGTCAATCTCAATTATTTGGCCAATGCTTCGCGCGCCGATCAAAGCCTAGCAAATACATTCTGGTCGTGAGAGATGTTTTGGGAGGAGAGGAGCAAAAAGAAATCCCATCAGCATTATCACACACTGACCCTGAGTGAGATGAATGAGGAGAGTGACAGAAAAAATGCAAGATAGTCCATACAATGCTGGGCGATGTTTTTTTTCCACGTCAAGTTCGCCACAAGATCGTCTCGTGACATTGTGAAAAGTCTTTTGATTTTGGGTGCACTTAATCAAGATGGGTTTGTTTAATATAACTTTTTCATGTTTGTGTATACAAATCGTAAAACTAATGTACGCAAAAATGCAAAAAAAAATTATCAGGAAAACCTACATTTTTCTGCTTTTTTCAATGTTGTCTCTTCACTTGTTGGCTCGTGACATTTTTTTCTCATGCTTTGGAGTGATATTTGAGTTATTAGTGTGACAAATTGTCGTGCTGCTGCGCATTATTTTGAAGATTTTAAAGTCTTTTTGAGCAATGTACAAGTTATTTCTTAAACTTACTGTGCAAATAATTTATTATGCAAAAGGTTAAATCGATATATTTCTAAATATGAACAAATTATAATTCCGGTGTGATAGACTTTCTCTATCAAATCAATTAAAATGTTTATTAATTTGTCTATGAATAATTTATTCACCTATTGAAGAACATGAGAATTTTTTTTGGCAACCCCTTATTATTATTCATTGACCAGATTATTGATTAGACAGACAATTTGCAGACCCTTTCCATCTGAAGGCATTCTTTACTGAGAGTGAAAAATAGCAAGAGCAGGAAATCATTGTGAAGTCGTCGTAAAAATGGTAATCATTGTTGTATCATTAGAACAGATGAAACGTAAGAAAACTAGTACAACTTGTGTGACTTAGTCAAGGCAATCTTCAGTGTATTGAGCAACACTGGTTACTTGGGGTGGTTGTGTTTTCTGCAATTGCAATTAAGTGTGAAAAGGCACTAAATATACTCGTCATACGCTGAAAGTCTGCGTTCGTAAAAAAAAGTGTTAAGTAATTACTGCGTTTTTCTTGAGCGGACCGGATATTTAGACAGAAAACAGCGCATAAATTTATTCATAAAGTTTTGATGTAAAGACAATCTTGTGAGGTGGGGAAAAAAAACACTGACGCACAAATATGAATTATTTAGGTCTAATCATTAGGTCATCGAGCGATTAAGTATTAATAGAAATTCAGTGATTGAAGTTGATAGCATTTCTCCACTATAACCTCATGGACGTGTGTAAGGTTACGTAAAATTCAAGAGATGCCCGATGACTTCCTTTTTATTACTATTGATCTCGAGTGAGGGAATAAGAGCTGTTGTCTGGGTCATAAAGAAGTCAGGTGTGTTGATAAGATTATGCTCTCGACAGCATGGGAAATAGTTTCAATATGTGTCTCACAATTGAGTGAAAAAGAAGGTATTGAAATTCAAAGTCACTAGGATAAATATAGTGATTAATTCACTTTAGCATTACTTAGTAATGATCAATAAAGGTAATTGCGAAAATCTACATACGTCAACTTACATGGAAACTTATGACGCTTGTTGTTCTTGACTCTCTCTCTCTCTTCAGTCATAGAACGTCGATGATTTTTCAATTTGATTTATTTGCTCTTATATCATGCACATGAGTCGCAGAATCATTTTCAGTGTATTTGCTAATTTGCTGTATGAAATTTGTGTGAATAATTAAATTTTCCTTCCTCCACGCTTTTCCTCCGATTCACTCTGGAAACAATAAAAACTTTTTCCCTAATCACGCTGTTTCCATTACTTTCTCCACAGATTCGAACTGAGAGGTCTGCTAGTGATTTGGAACACAATGTTGGCCATGTTTAGTATAATGGGAGCCTTCAGGACGGCTCCGGAGTTATTACACGTGCTGCGACATCACGGCCTGTTTCACTCAGTCTGCGTTCCTAGGTAAGTATCTCTGAACTTGACATTCACCCTTGTTCTCAGCGCATTCACTATGGCTTAATGCCTGCAAGATTTACAATCGCATTGCCAAAAAGCGGATGACAAAATCCTGCGGAATCATGTTGATGACTTATTGCCTTATCAATTTATGATTAAATCATCAGTGTGGCGTGCTGTTTTATCTTATCGCCTTCGGGAAAATAGCAAAGATATGAAATTTCAAGCGCTCTTGCAAAGCCGGTCGCCAAAGCTCCGAAAATCAGGTGGTAAAGAAGTGACGCAAGTTCGCGGGTGGGATTCAATTGTGGCTTTTTGGTCGAGATTAAATGCACTTCACTTCTTGGGATCATGAGATTATGAGTTAATAAGAGAAAACTTTGCTGGGGTCTTAGAGAGAGTATTTGCAAGATAAACTTGTACAAATCCAGGCCACACCCTTGAATTGTGTAGAAACAAGATATGGCTAATTAATTAATGTTTTTCTTAAAATTTCATGCTTAAGGTAAAGACAAGTTTTGGAGGAAAGAATAGAAATCTCCGGAAAGAGCATAAATTATGCAATAATCGCAATGTTTTGATTGCGTTTCAACTTTGGTACATCTTGATCTTGTTTTGCTGCAAATACTTGTCTTTACCTTTTCGGAAAAAGGCATTTTCCATGACATTGACTCACTGCGCGATGGTTTTAGTGTGAAACCACAGATTTAATTGCGAATAGAATTCTCTTTACGGCAACACGTGCCTATAAACAGATCGAATAGCAGTCAAGCTGTCTAAAAAAATTGACATTGATAATAAATTTTCTCTGTGGCATTGAAATCATGCGATTTGTATCGCGTGCAGTAATAATTAGGCTTGTAATATCGTAATTCGATGCGAATTGGTGGAAAATTGACTGCACTTGCAGAAAATTTTGCCAATTTTATGGATTTTGCTGTATTGCCTGTGGCGTAGGAAGTAAAATATTAGCAGTTCTTTTAATTGAGGGGAAAAATGACGAGTTTTTGCTGTTTATAGAGTTCATATGTAGTGACATAATATGCGAAAAGTGGCTATTTTGAAAGCAGATGAACTCGTGACCCCAATAAATTGATATAGCAAAGTGCGATCGGAAACTCCTTGGTTGACCTATCTTTTATCACTGTATTCACATCTTAAGGCATAAAAATGGGATTTCAATCTGAACTTAAACAAAGGGAAAATCTATAACAAGTGACAGAGAATTGAGTGATATAGTGTGTAATTATTTCTACTTATCAATCAATTCTTTCATACCTAATTATGACTATGCATTTTGCAAAAGAGAAAAGAGAAATATTTGCATTAATAAAACAGTGTTTTTGATTAAACAAAAGCACTATCGCATTTGTACTTTTGCTATTTTCCTAATGACGGTCTGGAAAAGTGTGGAAATGCTTCTTTCTGCTGGTTCATTCGTCAAATATTTATATGTCTAGTCAACCTTAAACTGCTCTGCAATTTCCAATGTGATTTTCGTAATAGAATCACAGGCTCTGCAATTGCTTGCAATTCACTTGTGCAGTTCGATTTCACTAAAGCTTTCGATAAGTTTTATTTGGTCCTCAGTTCATTTTAACATCTATAAATAATTTCTTTTCTCTTAATAATTGAGTAAACTTCGTTCTACTTACACTTTTCTCCTAAATGCTTTTCGTCTTATTTAGGTCATAAGACCTCATTCTGTATAAGATTAAATATTAACGCGTGCATTTTATTGATTAATAAACTAGGATTTGGTTTATAACGATAAATAAATTCGATGTCATTCGATCTCCGTGGAAAAAAGCACTTTAAACATTATATTACAATCACTAAAGTCACTAAGTAATGTCAAGGTATCTGTGGAAATATCTAATAAAGCGTGAAAAATCCATTTATCACAAACTGTCATTTATCCTAAAATGAAATGCTTTAAAAACGCGACATTCAGAAGGATTCTGTCTCAGTGGATTGAAATAAAAGGGTATAATTTCATGGATTAGACATTAGAGTATTTTTGCTAATCGTTCTCTTCTTAATCGCTCTGGGAAGTCATCAAGCTGTATTATTTATTATTTATTTATAGATTGCAGATCGAGTGTTTCCATAAATGTTGATTAATGTATTTTTGATGGTCTTCCCACTTCAATTTGAGCTCAATACAAGCGGGAATTTATACTTCCGATTGATATGAATCTCCCTGAGGAAATAGTTGTGGTAATTTAGCATTTTTCCCCTTGCAGCTTTATCGAGCAAGACAAAGTGAGTGGATTCTGGACATGGCTGTTCGTGCTGTCGAAGCTGCCCGAGCTGGGCGACACAATCTTCATAGTGCTGAGGAAGCAGCCGCTGATCTTCCTGCACTGGTACCACCACATCACCGTGCTGATGTACTCGTGGTTCTCGTACACGGAGTACACGGCGTCGGCCAGGTGGTTCATCGTGATGAATTACTGTGTTCACTCTCTCATGTACACGTACTACGCGCTGCGCGCCATGCGCTTCCATCCGCCGAGGTTCATCTCCATGATCATCACGACGCTGCAGCTCACGCAGATGATCATCGGGTGCGCCATCAACGTGTGGGCGCACTCGTTCATCCAGACGCCGGGGCGGTCGTGCAACATCTCGCCGATGAACATCAAGCTCTCCATCGCCATGTACTTTAGCTACTTTGTCCTGTTCGCACGCTTCTTCTACGTCACGTATCTGTCGTCGAATGCGCGCAAGGGGCGCCGTATCGCCGCCCCCACGTCCAAGACGGCGTCCACGACGCGCGAGCTGGACAATCTCCTCAATGGCAAGCAAGCTACCAAAGTCAAAGCTCAATAATTAAGCGGAACAGTTTCCTCTTTCGCGCGCGCGCTAAATTATTCAAGTGGGTGAGGTATGATCACACATTGCTACTTAAACACACAGCATCTCTTTCTTTCCAGCCAGCGTATTTCCCATTCGAGAGATGATTCAATTTGCAAACTCCCTCCCAAACACTCGTTTTCACACCATTCATAAGGAAGAAATGAGTACATATACCTCAAAGTGTAATGATTGAATATGACGTTGAACTGTAGTTACACATCCGCATGATGAAAGAGAGAGAATCACTACACAAAAAGCCAAGAGAAAGAACAAACAAGATATTTTTGCATTGCGAAATCACAAAATATTCTGGGTGTTTGTTTAATTTTCGGTGTAGCAAAATGGCATCCAGAATTAAGGATGTTATTATTTGCAATTTTTTCTGTTTATATGAGCAAACGAACAAAATCAGTGTCACACACACATACACACACAATTCAATGAGTGGAAAAGCAAAAGAAAACAGGCCTCTTCTTTTCCTCAAGCTCGAGAAGTGAGGAAAATGAAGAAGGGGTGATCATGAAATTCCTTCACAGTAAAGGTTGTTGTTTTTTGACTGGTAATTTATTTATGTATAATTAGAAAAATTGAGTTTATACTGTAAAACCATAAAGCAATACTGTTACACAAGTTCTATTTCAATAAATAATGGAACATGGGTTATTATTTCACACAAACACACTGCATTATATTTCATTTCTATATCAAAACACGGTAAAAAGAAAAGGCACACAGGAGAAGCCGAAACATAGCTGTAGAAGAAGTACATCATTGTCGTCAAAAGTATTTTATATACCAATTAAAATGATGGGTGAGATTGATGAGAAAGAGAGAAAATTGAGCGAGAAAAAAAAACATTTTATTAAAGTACAAAGCAAGTGAAGTGAATTAAATGCTAAATAGCAAGAAGAAGAAAAAAGGAGGGTTTTTAGGGAGGTAAAATTCCGTCTCAAGATGAAATTTGCATAAGTTTCGTAACAAAAAAATAGGAGTTGAAATGAAGAAAGGAATAAAATGAGATGTTCATGAATGAGAAAAAAACACATCCCAGGAATATCAACAATATTTTTCCAAAAAAAGCCACTAACGTAATTCATTGTTAAATAGAAAAATACCTTGTTGAGTGACCGAGGAATTACACTGCAAGCAGGAATTACAGTCACGGATTATTAACTAATGTTTAGCTGCTTGGTTCAAATTCTTGTAGAAAATTATCAAATCTTCTACAAAAGGTTTAACATTTTCTCATGCAATAAATCCTTGCCATTCTTTGTATCTAGCGCTGGAATCCTTAAGTTAATCTTCAATGTTATCTTTATAACATCTGAATGTTTCGTTATCAACATGGTTCTGAAATAAGCTTACGAGAGACGGAAAGAAAATGCCACTTTATGTCTGTTATTACTTTCCAATCTGATTATAATCTTGAACTATTACTTTTCCTTTATCGAATGAAGCTTGAAATCATCAGTGATTGTGTGTCTCTGTAATTCTTGTGGGCAGTGTCGATCTCAGCGCTCAAACTTGCGGTCTAGAGACGTAATTAAGATGTAGCTCTTCAGCGAATCAAGTAGAGAGAAGACAAAAGGAAACGAAAACAGTGAAAAGAGTCCCAACATTGACTTTGGAGGCTGAGAAAAGGTGGCAAAGCGAAAAAAAACAGCAAAGAACGGAATTGAGATTTTGCATTGTCACACAATCGCCTGACGTCAAGACATCTGAATGATGAAAGTGCGCTGTTCTTCAGCGGCTGAAGTGTTTGTCTCAAATTGTGGCTTTTGGGCTCCTAATGAAGGTCAAGTTAAAAGTCAAAAATTAAGTACGCACTCGCGAGAAAAGTGCTGGAGAGACTTTTTCGCGAGAGAGACTTTTTTTGGGTCACTGTCATTTTTTTCCTCTTCGCGTGTGTTCAATTCACTCTTTCGCGCGCCGCCAAATTCTTGCAATACTGCTGGCCAAAGCTGAAAGCGTGGCCCGAAATGGAACATTGAGAGCGTGAGTCAATGCGTTAGACGACAGCTTCCTAACTTATAAACTATTTATTTTGCATTGGAGTTTTTGGTGTAACAAAATGAAAAATGTATATCTTTCGCTTTATTGAGACGCGATGGCGAAATATGAGTGAAAGAAGAGTGAAAAAAATGTTTTAAAGAACAGCGCGGCAAAATATTTTTGGCATTTTGCGTGACTTAATGATTTTTTTGGCTTGCGAAAAAGTACTTTTTTCACTAAACTCAGAGCGAAGAGCGAGTGAGAGAGAGAGAGCAAATTAGTGAGGAACAGAGAGTGAAATTGTAGTGAGAACTAAACGTGAGTTAGAGTTTTGTGCTGAAATAATTGCAGTTAATTGATGAATAGTAATGAATTAATATTTGCGGTGTTACAATTTGTACATAATGATTATGAAATCTTTTCTTTCAAGTGTATTTAAAGAAAAGGATTGTAGCGAGAGTGGAAGAGAAAGGAAGACGCTTAGACATTTTACACAACTAAATAGGCAGTAAATATTCTAAAGAGATGAGCGAGTAAAATGATGGACATAAACGGGATTTAGTTTTAATTTCATGTTCTATAAATAGGGAGAATTTTAAAGCATTCCTCTTAAGCTTAACGACATTCGTAAGATTTATATTTGCATTATAACAAAATGAGAAAAAAATCAGATTTATGAGTGATGCACGAACCAAGAGCTGAAAAAGAGTCACAAATTCTTTCGTGAGATTCTCAGAATCCCTTTTTTGGCATTTCTTTTCATTCACACAATTTTTGCCACAAATTTTTTTCTATCTTTACTTGAAGGGTGAAAATAATTTAGAGAATAATGACAACAAGAAAATAAATGTGGGAAAAGGGTTTTCACAGACTGACGATGAGATGAAAAAAGTGAGAGCATAAATAAAAGAACTAAAGAATTAAAAAAAAGGTATAATCATTTGAGGAGTGAAAATTTCTGTTTATCGACATTGTAATAATTGGTAAGGATAATAATTAAAGAAAAAAGGCAAAAACAACCTGCTGCATTTTTCCTTCCTCAGCAGCTGTTCGGCGACAGAATTCAAGGAATGTGCATCGAGAGAAAGGCGGAAAGTTGTCACTAAAAATAGGGGCCCTTTTGTTGTTTTCTCCTTGAAGAGGTGTTGACTTCTTTCCTTTCACTTTCGGTCAGCCACTCTTGACCGCCGCCGCCCATTGTCTTTTTTCCCCAGCGAAATATCATTGCTATCCGAGGCGATGAAATGCCACGATAAATGCCTCATCGATTTTCCATGCTGACGCCAATTGCTCAAGGAAGAAAGGCCGCTCAGGTCGCAAATCCATCAATGTTATGGCTTTTTGCCTCCTTTGCACATCAGCATTGGGTTTCCAAGAGCACATATAAATTGTCTGGGCGTTTATCTTGCAAGGCTTGAGGAAGAGATCAGCAGGAAGCAGTTTAATTAAAAGGTAACCCATGGCTAAAATTACGACCCCCCTACCTTTTATTAACTATTTAATCTCAATCTGCAAGAAAGCTGATGAATTTCCTTGATAAAGCACGAACTTCAACCCTTTTCGTCAATTGCAAACTCTGCGAACTATGAGCTGTAAATATATCCTTGAGGATTCCTAGAAGTCTTTTACGTCGAGAATATGATATAGAACCAATTTAATCTCTGAAATTTTTCATCAAAAGAACCAAGATTTTGCATTCCATCAATAATCTCTGCGAATAAAAGGAGAAAAAGGACTTGAGAGTGATTTTATTCAAGGATCAAACGAGAGATAAGTGCTTATTTCCGCTTCTTGACCGCTTTTCCTCCGCTGGGCCGAAACTTCTTATGCGATTTGAAGCCCCTTTTCTTGGAATTCCGCATGCGACTTCCCTCCCACTGCATTTGCTTCTCCGACGACTTGTCCTTGTTGGCCACTTCTTCAAGAGTTCCGTGGTTCTTCAGCTTGCCGCTCTCCTCTAGAATCTCAGAGAAGTCATCAGCGGCGGCAAAGAGAGACGACATGTCTGCCTTCTCCTTCAACTTCCTCCTGAAGTCCTTGTCATTCATCACCTTTACGCCTTTGCGCTTGTCGCCATCATCAGAGTCCAGCTCTTCGTCGCTCGAGGAGAAGGACATCGCTTCCATATCGTCACTCTCATCGTCCAGCGAAAGATCGTCATTGTCAGACGAATCGCCATCTTCCCAGTCGTTCTCCTCCTTCTCAGCGTCCTCTTCATCGCCGTTTTCCTCCGATTTCCGCTTCTTGCCTTTGATTTTCTTACCTTCGACGTCATTCAACTCCTTCATGTAATCAACATCCACCTCGCTGCTGTCCTTCGTCTTGGGTCCCAAACTGTCCAGATACGCATCGAACTCCTCATCATCAACAGAGTTATCAGAGTCTGAATTATCTTCATCGTCGGCGCCGCGCAATTCCCGTCGCTTCTTCAAGAACTCAAAGATGAATCTCTCATTCTCAGTGCAATTCTCCTCCGAAATCGACCTGACTGGCTGTCCTCGACTCCCCATTGGTTTGTATTCCCTCGACTTCTTGTGCGCCTTCTGCACCACGGATTTCACCTCCTTCTCGCTCTTCTTCTTGGGATTCTTGAACGAGAAGCGATCCAGAAATTGCGCCAAGGAGAAATCCACCAGAGGATCTCCGTAATAAGTGTTCTTTTGCTCTGTAAACGAAAATCACTTTGAGTAAATTTTCCTCACTGAAATAGACATTGACTTACTCTCCAGCACGCATTCCACGAATTTCTGCACAGTGGGATGAAAATGCGTTGAGAATCTCAGCATTTCCACAAACGGCTCATATTGCGCTCCAGCTCCAGCTGGATTCCTGTAGAATGGATCGTACTTGAGCGGCAGACGACTCACTTTGGGCTTCTTCTCCTCCTGTTCCTCAACTTTCGCACCATTGAGATCCACATGACACCAGGATTCGCTGCTCTTTGACTTCGTCTTGACGCGCTTCTTAGCCTTCTTCGGCGAATCCTCATCTGCATCCGAATAGTGCTCAGAATCACTGTCGAAAAGCTGAGACTTTACTTCGTTCTTCACAATATCCTCAGCCGTTGGCTTCTCTTGCATCTGATTGAATTCAGGGCGATCTTGCAGGATCTTCTGCATAATGACAAACACTCCGCAAGCCATTTGCGATGGCAGATAGAATGTGATCTGCAGAAGACGCTTCAGGAAGGCCTGCGCGCGCGGGATATCTTTGTCGATGGCCACAGCGCGATGGATGATGTAGAGAAACTGAGCTGACCACTTGTGTGTCATCGACGTGAGTTCAATTGACACCATCTTGCGGTACAAGGCGGAGTAGAAGCGATCGCTGTTGAGGCCGGAACACGTCACGATGATCTGTAGCAAGAGACCCAAAGCCTGGATGGCGATGCGGATTTCAGCGAAGTGAATCAATCTGTAAATTACATCCTGCAGCTCCTCATTGAGGGGATTTGCAGCGGTGCTTGACTCCTCATCCACGGCATTGGCCACCGATCTTCGCAGGCACCGCAGTATGGCCTGCATCGTCCTGTTGTTCACCATGCCTTTGTCCACGAGGATTTTGAAGTAGGAGAAGCAGATGTTGGTCAGCTTTCTGCACACTTCCGCCGAACACAGGCCAGCCGTCTCGGCCAGAAAGGTGAGCGTGACGTGTTGAGCGCGTTCCGATATGTTTGGCCTGAAGATGAGCCTCTCCGCTTCCCGGACAATTACTCCGCACATGTTGGGATGCTGGTGTGCCACCTCGGAGAGGTGATACTGCGCCTTGGCTGCTACTTTCACCGTGGGATCACCCATTTTGTTCACCAGCATGGACAGCAGCATCGATTCCTTCTCCGGACTGTTGATCAGCAGCTTCGCCGCACAGACAATCGCCAGGCATTTGTGCACATCCTGACCACTCTTCAGAACCCCGTCAAGATTCTGCAGGAAAGTGAAATATCGCTGCTTCAGCTCAGACTCAAAGTGCCAGTACATGTACACCTTGTCCAGGAAGCTCTTCTCCAGCTGCTTCTCACTCTTCAGTTTGTTCCAGTCGCTTCCGCGCTGATCAATCGCCACCAATTTTCTGTTGTCCGGCAGAATGGACGTTATAAAGAGATCAGTGATGACATCTATAACATCCACGCTAGCCTTATTTGCCGCCTTGGTCAGTCCAATGAGGACATCTAGGGCAGACAGATTCGCCAGTGGATTGCTCTGAAACAACAACGTTCCGGCATTCGCTCTATCTCTCAGCGTTCCGCGATGAAGCGCCGTCTGCAGCCACTTGGAGTCAGACGGATTCCCTAAAACGACATTGCAATTAGTTTTGAAGGAAATAAGCCTAGATCTTGCGATAAAAACCCACTTTTAAGAATGCTGTCGAAGTTCTTCTCAAATGTTGATTGGCATGTTGACGTTAGCACTTTGAGCTCATCCTCGCTCAACTCCACAATTTCACCAGAATTGTACTTTTGCACCTGCAAGCATCAATTGGGAATTGATTAGCACAAATTGGAGATGGTATTAATCCAGTATTTACCTCTTGAAACCACTTTTTCGCCTCATTTTCCATGATTGTAAGAAAACCACAACAAAACCATGTGCGCTCTCACTTCTCTACTGAATTACTAGGAGCGCTGCCATCGCATCAGGGGTTTTAATTTCCAAATCAAAATTTTAAAAATTCAGCTAATTTCACAAATGAAAACCGGATTATTCAGGTTGATATAAAAAATTATAATACATATTTGCATACTCATTGCAAAAATCATCTGATTTTTATCAACTTTGTGAATTTTTCGCAATAAATATTTCGGGATGAAATTTTCTTTCCTTGCGCGCCCTCTCTGAAACGTCAAGTCAGTGTCAGTGTGTTTTTTGTTCTTCTCGGAGTAAAAATGGCCGCTTGTTAAAATATCTACTTTCTTTATTGTTTGCCAAAGATTCAACAGTGGAAACTCATCTGTGACTATTGTGCGTCTATTTCGTTACAAAAACAACCCCGTCAGCGCTATTGCGTCTTTTGAAGTGAAATAGATCCGTGCGATTGTGGGAAATTTGATCATAGTCACAGCAGAACTCTGCACGTTCATCAATTTGTGCTTGCGGAGCATTTTCCAGGCACAAAAGCATTCAATCATCTTGGTAAATAGACGCAAATTGCTCTCGTAATGCGCCTTTGCAAGAACACATGTGAGATTTTGTGGGCTCATTGATTACCATGATTGTTTTGACTAGTGGAAAAAATGTGGCAAGTCTTGAAATTTGCGTAAGGAAAAGTCTCAGAAAGTCATTTGGATTTGGGGATTGTTTTCATGCAGAAGAGCCCAACGTGTAGAGCTAGCAATCAGCAAAGTCTCACGCAATATTGCTGACTAATTAGCGTGATATCAGCCTCGCCATACTGATAGCCCTCTTGTACACTCGCAGGAACTTTGGTGGTTGTCCAGGAGCACCCCCGGAAGGCAGCCTGAGAAATGATGCATCACAACAACCCGACGCATCATCCGCACATGCATCCGCATCTCCATCCCAGCCTCCAGCAGCAGCATGCGCAGCACCTGGGCCAGCAGATGCCCCACCACATGGCGCCCAGCATGGGCCACTCGGCTCCCGGGCAGCACCACGGCTTCCCACGCGAGCAGATAAATAGGTAAAGGCGCCGAGAAAGCCAGACGTGAATCGGAATAGTGTTGGGAAAGTGAGAAGGGTGATTGTCTGGCACGAAGGGAGGAAAAAACTACTCGTCGGCGATAAAAATGCAGGAGGGATGACGCTTCCCTAGAGCGTAACGAAGGGGAAGACGAACAGGGCAGGTTCACGCACATAGGGATGCGCTAGAGCGAGTGAACTTTCGCCTTATGTGTTCAGCGTTGTCTATCTGATGGACTCAAAACAAACACTGTGATTCGGGCGCATTTGGGAAGTTCAGTGGAGGCAAATGTACTATTCGCGAATGGTCTGCAATAGTGTATTGATGGTTTCGTCAATTTACCGCGCAAAGGCAGTTTTTTGGCAACTCCCGAGGCTCTCTTAAATTGGATGAAAATTGAACCCTCTAAAGGGATTTGCCCTCTGCCCTTGAGAAGCACTTAAAGATGAATAAATGGGGTTCTTTTGCATTCACGCATGAAGTGAATTTGAATGCAATCGAAGGCAATACCTTTTTGGCCATGCACAATTCACATTCACAGTGGTTAAATTCTGCCGTCAAGTTCAGGTTTAAGTTAGAGGAATTATCATATTGGAAGTTGTTTCAATAAGGGGTAAGTGTGGGCGGGGCTTCTGAGTGGGCGGGACATAAAGATGACTGTCTTTCATGACCTTTACAAAGACTCTTTAGCAAATCTCTCGATCGCAGTTCATCCGTTGTCCATAAAATGCATTAAGGCGACATGCATGACGATGGATAATTGGTCATCATGTCACGAGAGAAGCTTTGAATACGAAATTCAATGCGAATGCATGGCGCACAGTTCATGAAGATGGGTGTGTAAATTTTGATGATCGTGCAGCTTTAATTGTATGTGAATATCTTTTATTTATTTAACATTGTGCCGCGCTCTGCACATTGCAAATACAGTCGCGCACAGGAGTGAAGGAAGAATAAAACTGGTGGCGCGAAGACGATCCTGGACAGACAGACAACGAAATATAATTGCTTGTCGTGAATTTGATATAATAAATTGCGACAACTTGTTTTCACTGTGCGCTGCAAAGGGAATTTGATGCGCGAAGGGGGGAAAAGGGTGAGGGCCAGGGATTACCATATACAAAGGGACTTGTGGAGATGGATTAAAATATCCCTTAAATTGTGAATTGGTGTTGAAGAAACAAGCTTCTAAATATTATTGCCACTATTCTCTACCCTTGTATATATGTATTTTTTGTACGGCTTTGTGGACAAAATAAGGAGAGAAGGATATTTGTCATTGCCACTGAAGATGTTCACTCGGACTGGCATTGTTGCGAGTGTCCATTTGCCATTTCGCTCTCGACGAAGGGATCTTCAGTGGCTGGTGGAGTGAGACGGAGAGTGAAGGATGATGAGGACTTTAGTGCTTTTTCACAATTTAGAGAGAAAACCTGAATTGGAAAATTCACATGGTTTAGCGCTATGAAGGCAGAGTTGAACCCTTTTTAGCTGTGCAACACCCATTCAAATTTATACCTTTTTATTGCACTGTGCGCATTTAGTAGTATTAAATAGTCAAACCGAGAGGGAGAGAGAGAAATATTTAATTGTGGTCGAGGTAGATTTACTTTCATATCCTCCACTTTGCATATTTATTGTGTGTTGCGGATCTTTTGATAAAAGGTCATGAGAAAAGAGGAATTAGAGAGAGACACGGCAGTTTATATGTTCGTCTTTGAGGATCCTTGCTAATGAGATCGCGCTCTGTTTAATTGACAGGTCATATCAGAGGATTAATCAACACCAGATTCATCAGAATCATGGCCGGGTGGCGAAGGCGCAGAGTGCACATCACAATTCTATGATTATTGGGCAGCACATGAAACCGGGGAGACACAGTGTGATGGGCGGCGGTGGAGTGCCAGCGCAGATGTCATCGCACCATCACAAGAAGCAACATCAGCAGAAATCTGCGCCTCCACTGCAAGTTCCACCAAATCAAAGTTCTCAGGCAACACAGAGACTTTTGCAGACTATCGAGATCAAGACGGAAGTGTCGACGAGTAAGTAGAAATGTGTGACTGAAAGACTAGAAAACAGTTCATTGAGTGGTTTTACTGTCATTTTAGACAACAATCCGCCACAAGAAGGACCAAATATCCCAACGGTGTCTGTTGTCTCGGCGGCGGCAGTCATGACGTCGCTGGACATCAAACCAAACATTGATATATCTGGTCCTGAAGATCCGTCGACGGACAACACATCGCAGTCTGCAACATCTGAAACCTTGGCAAACATTAAAGAGAAAACTCCGATGTGTCTTGTAAATGAATTAGCACGGCACAACAAGGTGAGATCAACGAGAGAGAGAAAGTGTCTCTAAATCTGTATACTTTATTGAGCTGCTGCTTGCAGATTCAACACCAATATCGACTAACTAGCGAGCAGGGTCCGGCGCACAAGAAGAAATTCACCGTGATACTAAAGCTGGGCGAGGAGGAATACACAGCTGAGGGTCCGAGCATAAAGAAGGCTCAGCACACAGCCGCGGCGGATGCCATCAGTGCCACGAAGTACAAGCACCCGCCGACAAAGACGAATCGCATTCGGGGTGGGAAAGTGGAGAGTCATGTGGGAAATATCACACCGACGGTGGAGCTCAATGCGCTGGCCATGAAGCGTGGCGAGCAGACAATTTACATGAATGACCATCCCATTAGGGGGATGAATGGCATGCAGCCGTACGCGCAGACGAGCGGCAATGGCGGCTTCCTGCCCACGCATCCGCTCACGCAGCAGTACAACAGCCATCAGTATGGGAACTATCACAGTCGCAATGTGGCCGGCGTATATCAGCATCAGCTGTCACGCTTTCAGGGCTTCGACAAAAGGCCTCTGACCAGAAGTTTCCCGCAAAGGAATGTTGCGTCTTTCGGCCACTTTGGCGGCAACAGCTTCGAGCCATATCGCGTCACATTGACCGTGGGCGAGAGGAAGTTCGTGGGCGTAGGGGCGACGCAACAAGCGGCCAGACACGATGCCGCGGCGCGAGCACTGGAGGTGCTGAAGCCCATCACGACGGACAGTCCGAGTCAGGATGTTTCGCTGGTTGAGGATATCAATACGGAGCTGAAGTCGCCGATATCGCTGGTGCATGAAATGGCGCTGAAAAGGAATCTCACGGTGGCATTTGAGGTGAAGATGGAGAAGGGACCGCCACACATGAAAGTCTTCATTACAATCTGCAACGTGGGCACACTAAAGGCAAGATTGTAGTCTATTTATGAATTTGTGGAATTTGTTTATTCTGTCAACTCTGTTTTTATTGGTGTTTGTAGACTGAAGGGGAGGGAAATGGTAAGAAGATATCGAAGAAGAGAGCAGCTGAAGCGATGCTAGAGGAATTGAAGAAATTGCCGCCAATTTCACCAACTCTGCGAGTCATTAAGCCGAAGAGGAAGCCTCAAGTATGAATATTTATATTTATTTTTGTGTGTGCATTTAATTAACTGTTTATTTTCATCTCTCTTTGATAAGGATGTGGTTAAGAAAAAATCACGAAACTTGATAAAGGAGAAGGACGATCCTGAGTACACGGCTGAGGTGAATCCCATCTCCAAGTTGATACAGATACAGCAGTCGAAGAAGGAGAAGGAGCCAATCTACACAGTGGCCGAGGAGCGAGGCGTTCCGCGTCGGCGAGAGTTTGTCATTGAAGTGGCGGCCGGTGGCTATTCGGCGGTGGGCGTTGGCTCGAATAAGAAGGTGGCAAAGAGATTGGCGGCTGAGAATCTCCTGGCGCTCATGGGCTACGTGACGAATGACAAGGAGAAGAGTGAGGAGAGTGAAGCTTCTGTGGCGTCTGTGGACAAATCCAAGAAGGTCACTTTCCAAGAGCAGTCAGACTCGAGTGCTTCGAGTCAGGAAAGTCAGGGCGGCAGTGCTGGACGGCAACTCGTGCCGGGATTGCTGCTGATACAGCAGAAAGACGCTCCGGCGAAGGGTGTGAAGAATCCTGTGCTCAATCCACAGACAACGGCGGCCATTGCCAAGGAGATTTTGGCCAGTGGCACGTCACCAACGGCGGATGCGCTCACAAAAGGCGGCGGCGACTCGCAGGCGAACAACAATAACAATGAGAAGACTAGTGAACCCAGTTCGCCGGCTGTGGCAGAGGGGATTCGACCTAAGGATCAACTGCTCTATCTGGCACAACTGATTGGTTTCAATGTGAGTTAATTCCAACTTGACTGAATTCATAGCATGTTTGTAATACTTTTTTTTTGTTCCTTTCAGGCTCAATTTTCGGACTTTCCCAAAGGCAATCACGGTGAATTTCTAACACTGATCACTCTGTCAACTGATCCGCCGCAATTGTGTCACGGTTCTGGCAACAGCATAGAAGCGTCGCACGATCAGGCGTCCACGAAGATGTTGACGATGCTCAGCAAACTTGGTCTGGACAATGTTCATCCCGTCAATGCACAGCCAACATCAACGTCTCCAGTTGATGACAAGAAGCCCAAACCAATTCTCAGTAATGGTTTAAAGAAGTGAATTGCTTTCCGCATACTTACGGAAAAGAATAAAACTCATCTGTAAGTAATATCATTTGGTTCATCAATTCGTAATTTACACACACACACATACACTCTTCTGAAGTACCTTCATAAAGTCCTTTTCATGCTATCTTTATTCATTTTAAAAATATTACTTTAAGAAGAAAAGATAAAAACTGAAGCTTGCTTTCAAATAGACAGGAAAATGCAATAAAATTATCAAAATATTTAATTAGTCTATGTCTTCTGTGCAACAAAACATTTTTTCTTGTTTATATTAGTTGGATTATTTGTGTAACTTTTCTGAGATGTTATGAGAGAAACCTTGGTTGACTCGAAAAGAAATCATTACTGACTTGTATTTAGCCTGTTTGAGAAAAAACGAGAGAGTGGGAGAGAAGAGAAAATAATAACCATCTCAATATTTGCGAGATTCTGAGCAGTGAAAGAAGGCGAAAGAAATTTTGGGCAATGAATTGAGAATGTTGATGAAATGACAAAGGAATTGAAGGAATGAAAAGTATTATTTTTCTCACTTTGTAACACCCAAAAATGTGTTTTTTTTTCTTGAGTTTCTTGACACCCTCGAGTTTCTCAGAAAATATTCTGATGGTTAATAAACATGAATTGCACTCAGGTGCAAGAGAATGAAAAAGAACAAAGGAAGAGGAAGAGGTGAAGATTTTTAACACGCGGCGATTAACAGTAGAAGTCCCTGTATTAATTTTAACAATTAATGTGTTGATAGAATAGAGATTATAAAAAAATCTGAGACACACATAAAACCAGTGAAGTAAACTTTCTGAATAACGTGAAAGAAGTTAAATGAAACTTCATAAAAATGAATTTTAAGAAAATTTCACAATCTTCTTTATGAACATTTCCTTTTATCAACTTGCAAATTAAGCTGCTGCAGAAGATTGTCAATTATTTCTTTGAATTTCATTGCTTATCTTTCTTTCAAAGATTAAAGAAATTGACAGAAAAAGAGAGATGAAAATGTGGAATAATGTTGAGATTGATGTTAGAAATTGGCCAATATTTATTTTTGACCTGTTATTGAGGAGTTTTTTTTTTAAGTTTCCAATGAGTTCCTTTCACGAAACGAGTGAAACAAGATAATGTATAAAGGAAATGTCATAAAATAAGTTATTGAAAAAAAAAGATGAAACAGAGATATAAATAAATATGAAAAAAAAACAATGTGTAAATGTTGAAAGAGAATATCTGTATGTGAAATACCATAAAACATTTTTCTACTTTGTGAACTATGTTTTTTTTTGTCAAGCTTACTATACTTTTTATCTTACTATCCATAAGTTTAGATAAATCTGTCCCGTATCTCCAAAATCATTTAATATTTATTGAGAGAAAATTATCGTGAGATACGCAGAAATTAGCAAACAAAACTGTCTTTGATGTTGATTTGAAAATTGTTTAAAAGAAAGAGATATTTTAGTAAATTCTCACCAGCATGAATTTATTTTACAAAGAAAGATTCGATGAAAGAAGTGGAAAAAATTAAAACATGAGAGAAACGTTATAATTGTTGAAAAAATATGAAGAAAAGTATAATTTCATATGAGAAAAATGTGAGAAAGAGATGTAAAAACATTTGTTGATTTCATTTCGTTTGATGACACTTTTTTCCTTCGAAAATAAAAGTTTATGTGTCTAATTGCGGGGTACAGACAGATAAATTATATTATTAAAATGAAATTTATTATATTAATTTTGCCAACTAGAAGAAGAAGAGAAAAACATCACGAGAACATTTCATTGTGAATTAAGTATTAATGAAATAATGAAAATATGAATAATCATGTAATCTTCTTCTATTTATATATTGATATATTTGCAAACATCTTCTAACTCATTTTAAAGTGTATTTTTGCGCGATCGTTGTTTTTATTGCCCTTTTTCGCCATTGGATAGGAAATTGTGTAGAAATTGAGGATAAATTGTTGCTGCGCCGTTTTCTACACAATTTCCTCTCCGCATGTCTTTAAATCATATACATAATATGTTTATGTATATATTAAAACAAATGAAATCAATAAAAGTATGTTAGTAATTGTATTACGACTTGTCTTTTCTCTTCAGTCCTTAGAGAATTCCAGCGGTATTCCCAAGGTCTTTCCAATGTTGATTCGAGGCTTGAGGAGCAGCACAATGTTTACATACAATTGCAACATTCGCTCAGTTCCTAATCCACAGCCATACAAAAAAACCATATGATTCACACCATGAAAAGCACGATAAATAGGTTTCACTGCGCGTTCGCCGCTCTTGACAAGTATTTCATCAGTTTTTTGACACGTACTTATTCGAGAGTTCCGCGAGCATCACCATCAAGACGCTCTGAGACATGTTGCAAGTGTACATCGCGCTGGCCGTCCTGGCCATCTGCCTCTACTTCAAGTGGAGCCTCAGCTACTGGGCCAGGAGAAGAGTGGACTCCCCGGCGCCGCTGCCCATCGTGGGCAACATGGGAGAGGTGATCATCCAGAAGAAGCACTACGGCGTTGTCTACGAGGAGATTTACAGGCAAGTTTCCTCCGAAAGCCCTTGTAGTGCAGCTCAAGATACTAACACTGCTGATGTCCTCCGCCAGGTCCTATCCCACGGCCAAGTACGTGGGATTCTACAAAATGGGCACTCCGGCGGTTCTGATGCGCGACTTAAACCTCGTCCGTGACGTTCTCGTGGCGAATTTCGCCCACTTCCACGACAATGACTTCCAGATCGACACCACACTGGATCCCCTGCTGGCCAGTAATCCCTTCACGGCGCGCGGCGCCGAGTGGAAGAACATCCGGAACCAAGTGAGCCCCATCTTCACCACCACCAAGGTGCGCGCCTGCTTCGGCATTATGCGAGACGTGGGCAAGACTCTGCTGGAGTACCTGGAGAACAGCCCCGATATCAATCGCGCCGAGGGCGTGGAGATGAAGAGTGTAAGGCCCCAAAATTGATACATCTTTACAAGGTGTTATCACAAGTAATCATCTTGCCACTCCACAGGTAATGACCAAGTTCACAACCGATGTTGTGGCCTCGGCGGTCTTTGGCGTGAATGCGTACGCCTTTGTCGATGACAAATCAGAGTTCGTGACAATGTCCAGGGAATTCTTCACGCCCGGCTTCTGGAGCGCCATCAAAGGCATGCTGGCCTTCTTTGCGCCACAAGTAGCTTCGCTTCTCCGTATCTCGTGAGTATCTTTGCGCGCGCCAACGTCGATAAGAAATTTACACGCTGCTTAAAAACAACTGATAATGCCTTTGTAGATTCATCAATGATAGCCTGGACGGTCGCTTGAGGCGCCTCATTAGGCAACTTATGGCCTCCAGAGAGAATTCCAATGAGAACACAAGGAAGGACTTTGTTCAGGCCTTCGTGGAGTTGAAGAAGAAGGATCAGGAAAACAGTAAGAATCATGCTTTGGGGCTGAGATGAGAGATTCACACTTACCATCCTGTTCCAGGAATCACAGAGGAATTGATTGTGGGTCAAGCGCTGACTTTTATCACTGACGGCACGGAGACTTCCGCCACTGTCATGACCTACGCCCTTTACGAGCTGGCGCGCCATCCTGAAGTGCAGAAGAGAGTCCAGGAGGAGATCGACAGAGTGATTGCGACGCACGGAGAAATGACTGACGAGGGAATAACGGAGCTTGAGCTTCTCGATCGCTGCGTTCATGAGACTCTGCGAATGCATTCTGTGGCCTTCAACATGACGCGCATCTGCACGAAGTCCTTCGAGCTCCCGCCGCAATTCAGGACAGAAGGACAGCCTGTGACTCTCGAAGTCGGCACTCCAATCATCATTCCAATTTCGGCGATTCACATGTGAGTTATTGCTAGGCAGATTTTCTCTTGTAACTTCCTAACCATCTATTTTGGGGAAATAACAGGGATCCTGAACACTACGATAAGCCACACGTCTTCGATCCGGATCGCTTCCTGGAGGAGGAGAAGCAGAAGAGGAACAGATACGCCTTCCTGGGCTTCGGCGAGGGGCCGCGCATTTGCATCGGGATGCGCTTCGGACTTTTCCAGGTAAAGGTGGCTCTGCAGACTCTCCTGACGGAGTACAACATCAAGCTGGCACCGAGGCAGAAATATCCGGTGGACGTCAATGTGCAGTCCTTCTTGCTGGCGCCCAAAGATGGCATCTGGCTCACGCTGGAAAAGAGGCAGACATCGTAGATTGGCGCACGAATTGAAGCAGTCGCACGATGGCGGAGGGAGTGACTCCCTGAATCCGAGAAGCTGCAGCGATCTGCAAGGAACAGTATTGAATCAAAATCAGGGAAATACACACGGAAGTTAACGAAAATTACCGTCTGTGGTTGAATGTAGGACAACTTTTCGCGTTCTTCGACGGACAAATTGAGGTATTTTCTGCGAAAGAAGAGCGAATCTGTGAGTTTTTCTGCGGAGTCAGAGATTCTGGCTTTCACTTACGAGAAGTAGTCAATGTTGCTGGGAATGAGAAGCTTCTCGTCCTTCCTGATCATCTCAACGTCCACGGCTTGATCGGCCACAACTTGCTCATAGATCGCCTCGATTTTCAGCCTTTCGCAGAGCACCTGATCTTCGCAGATCCAGCCCAGCAAGTCAGGTTCTAGTTTGGCAATTTGTTGGACATTAATGCCGTCCGCTGGGATGGAGAGCATCTCGAAAGCACTCTTGGTCGTAGTGGTTTTGCTCTGAGGCAGTTTTAGGGCTTCTCTCCACAGATAAGTGCGTCTCGTCAGACTCTTCAGCGTCTCAATGGCATCTGAGAGTCTCTGGCGCATGCTCAGGAACCTCTTGTAGCGCTCCTCGCCGACCAGCCCTAAAGCGTAGCCTATTTCCGTGAGGCGCATGTCGGCGTTGTCGGGCCGGAGAGTGAGCCTGAATTCAGCGCGACTCGTGAACATCCTGTAGGGCTCATTTGTACCCAGCGTCGTGAGATCGTCCACCAGAACTCCGATGTAACCGTCTGTGCGGGTGATCCGCAGCGGAGACTTTTGCAAAACTCGAGCAGCCGCGTTTGCGCCGGCCAGAATTCCCTGGGCAGCCGCTTCTTCGTATCCAGTTGTGCCATTTATCTGCCCAGCGAGGAACAGTCCAGCAATTCGCTTAGTCTCGAGTGTTGTGAAGAGCTCTCGAGGGTCTATGAAGTCATACTGAACGCCGTAGCCTGGACGGATGATTTCTGCCGCTTCCAAACCGGGAATGGTCCGCACGAGCTTCTCTTGCTGCTCCTCAGGAAGTGTGCATGACAGCCCGTTGGGGTAGATCACATCACTGTCCATGCCTTCAGGCTCCAGCCAGATTTGATGGGATTTCTGGCCGAAGCGCAGAACTTTCGACTCAATTGACGGACAATAGCGCGGCCCAGTGATCTCTTCCGACACGTGCCGATTCACGTGGAGATTCCTTGTCACGATGTCATTGATGGCCGGCGTGGTGTGGGCCAGATGACACATCAATTGATCTTCAGGTTCCAGCCAGACGCGGGAGTTGAGAAACGAGAAGGGAACTGGAGGATTGTCGCCGGGTTGCTTGGTGAGATTCGAAAAGTCTATAGAGCTTCTCTTGATCCTCGGCGGTGTGCCAGTCTTCAAGCGAGCCATCCTGAAGCCTATCCTCTCCAGGCTCTCAGCCAGACCCACAGCAGGAGCGTCTCCAATGCGTCCAGCTGGTCTCACGTCCAATCCAATGTGAATCTCCCCTCGCAGGAAGGTTCCTGTGGTGATTATCACAGTTTCTGACTCCACTTCCGCGCCACCCTCCAGAACAACTCCTCCACATGACACTCCGTCCGCTGTCTCGCTGAGAATCAAATTGTCCACCGAAGCTGTGCAGATCTCCAGATTCTCAGTGCTGCTCAGTTCCTCCTGAACAGCCTTCTTGTACAGCTGTCTGTCAATCTGCGCCCGCGGTCCCCAGACAGCTGGACCGCGTCTCCTGTTCAGCATCTTGTACTGCACTCCGGATTTGTCACAGCATCGACCGCAAACTCCATCCAAGGCGTCAATTTCCCGGATCAAGTGTCCCTTGCCAATTCCCCCAAACGACGGATTGCACGACATCTCGCCAATTGTGGAGAACTTGTGGGTGATCAACAGCGTCCGGACGCCCATTCTGGCCGAAGCTGCACAAGCCTCCGTCCCTGCATGACCACCTCCTATCACAATCACGTCATACTTCCGCCGTGGAGCTGAGCAAAACCTAGAAATTACCAGGAAGATTCAGTATGTTGCAGGGAAACTTCACTAGAAAAAAATACCTCCTGAATCCTTGAAGTCGTTCTGATAATCTCCTGCAGGATTGCATTTCTTAAACGGTGTCTCTTACTGAATTTTGTATCACTAAAAGGCACACCATCCCTATGGAGAACGGATTCCACGATCCGAAATCGTCCATGGAATATCTTCCACTTTTGTTCCTATAATAGGAATAAAATCCTCGGAATTCCAAGCTATCCTCCATGGATAAATTCCACTTTATTCCAAGCAAGATACCATGGAATAATTCCATACATATTCCTTTTGGCCATCCATGGATATTAGAATGGAACATTTTCCATGGTGCTAAATCCGCGGAATATCCATGGGTTTTCCACGGAATAATTCGCTCTTTGCGCGTCCCCACGCGATTACGTCAGTCTTGTGAAATTCTTCTCATAGGAAAGAACGCGTAAGTATTTTCTGTACTTTTCAGTACTAAAACGTTAAGTTTTTAATGGTAAACACTCTAAGTTTGGTGATATTTCCAGGAAAAGTGCTGAATGTATGCGATGGAGACGGCACAGGGACCCCACAGTCAGAGAAGACTCGAGGTTTCCGGACAACGTCAAAGTAGGAGAAACAACTAATGTAAGTATGGAATTACCGAAACATAAGAGATATATCCTGTTTTCTATACTGAACATGTCTTTTTTACAGGAAAATAGGATGCGGAAAAGCGGTTACCGGAGGATCTACTTATCCGACAGAGTGTGACTCATGACAAGGTAAAAAATGTTCTTCATGTTCTCGAATTCCTATGGCGAAAATCCATGGAACATCCTATAAATAACCATGGAAGATTTCCATGCTAGAATTTCATCCATGGTGAATCCCTTGGAACTCCGTGGATCAGCAAGGAAAATCCTTGGAATTCAGCATGGAAGATTCCATGCTGAATTCCATAGGAATTTAGCTAGGATGATTTTCCATGGATTATTTCCCACATTGCTTCCAAATTTTCCATGGTGACTTTTCCCATATATGGAAGATTTCCATTGTGATTCCATTGACCAATCCAAGGACGATTACAAGGAATACCATGGAGGGAATACCATGCAAATATACGATCAGTAATTTGTGTATTCTATTTTCCAGCATTTCTCAAACATATTCGGACCGGTGCGAGAAGACATCAAAGAGCATCTCGACATCCGGCGACCACGGTAGCAGTCGTCTAGAAGAGTAGCAGTCCCTGGGAAGCGGCATAGCAGCCACCAAGGCAACGCGTCATAAAAATTTGATACACATTTGTAAGCTTGATAGTTAATATTTAATAAATACAAATCCAAATATAAATGAGTCTTTTTTTTGGATATTTTGGGGCGGAGCGCCGGGAATTTCTGGGAGAAATTTCACACATTGGAATTTCCTCCATGGTATTCCTTGTAATCGTCCTTGGATTGGTCAATGGAATCACAATGGAAATCTTCCATATATGGGAAAAGTCACCATGGAAAATTTGGAAGCAATGTGGGAAAAAATCCATGGAAAATCATCCTAGCTAAATTCCTATGGAATTCAGCATGGAATCTTCCATGCTGAATCCAAGGATTTTCCTTGTTGATCCACGGAGTTCCGAGGAATTTTCCATGGATGCTATTACGCGGATTGCATGGAAATCGTCCATGGTTATCCATTGGATATTCCACGGATTTTCGCCATAGGGTATCCGCCGCATATGCGAATGCTTTTTAGTACTGCGGCCGTCAGATGATTTTAGCACTCACGCGCCGTGTCAAAAAAGCGCGGGTATTCCAGAACCCCATTTTTTCTGCGTTATGTGTATTGATATTTTATCTTTGTGTTTTTATGAGAAATCTTAAGTAATATTGTAAAATAACCCGAAAAGTGTCTCTCAAGTGATAACAAAGGCCTCCTTGATATGGAGAATAGTGAGTTCAGTGAATATATTGTGAGAATAGCGATGAAATACACAATAATTTATGTGACTCTCTCTCTATAGAACTTCTGGCGAAGAAGCGAAAAGCCACACAGGAGAAAAATGTCCAGCAAATTGCAACTTCCTGCCACAACCTGGGGAACTTCTACCATGAATCTGGTCAGTATGACAAGGCTCTGCAGGAGTACAAGGCAGAAGCGGAGCAGTGGAAGGTGCAGAAAAATCAGATGAAGTACGGAATTGCCCATCGAATGATCGGCGAAATGCTGATGCTTCTGGGCGACGTGAACAAATCCCTGAAGCACGAGCATCAGTATCTGAAGATCGCCCAAGAAGAGAAGGACAGCATTGAGGTACAGAGGGCTTATGCAACGATCGGCAGGGCTTATCTGCTGAAGGGGCAGAATCTCACTGAGAAGGAGAGCGCTGCGGAGAGAGCAAAGGCTCTGAAGGATGCTGAGAGGGCCTTTCTGAAGAGTTTGTCGATTTGTCGTGAGCTGCCGGGGAAGATAAGCAACACCGAATTGCAGGACATGATGGCAAGATTGTATCTCAACTTGAGTGTGACGAAGGAGAATTGCAGCGAGGAGATCGAGAAGTCTCTGGAGTATATGACCAAGGCGATAGCCATCTGCAAGAGCCACGATCTCTATGAACTCCTGCATCAGTGCTACATGTCGACGGGACTCCTGTATGAAGTGAAGAAGAAGGACATTGGCAACTCCTTGCGGTATCTGAACCTCGCCTTGGACGTGGCGCAGCGCCTGGAAGCGCGGACGATGAAGATATGCGAGACGCTCTTACTAAAGAGTGAGATGCTGATCAAGTCAGGAGATTATCAGAGTGCCAAGCAGACACTGCACAGAGCGTATAAGTTGAAGTCTCCGAATGAGATTGACCGGGAGACAATAGAGCAGAAGCTGAAGGTTGTGGCTGCTCTGTGCTACACTGAAGACTCCCTGATCACTGCCAATTCAGAAGACTTCAGGCGGAAGAAGGATTTGTATGAGAAAATGGGCGATGGATCGTGCAAGCTCGAGAACTATGACAAAGCGCTGAGTTACTACAAGAAAATGCTGGAGAATGCCGAATTGAGTGGCGAAAGTGGCAAGGATTTGATACCCATTTACGTAAGTCTCTATCAGACATTTAGAGACAATCAGAACTACAAGGAGGCTCTCGAGTATGCATGGAAGGAGTATGAATTATGCAAGGAAGTGCCTCAGGAGGCTTTCCTCACGCTCATGAACATTGCGGAATTATCGGATTTGGCGGAGATGGATTTCTGGGAAGTGGAAAAGATGTATCAGCGCGCCAGGAAGGAGACAGGGAAGACGGGGGATAAGAAATCCGAAGCACTGGCTATTGGAAAATTGATTGTCCTGCAGCGGAAGCACGGCATGGACACTCTGGCGGATTTGCTGGAGAAGGAAGCTCAAATGTCGGGAATGGATATGTCAGCGGCGGCTGCAGAGGACGAGGAAGCGGCTTGTGATGATGGAAATGTGCCTGGTATTGGCGATGACATTTGTCTAGACGACATCTCTGACTCTGGAAGTGAAGAGGATGCCGACATCCCGCTGGCAGTTGAGCAGAAGCGACCAATGAGGCGCAAGAGAGTGACAAATGTGGTGAAGAGGAACAACAAAGGAGAAAGCCAGCTTCATCAGGCTTGTATCTCAGGGAATGCCACTCTGGCGCGGCGTCTTCTGGACCAGGGACACCCAGTCAACATTCGAGATCACGCGGGATGGCTGCCACTGCACGAGGCGTGCATCCATGGACACAGAGATATCGTTGAGATGTTGCTGGAGAAGAGCTGCGCCACGATAAACGATCGCGGCGGGACTTCTTGCGACGGAATAACGCCAATTCACGATGCCTGCTCGAATGGACACCTCGAGATTGTGGAGCTGCTGCTGGATAAAGGCGCCAATGCTACAGTGAAGACAGATTTCGGGGACACTCCTCTGGACACGCTGAAGATATGGCGAGGCACAATGCGACTGGAGGCAAATGAGGTGGCTTTCTACGAGACAATTGTGCAGAGACTCAGCAAACTAATGGACAAGGCGGGAATAAATCCCAGAGAAGTGAATTTGACAAATCGTCGACTTGCTCACGCTCTTGTTGATGAGGATTCCAGCGAAGGTTTCCCCATTGAGAGGGAAAATTCTCTCTCGCCCCCTCTGGTTTCGACCAAGAACTCTGCAGTCGCGGAAGATTCATCTCGATTGTACAAAAGTGTAATAGACAACTTGAGGAAGAAGAAATCAGCCAATGAAGAGCCGAAGAGTGAAGTGTTACTGCCGAAGAAGAGATCTGCATATCTAGAAGGAGACGAAGTGGGTGAGGATTGGCTTGAAGATGATCTTCTGCCGAATAAGAAGCGCAGAAAATTTCTTAAGGATTCCCGGGAGTTTTGCACGCCCAAACAGAAGAAAACAAAGCCAGTGATTCAGGAAAGTGAAGACAATGAGATGGAAGATCTTGTGATTGAGGAGCCGGAGATTCGAGAGACTCCGCCAAGAAGAGTCACTCAAACATCCTTGATCGATGCTGGTTTCTCACGACAGCAAATTGATGTGGATCTTGACTTTCCGTTAAACATATCGCCAGGGAAGTCCTCGAGATCCTCCACGGGAAAATCGCCGTGCGTGCCGCTGATTGTACACAATATGATCTCTGTGAAGGTGAAGATTGACGATCAGCTAATTGTGGTTCCTGTGAATGCTGCAGAAGTGCAGAATCTGCAGATCAAGTGGCTGACAGAGCGAGCTTCCAAGCGCTACTACAATCTTCACGGACGTCTGCCTGAGATGCTGCTAACAACAACAGACGGAGCGGTGTTTGACGATCAAGATCCTATTTCGCTGGTTATCGACAATGATCAGAACCTCGTGCACTCGCTGATCAACAAATGGAACGTTCTGTCGCTGGCGGAGAGCTACAAAGATGTGGCGAAGCAGATGGAAAACGGTGAGGAACACTAATCTAACTATTTTCATTTTCATTACATTTCTAACACTCATTTGCCTTTAAAGTCGAGAATGTGCAGATCGTGAGGGCTCTGGAAGTGGCTGAAAACTCAAATGAGTTGATTCTCGCCGATTTGGATGTGCCTTCGAAGGAAACACGTGCACTGTTTAAAGCCATACAGCATCATGTAAATCTCTCAGCGATTGATTTGTCCAGGAACATCATTGAAGACGAGGGATTGGTGTACTTGTGTCAATCTTTGAGCTCCCTGAAATACCTAAATGTTCTCAATTTGAGCTGTAATTTCCTCACGGAGAATGGACTATTGCGACTGGCGAATGTGCTTCAGGAGACCAAAGAGGCACTTCTACCTGAATTGAAAGACTTGAACCTGAGCCACAATCCGCTTGGTAATGGAAGCAGGAAATACTTGTCGATCATTTGTGAGAAACTCCCCAAATTGCGCATTCTCAATCTCTCAGCGTGCGATTTGACGGAATTGGGAGATTGCAATCTCGGGTTTTCTCACCTGGATAGTCTCGATCTCAGCTTCAACACCTTCAAGGATGCTGAAGAGTTGCGCACAGTCTGGCGATTGCTGGATGTGACGCGAGTGGAGAGCATTAGACTGGGATTCTGTCTGAAAAGTCAAGGATTGGGAAAGCAATTGGGCAATTTTCTGCAATCTGGATCTCCCAGATATCTTACGGAGCTACATTTGCAAAATTGCCACTTGACAGATGCCGATTTGTGGACAATCCTGAAAGCACTCGCGGGAAGAGAGATGCAAGAAATTGATCTCACACAGAATCCAGTTACGAGTCTCTCCCTGAAGTACTTTCTAACCACCAGCATTTCTGTGGCACACGTGAAATTTCTGGGATGCGAGAAAATTCTCGATAACGTCAGTATTCTGGAGGAATTGCCTCCGTACGAGGGAGAACTTCATCCGCAGCGAATAACACTGTTTGGGAGATGCATTGAAGAGGAGATGATTGAGCATCTGCGCAAGGTCTGGACATCATGCTGGCTACAGAAAGAAGCCGTCGTTGAGAGGAAATCCAGCAGAATCATTCAACTTCACTTAGCTTAAGGGAATCTTTGTAAAGGTTGGTTTTATTCAAGCAATAACTAGTATAAATCTCTGTATGATCTCCATTAATCTCTCTTTTTCAGGCAAGAGAACGCGTCTCTAAGTCAGTCTGAAGGCGCGGCAAAAGTGTGTGCGAATGACGGAGGAAGAAGAGCTTCAATTTATAAAGGTAAGGCTATCGTAAATGTTGGTTAATTCCATGTACAGAGCATTTCTGATCTCCTTCGAAGGTCCAAGTGGTCTGTAAGGATCGGCCTCTATGTTATTCTGCGGATCTGCGCATTGGTCCAGTAAATTTAGCAGACTCTTTGTGGAGCGCGACGTGACGAGAATTCCAGGTGAATATGTCGATCCTCTAAAAATCTACAACAGCAGCAAAACAATTAGATGTTCTTAAAATAGTGCCACAAAATTCTTACTTTATCACAAGCAATTTGCAAATTATTGTTCATTTGTCGATTTGTGCACTTCTCAATGTTCTTGCTGCACTTGCTGCGGCACGCCTTAAAGCTACACTGCACGTCCTTCCAGCACGTCTTGGCGTCGGAAATGTAGCGATCCATGAATGTGGCGGAGAACACGTGCTCCAGATTCATGTACTTCAATCTATTGTCTGATATGCCGAAGTTGGTTAATTTTATATCACACATTGTTATCAAATTATTATCTAGTTCCTCAACAAAGTCGAGAATTAAGACGGCTTTCTGTATACGATGTTTCCAATCTGTGGCACTAAGAAGAGATAATCTTGTGTAGTTTCTTAAGATGAGCAAGTTATAAATAGACAGACTTAAATTGTACCTCAGAATTTCCAAATGATTCCCTCCATCGAAGGGCGTGATGTATTCCTCGCCGAAGAACGGTCCGCATGAGCCGTAAATCTTCGGGAACAGCTCCATATTGTCCCAAATCTTTGCCATCATGTAATCGTTGTCATTGACGAGGCGCCAAGTATCCTCGAGAAAGCGATGGAAGATGTCCGTGTCGCCGAAGTGAATCCTGAGGCCGAGGAACTCTCGCAGCTCCGACAGTGGCAAGATTGTGTTGTACTTGAAGAACATCGTGCGATTGACGATCCTGATGAACTCCACTTCGGACGGAAAGTGCTCCTGACCATCGCGATCGAGCCATTTGAGGGCATCAACGGTGTTCGGCGCCTCCTTCACCGTGATCCTGCGACTGCTTTCGCTCCCAATCACGAAGGCGAGCTTGCGACTTTTTGACGCATTCTCAGGACACTCAAAATCCCTGCGATGGGAGCAGATTTCGCTGCACAGAGATCCGCTGAATTCATTGCGATTGAACTTTTCGCACTGCAGAGAAGAGAGAAAAACCGTGAAGAAGAAGCTTAAAGGCACATAAGGTAAGTGGAAAAGCTGTACTCACGATAGTTGATATCTTCTTCTCCAAATTTACCCTAAAGCATATCACTTCCAAGTGGAAAATCGTACAATAGAAGACAGTTGATGCGATTAAGAGGACCAAAAAGGCAATATAGCGCTTCCTAGCGATGCACTTTCGTGCCGAACCGATAAACTTGCTGAGAAACATTTCGCTTTTACAGATTTCTTGCTCATGAATTTCCAGGTCTCTTTTCTCCACCGTTTTTCTCCACGTTCACGTATGCGATGCACTTGTGGATTGATTTTGTCAACTCATTTCACCCCGAAAAGTGTGTGTTTGTCTCTCGGTTGAATTACGTAAAAAAAGGGCAGGAATAATTTAGGTAATTGGCAATCGAAGCACTTTGATTGGCATTCCAAAAGAGCCGCAGAATTTTGTCGCAGAGCGTGAAAATGAGCCCAGTGACAGGAGAGTTCAGTGTTACCCAAAAGAAAAGTGTTGGTATGCGAACAACCACCTGCCCCAAGAATCCTTCACACTCCTCGCGGCGGCGCAGAAAAAATCCTCGTCATTCTGCACGGTCATTTATTGGCAAACACCGGCATTAAAAATAGATCACATTCACTGCTTGGGAGGATTGTAAAGCTATGAGAAGCACCTGAGCACACCTGAGTTAGTACTGGTTTTGCGCACTATCGCTGGCATATTGGTAGGGTTGATTAGCATCATCTGCGGAGAGATTAGTGGGACGAGAATTAGTGTAAGAAGTTATCGGATAACAGAGGGTATCTGTGCAGGTAGATCACCCCACCTAATCGCCCCTGGTCGCGGATGCGCTGCTGCACGAGGCGCTCCTCTGCCTTGCCGTCGATTCCCAGGCCCAGGCGCTCGATCAGCTTGTCCGCACGATAACCATGCAGCTGCACAAGACATCATCAATGCAGGAAAATAATGGGAATCAAAGAAGTGAACTATGTGCTTACGTCGTAAAATTGTTGACGTCTTTTCACGCTCACGTCGGGATCAAAGTCAAACTCCTGCTGCTTATGAATTATCGGAGCTCCAGCTACATTGTCCTGGATGAGAATCTTGAAGAATTCCTGCACGTAAGCACCTTCGCTACGGTGCAGACTGAGGATGGCCAGAAATGAGGCCTGACAAGTTAACATTAGAAATCAATTCAACATTTATGGCAAAATTGCAAGTTAATAATTTCTTCAGTTTCCCACAACAAGTTAAGCATGACCTGTTGAAAAGGTACATTGCTCTAAACACTTGATCTCAATCGGTGAAAGCTGTCGTATATTTGCATTGATTTGTATATTTGTTTTGTCTTAGTTTTTTCTCAATATCTTAATTACTTGCACGTAAGACAAATTAGCTCTCATTATCGTGATAGCGTTTGAATAGATCTTCAAATAGGTTTTCAGACGAATTTACTTACCAGAAACAAGCAATTTTTCCACGAAATCATTCTTTTTACCAATTTCTTATACACTTTTCACCACAAAATGAACAAAATTGATCTCTTGACTGATCTTCACTGCAGAGTTTCTGAAAGCCAACTAAAATCTCACCTCAAACACACGCACTTTGCCGAAGAAATCGAAAGTCGAAGGCAAAAACCACTCATTTTTTGGGTTTGTCTTGCAATTATGATAATTGTGCAACTCTTTTAGAGTGTCTCTCACACATCGATCTCGTCAAAGAGATCACCTTTGATAGACATCTTTGGCAAATAGGCATTTTTTCCTATAATAATCATAAAACTTCTTGGCTTCTTAGGACTCGAAGTGTGATATAAAAAGAGATACAAGAAGAAATATATGGGGAAAAAGACGTGCCGACCGAAATAAAAAACTTTCACTTTTCGTTGCTGAGGCGCGCTCGGAGGTAAATTTCTTCAGTGTGCATTCGGTAGTCGTTCCGTGAGTTACGTGGAATTTTTCAGTGGTTTACCTCAGTGTGAAGAGCCTCTCTTTGGGGTTGAGGAACTGAAAATGGCCAAAATTTTGGGGATTTTTCTAATGGTAATGTGAATTTTGGTGAATATGGAATTATTTGCGTTATTTTCTCACTCAATTTGTTGCTCTATCGCAGGTTCTCTTTGGAATCTTTCTCATGGTGAATTTCATTGAGGCCACTGCCCAACCGAAAGCCCCAAATTTTCAGTATTTTGAAAGGTGAGTGACTCAAAACTTTCACGTGCGCTCCGCGAGACGTATTTGGAGATTTCTCTACAGACTCTTGAATCAGTGATATCTGTGTGATCTTTCGGGACGGGATTTCCTTCCTCCATCCACTTGAATGCCACAGGAAATTCCGCATAAGCATGCAAAATCAGTTCCTCCGACGTCACACTTTCACATCTGCTCAGCTGTTGCTTCGAGACATGATCGAAGAAGTAATCAGAGAGGCGCCGTTACGAAATCTCTCACATACTTCTTGGGAATTGCGCGCGTGTTTTCATTTTCACTCTTTCCTCTCGCGCAAGACGCGATGAGCAGAAACCACTGTTCAATTATATGGGAGGAGAGCGTGATCATTTCAGCCACTATTGAGATTGATGATATAACAATGGGAGGCTTTTCTGTGCCACCAGACAATACCATTCAATGCGCGTTTTCCCTCTTGCAGGCCACGCTATCGCTATCCGTACTACGATGAGAACGGCCGCGGAAAGCTGCTCTATGGCTACGGAGGCGCTGAATTGTACCAGTACAAGAGCTACACGCCACTCGATGGCATTCACTAAACGACTTCAGGAAGATATTCAATCAATTTACTCTCAAACTCGGCGTTTCTGCGTGGAAATGTACAGGACGTTGTTGCCACGGATGAAGGCGTCGCCGTACTTATTCTTCAGCTGCCCATTAACATACTCCTCCGTCTGATCTAGTGCGATGTTCATGTAGCCATCCAGACACGCCAGGACACCTGCAAAAAGCCCCCTTAAAGTCTTCCGGAAAGCACCTTTGCAAAATTTGTTTCACCTCTGTAATCAACGCCACTGTTGAGCTTCACAACCACCGGACGTCCGTGGATTTGATTGATGAACTGAGAGAGTGCCTCTTTCCGTGACATTGTAAGAAAATCGGGAGTTTTCTCTGGAAAAGGAAAATGTGTTTACGCCAACAAAACCTCAAACTAGTGATGATCACATTTGTGCTTGAATTATACGATTTTTCATGCAAAAATTAAGTGTTTTCCATTTGCGACACCTTCCATACCTGTTCTTTGATGAATTAGAAGTATTTCCTTGCCGGAAAAGTGGCAAAACTAAGGTAAATGCGGATTAATTGTAACACCGCGTCACTCTATTTGTAAACAGAGATGCTGTCAGTTTCCCCTCAATGCTGTGAGAGGCTGTGAGATTGATTTTAAAAGTAAACAGAATTTATTATTTGTAAATTTACATCAAATCCCTTCTAAACTATGTTAATTTACTCTTAATACATTATTTTATTCATCATTTCTCCATTGAGGTGATTAACAGTAAGCATTATCGAAATTCTTGCGACAAAATCATTTTTTTGCGCTGTGTCTCTATCAGCTAATCATTATCAATTGTTTTTTTTTTTGATGGTATAGAAAAAATATCGCGGAAAGCCTATTGCGAGGACTCCAGGAAGCAGTTTACTCTGCCCACGCCATCAGCTCTTTCAGGTCTTTGTCATCCGCATCGGCAGCCGTTGCTGAAAGAGAGGAAAACCGCGGGTTTTTAGGGCATGAGTCATTTTATGGATGAGAGATAATTTCTCGCGAAAGAAGATCGCGTTGTACCTTTTTTCTTCTCCTTTGCCTTCTCTTTAATCTCATCGGACGGCACTTCTGGTAGCTCCGTTGCACTGGGACCGACTCCAAGGAGTTCCTTGTCCAGCTCCTCCTGTTCGAGTTCCTCCAGCTCCTTCTCCAACTCATCCTCGTCCACATCTTGGCCTGGAAAGCAAATTAGAAAGTCAATTTCACGTTTCTTATTGGACAAGTGTGATTTGGATGCTCACCGAATGACACAGGATTGGAAATAGCGTCGGAAATCTCGGTTGCAATGTTCTGCTGTTCGGCAATATCATCCATCATGTCGTGAATCTGGTCCACGTCCCTGAAACGACAAGACAAGTGTCAATTCCCAGCCTCTACAGCTCTCCAGCGGGTCATACATGTGATTGTGGGCAGCTTTGAGGGCATCTGCAGCGTTCTTCATTGTGGTCAGGACAGCCGTGTTGGTATTTGCGCTCTCCAGCGCCTCCCGCTGCATCTCTATTGTCGACAGCGTGCCATCGATCTGTTGCAGCTGCTTCTCGTACTTCTTCTTCCGCTTCAGCGCTTGGATGGCCACTGAAAGATCCGGAAACATTAGTTCGAAGGTCATCTGGTCACTCCATGTCAACGCACCTCTCTTGTTTTTCGTCCCATTCTTCCGTGCAATGTCCAGTTCGGCGTCGATCTTAGACTCCAGGAACTCCTGCTTCTTTATCAGCATGTTCTCAGTCTCCCGCAGCTTCTGGATGGCCTCCCCAGTGGTTGGGGCGGCCTCTCCTTTCTTCCCGAACATCTTCCCGAAGAAACTCATCGTCCACCACCTGATTTACCCACTATGCACACCAAATTATAATGCCTCAACACTCCCTGAACTATGTACAATGCTCTCCCTGAGACCACGCAGCAGATTTCCCCCAGGGAATTGGCAGAAATAGAAAAGATTCGCGAAACTTTTGAGAATTTTCACTGACGATGCGTCATACAATTTGACAGCGCCTCGGCTTTCTTCGAGTGCTCTTCGCGTGCTCCGTTGAAGGGTTTCCGCGAACAGCTGATGACTGGACCTCCGCGCAGGAGGATATTTTGGACGCGGAAAAAGCAAAATTTCAGTGGAAAACCAGATATTTCCCAGTGAGAAATGATGTGAGGTGGCACTATGAGTGCTGTAGTGTGTTTTCTGATAATTTGTGCCATCATTTACGGTGGAATAACATGGTAATGTCACTTTTCTTTCACACTTTTCTTTCACACTTGTCTTCACTAATTCCGTTGATGACCTAATCTCGGGGCCCCAAAATCATTTCAGGCTCCTCCCCAAGCTCTTCGGGTGGTTCCTTGTGCACAAATTCAAGATAAAAGTGCGCTTTGGCCGCATCAGCTTCCCATTTTGCTTGAGAGATGTTGAAGTGTGTAAGAATGGCTTTTCCGTGGTGAGTTTTCCGAACTTTCCTTGACCTTCTGCCTTTGGGCACTTTTTAAGTCTTGTTTTTTTGCATCTCAGCACATTGATGAGATCGGGATTCGCAGCAGCTTCTTCAATTCAGAAGTGTCAAAGTTCCTCTCCATCAACATACGCGACATTCGGATTAATAAGGACATTGTGGCCAAGACTGGAGGCTCATTCCCATCGCCGGCTGTCTACTCGGCCCCTGTGGACTTCCGCAATAAGAAAGTGCCCACGTCTATCATCAACTTCGCTCAGTTTATGGCCATCCACGTGTACAACATATCACTGGTGCTGATGAACAACGATCTGGATGCCGGATGGCTTCTGCACGCCATCGCCAGTGAGATGCATTTGGACGGTAGCATCGTGCATAACTCCAAGACGCTGATCGTCACGGCGGCTCTGTGCGACGCCCAAGCGAAGATCCTGCGCCACTATCCTACGCGGAAGCCTTCGCTGGAGAGTCACAGCAAAGCAAAGCCTTGCCTGGCGGAGTTCAGCTTCGGTGTGGCCTTGGAGGGAATTCTACTGGCTCAGGGACCAATCTCCGTGGAGAATCTTCAGGTGACAATGAGCAACACGAAGACCACCCTTCACGATGGCTTGTATGACTTCCTGCGGGTCGTTGGGAGACATCCGCGGCCGAAAGTTGTCAAAGCAGTGCCTCAGGGTGAGAAGGACGCTCAGAATGCCTATGATTTCATCTCACCCATCATCCCGAAGAGCTTCACGCTGAAAATCGAGGACACGACAATCTCTTCGGTGCGAGAGAACAGCTCGAATGACTTCTCTGCCCAATTGCAAGCGTTCACAGTGAGTGGGAAGTTCAGCAGGAAGAATCCGCAGGCGGAGTACAAGCTTCCCACGCTGTACATGGGTCTGCACTTGCAGAATTTCGAGATTGACACGAATCACGAGAAGATCCTGTTCGTGGACAAGCTGACGATGGACTCGAAGCTGGAGAATGACACTGTGAATCTCTACCTGAAACTGACCACTTTCCAAGTGATCTACAATCATCCGGAGATCTATGCGTGGCTAAACAGCAACTTTTTGAAGGCGATGAAGAGCAATCCGGCGCCGATGATGAAAGTGAAGGCGCGTCCGGTGGGAAAGTCGCACGTGGAGGCGTTCCTGAAGAAGGTGGTGATCAAGGGATGCGCAGAGCTGTGGAATGTCACGTGCCTGGGGAAGTTGAGTGGCGGTCAATCGGCCACAATCAACATCAATCACGCGAAGCTGTTGCTTGAGCAGTTCGACGAGATCAGAAGTTGCGTGTATGAGAACAGACTGGCGAATTTGCTCCTGGAGAACCGCCATTGGAGCACAGAACTCATGGTGGAGGGCTTGTGGTGGTCACTGGGCAGTGGTGGGAAGGAGTTCAACAAGAAGAAGGTGCACACGAAGGGCAGTCCGTTCTACATGGGCGTCAGTCTCATCAAGATCAGCAGCTATGGCAATGCCACAAAACTGGATGTCTCCATTCACACGCTGCGACTTGAGTGGAGTACGCTGCTGATTGACTTTGTCCAGCAGACACTCTCGTGCATTGAGCAGTACAAGATGCCGGTGCGCGAGGATCAGGTGGCGAAGAAGAAGCACAGGATTAAGGAGAATAATGGAAGTATTCTCGTGAATGCCAAAGTCACAGATATCAACTTGTTCTTCTTCAACACACACGAAGCGTGCGTGCTGATCAATCTGACAGAAGTGGCTCTGACCAGGAGTCTTGAGCAGACAGTCCTGAAGCTGTGCGGTCTGCAGATGGCGTTCAGGAATGAAGTGAACAGCATAGGATTGACACTGAGTGACTTCCCCGATGTGTTCTCATCGGTAAAGTTGATCAGAGTTGAGTATCAGCCGCAATCGAAGATTCCTGATGTGCCTCAAGTCACGGTTCATGTTGCCAATAATACGGAAATAATGTGGAATTCCCTTCTGCACATGCACATCTTCACGCTGTGCCAGGAAATGCGAACTTTCTACACTTCGCTGAACCTCAAGGAGAGAGTTAGTGCGGAGAAACCGCCGGATGGGGAGAAACTGAAGCTGATCTTCGATCTCTATACCGAGGGCAGTTCAATGCTGGGCATCAAGATCTCCCAGAGGCATTCGATGCAGATTTTCCTGGAGAATCTCTATCTTAGTCGTACAGATCGATGGCTAATCTCGCTGGAGAATGTGTTTGTGAATCTGGATGAGCATCACATCTTCACCATCAAAGATGTGAACATGAGACTGTTGAAGGAGGTGGACATGCTGACGGCCGAGAGGACTCACTATGAGAACTTCGTGTTGCCGTCGAATCCCGTGTGGGTCACGTCAATTCGCAGATTCAGTGGAATCTTCCCGTACGACTATGACTTCTCGGATGCCATTCAGAATGAGTTCGTGTCGCTATTTAAGTGGCTGAAGGTGATTCACAACATCAAGAAGAAGCCCTTCACAGTGGACTCGCCATTGCCGTGCGACATGCTGATCCAGGTGAAAGAGTTCCTACTCGAGATGAGCGATGATCCGTTCGAGGTGAAGCTGCGGGAGAATTACGTGCTGCTGCTGGATGAGTACAATGAGAGCATCGAGAGGTGGGAGCTACTGGAGCAAAAGATAGCGCAGATGTGCCAGGAGAGGCCTCTGATGCCTGCCAGGACGATCGAGAGTATGCGAGCGATGCTAGAGAAGAAGAGCTCTGAGATCTACATTCAGCGATCGAAGAAGATCGCCGAGGCTGGGCCGCCGAGGACTCGTCTCATTGCCTGGATCATGTCAGATCTGGAGATCATGGCGATGGCGGATCCCTCGATTCACGGAACGGAGAATGTGACGCGCGTGATGCGAGAGATCGACAGCGACAGTCCGTGGCCAGAGGAGGGCCTGGAGTTTATCACGCTCTGGTGTAGAGCTGTTAACATGAGCTGCTCAGAGTGGAAGTTCATGCTGAGGGACTTCCCGCAGCCGATGTTCTCGGTGAAGCAGATGAGGCTGTTCGGACATCTCTGCGGTGCGGAGCAAGTGGCGCCGCGGCGAGCGAAGAGAGATGTTCAAATTGAGATTGGAGAGCCTTTTGGGACGCACACGATCCAGCGAGGAATGCCAGCTCTGAAATTCTACCATGACTTTGACTGTGAACTGGACCAGTGCAGCTATGCCTTCGGGCCGTGCTGGGAACCTGTGATGGCGCAGTGCAACCTGAGCTTCGAAAAGATCTCAGCTCCCTCTCGAGATCCCAGTCCTTTGTTGCCGTTCTGGGATAAGCTGCGACTCTTGCTTCATGGGCGACTCACGATGATTGTTCGGCAGTTCACGGTGCTGCTGCACGCGTCTCTGGATCCGTACAACACCACGGAGGAGATGGAGCTGACGTGGAACAATTGCGGAATCGTGTGGACCAATGCCAAGGTGATGTTCAAGGGAGAGCTCAATGTGACAGTGAGAACAGCATCGCGTTATGACGATTGCAGACTGTTGCATTTTCCCAATTTGAAGCTCACCTTTAAGCTGCACTGGATTTGCCTGGCGAATCCCAATGATCATCACTCAGTGATTCCCTGTGCACCGGACAAGTTGCCAGAGTACAGCAGTAATCAAGTTCACGACTCCTTCAGGGCCTTCAGATCGCAGAATCTGAATATTTGGATATCATTTGAGACGCGAGCAGTTTCTGGACAACAGCCAGAGATTGATATCCCGAATCTGGTGCTGTACGGCTCGACGCTGAGGTGGTTCGAGAATCTGAAGCTTATTCTCTCTGGCGTGACCAGACCGACGCGTCGAGGACCGGTGTTCAACAATGTGCGACCACGGAAGAAGCAACTGAGCCGACACTATCGCAAGGCGCATCTGCAGATGAGTCTGCACAAGTTTCAGGTCCTCTACTGGATCTCTCACGCGCTGAACCGTGGTTTTGAGCTGAACGGTGGCCGCGTGTCGTTCAGTTCTGAGCACACTCTCTCGTTCTATCCAATTGACGATGGACTCATTCATCGACCACGCGCTGATTGGGCGACAATGTACATGAACTGCGAGTTGAACGACACGGAGATCTGGCTGAAGAGCATCCTCAATGAGAGAGTGGACGCGAGCTCCGAGAGTCTTGTGAACAGTGAGAATCCCAAGATAGTGAAGTTCTACTTCCTGAGCGTCGCCAGAGTGTCTTATGGCCGGGAAGCCATGCTGGCCACGACGGGAGCGACGTCAGAGCAGCGTCACAAGGACAGTCCGACGCACAAGCTCGTGGTGTATGATCTGAAGGGTGCCTGGACGAAGAACAACAGAGATGTGGCCTTTGCTCTCTTTGATTCCTTCATGAAGTCGCAGAAGCTGAAGAACAATCTCTCCACAGAAGTGTTGAAGGGCTTCAGGAAGGACGGCAGCACAACGACGCCTTTGAAGACTTCGCGGCGGTCAGATACTAATATCACGACAGTCACTCCGCCACCGGGTACTTCCATTCTCGCGGCTGGAACGCCCACATCGAGTCTCAATAAGACCCAGCAAACTAGTCATGCCATCTCGATGCTGCAACAACTTGTCGCCGAGGCGGATCACAAGTTTCACGTCTACAGTGACGATTTGTCCACGCAGACGAAGGAGCAGCAACTTCAGGGACTCCAGGCGTGTCAGGACTCCGATGTGACGCACTACAATTGGTTCATTTCCCTCGTGAATTCTCAGGTGAGAGTTGTTAAAATACTCTGAATAGCAATGCAAATTAATGTGCATTACTGTATCTAATTCCAGGTGCTCTTGAAGGGCTGCGAGACGTCTGGCTACGTGATCTTGAGTGCCGCCAAGACGGAGATACTGCAGCGCGTGCACCGGCCGGTGTGGCGCGACCGGAGTCTCGTTTCGAAGACCACTTGGGTGGGATCTCTGGAGTGCATGCAGTACTACGCCACTGTGAGCGCCGGCGAGAACGACTCTCTGCTGGATGAAAACATCATGTGGCTGACGGTGGACAACATCCAGGAGAAGGACAAGGAGGCGACTGTGATTAACGAACTGCCGGACATTCCGCATCTCGTGGGCAGTGGCCAGAGTGTGGGCGGAGTTGTGTCTGAGACCGTGGGCGCCTCGGGTCCGCCGGGTCTCGAGGGCGTGCATCCGATTCAGCTGCAGCGCATCGTGTCGCGGTGCAAGTGTGAGTTCTTCTACGTGAGTTACGGGGATACGAGCATTGATCCCGGGACGCTGACGGAAGTGCCTCCGCCGCCGGCTGAGGAGAGCATGAGTCCTTGGGAGCGCCAGGACGATCCGGTGGATGCCTTCACGCTGATGCATCATGATTTGGATGTGTGCACGAATTCCTTGCAATACGCCATGATTCTGGACATTGTGAACAATCTGATGCTGTTCGTGGAGCCGCAGAGGAAACAGGCGTCTGAGAAGCTGGCCAGAATGCGCTTTCAGCTGCAGTTGTCAAGTGGCGAGGATCAGAAGAGGCCCATCTTGCATCTGCAGACGCAGGTGAGGAATCTCATGTCGCAGCTCAGGTTCTTCGAGAAGGAGATTCATCTGATTGGCAAGGCGCGCGCTGAGCAGCGCGACAGCGAGGAGCTGAGGAAGGAGTATGAGGAGGTGCACTCGCAAATTCAGGAGTGCAAGGAGAAGCTGACAGTGAAGAGTGAGGAGCTAGACATGATCATCTCGTGCTACAAGGAGACTCAGCTGTCGGCGATGAACAAACTGGCCACGATTCGGAATGACAAGCCCTTGATTATTGTGCGGGCGAATGAGATCTGCTTCAAGCACGCCCAATGGCGTCTCACAGAGGCGGATGGGCAGATTGGCATCGCCGATCTCATCCTCAGCAACTTCCTTTACACGAAGAAGTCCAAGAGCGACGACTCAGTGGAGCATCTGCTGGAGTTGGGCTATATCAGGATGTGCAATTTGATTCCTCGGGAGAACTTCAAGGAGGTTCTCTGTCCGACGGAGATTCAGCGAGAGATGCCCGTGGATCACAAGCGCGTGCTGCGCGTGTTTTGCAGGGAGAAGCAGCCCGTGGGCGGGATTTCCGTGAAGGAGCACTTCGAGATCAACGTCGTGCCTATCACGATAGCCATCACGAAGAAGTTCTACAGCACAATGCTGAAGTTCTGCTTCCCTGATCGCGACACTTCGGAAGCCGATGCTGACGACATGGACGACGCCGCGAGCACGACTTCAGGCAGCACGACATCGCTGAGATCATCGAAGCGCGCCAGCAAGAGCAAGAAGAACAACAAGGACTCGGAGTTCTACGTGAAGATCGTGAAGGACGATGTGGAGAAGATGAAGGAGCGCGCGGAGAAGAACAAGCTCTTCATCTACATCAAGATCCCGGAAGTGCCGGTGAGAGTGAGCTACAAAGGGAACAAGGAGAAAAATTTCGAGGACATCACAGATTTCTCGCTGGTCATTCCCACTCTTGAGTATCACAATGTCACGTGGACGTGGCTGGATTTGCTGCTGGCGATGAAGACGGACAGTCGCAAGGTGATTTTGTCGCAGGCGATCAAGCAGAAGCTGCAGATCAATCGTCATAAGCCGCTCTCGTCCATTGGCGAGAGAGCGTCGCCTCAGGAAGAGGACAAGGCCAAAATGCTCTTCGGGAGTAGACATGCTGTAAGTGCAAAGGAAGCTATCTTTTGTAGAAATAATGACTGTATTTTATCTCTTTTCAGATTGAAAATCGAAGCCAAAGAAAGGGAGTTTTTAAGTTTAACAAGTCGTAGAAAGTATTTCACGATAAACTGATGCGCTTTCGCCATTGATGATGTGCTTTAGGAATGCCCAAGGATTGAGAGTGAATATTTTTTATCTAAAATCTCACTCGAGGTATTATCAAAAGTTGAATGTATTTAAATTCTAAATAAAATTATGGAATCAGGAAATTGTAAGGTTTCTTTTGGCGGGTACAACTTTAAAATTACAGTGTGAAGATAGCAAAGTATTTTCGACGAGTTGTGTTTGCTGTCAGATCAGTTTGTTTACTTCTCACATTTTCGTAGTTTTTTCAAGAGTTTTCTCCGCAAATCTCTGCGAATTCTCGTGAAAAATGATTGGGGATAACTTTGGAATCCACAGAGGTGGTGTTCGCAGTTCATCAACAGCCAATGAAGAGCGTTCTGGTCAGGTTCTGAGTGATTTCCTCGTGCAGTTGGAGGATTACACTCCCACTGTAAGTCTATAGCAATTTTCTTGATTTCCCTCAATTTCAGCACTTATTTGATGATTTCTCTACAGATTCCCGATGCCGTGACTTCTTACTACCTCAATTCATCAGGTTTCGACACCTCTGATCCGAGAATGTAAGTGTGCATAATCTCTGTAGTTTTCCTAATTTTTGCAGTATTTAGAGACTTAAATTATGAACTATTTATGTGTTCTGTTTGCAGAATCCGTCTAATTTCCATTGCCGTGCAGAAGTTTATCGCCGATGTGGCCAATGATGCTTTGCAGCACTGCAAAACGCGCTCCAGCAACACTTCGAGCGCCAGTCACGGATCGTCGAAGAACCAGAAGGGCATCAAGGATCGGAAGTACAATCTCACGACTGAAGATCTGGCGCCTGCACTCAATGACTACGGGATTACTGTACGGAAGGCGCACTATTTTGTGTAATCATCCGGGAAAATGATGAATATTCTGGAATAAAAATACACTGAGAACCTATCAATGTTTGCTTGAAGATGGCGCTGGTGGCGCAATTTTGAATAAAACGCAAATTGCACACAATTTTTCTCTCGAGTATTCAATAGAATTCCACAAAAAATGGGATATAAAAGACATTTAGAAAACACCGTGAATATTTCATATTTGCAATTTCTAGGGCATGCATTTGTATCACCTGAATTCACGGCGCCTTTGCGTCTGTGGCAGCAATAAATGGACGCCTTTCGCAAATTAATAAACATTCCACACGGAATTCCTGTCATTCGTAACATCAAATATTGTATCCGAATCGCACGATTATTAATTACGTATTGTATTGCGTTTATTGAATTTCTTCCTTGGGATATCTCTCATGATTGTGGCATGTGGGTGGCTCTGTGCCAACATTCCCAGGCAGTTGCACACAGGCGAAAAAGGAAATGCACGTGATCCTTTTGTCCTCTTCCACTGGGCGGATTTTAATTGAATTTCAAGCACCAATTGAGGCAATAACTCCGCCGAATTAGTGCGCGGAAGGGGGCGAATTTAATAAAATGCCCTCTTGGCCTATTGAGGACTCAATAGATCATGAATTTATTCAAAACATAAGGCAAAGGGCGAAGAGGGTGAAAAGTGCGTTAATCACTTGTCCTCGCCCATCCCCTTTATTTGCGTTTTTAATAAAACAGGTGCGTGTTTCACCCCCGGCAAGTTGCTTTTCAGCCCGAAGATGCCGCATCATCCCTTGTCGCTCAATTCAGGCGCGTCCAGAGTTGGCAAATCAGCTAGATTTGCCGAGCAATTCACCAGCGTTCTGGTGATAAAATTCCTCATCAACTCTTACATTTCACCCTCTTCTGCATGCGTGTAATCGTTTTGTCATCCCCTCTTCGACTTCCTGCCCAATATTGACCGTCATTGAGTGTTGTGAATTTGCCAGACAAATAATTTTTATTTGATTTTTTGCGGAGCAAAGATCGAGGTCAAAGGGATTAATTGTGCTGCCTTGAGCGCGTCAAATGAAAAAATTCCTCCTGTCCAGGACTCGAGAGTGGGTCACCTTTTCTCCGCAGATGCGGAAAAAGGCCTGAAAATGGGCGAGAGAGAAAGTGGAGCCAAAAGATGACCTTTTTGCCGCCACTCAGTCGAGGAAATTTATTCACGAGTTATTGGAGAGCGAAATGTTCTCTTGCGAGACAGCAATAAAAGCCACCCCTTGTCGCTCTTTTTGTCCTCCAGCCCGGCAGAATGGTCTCTGGGAGTCCAATAAAATTCAAATAAAACTCCCATATGATGGTCTCAGGGACATCAATGAATTGTATATGAAGATATTGGATTCACACACAGTCGAGCCTCGATTTGCCAGCTTCGTTGGATGGACGATGAGGGAAAATGTGCATAATTCGCCTAGGAAATATATTGTAAGATGTTGATTGTAAGAAATGACTATACATATGGAAATAGTGAGTTTAATAGTCATGGGCGGAGCATACGATTGGGCGGAGCGTAAGAAATCTTTCTATTCGACGTGCTAGGATTCTAGAATTATTTCTCTTGGTAAAATGGGTCAAAATCATAGGAACTGAAGGGAAAATTCTGTTTTCTCTACACTGAAAGCGCCGATGCGTCGAGGAGCGACTGTGCTTGACGGGCGTGAGGCGTACGAGGAACGAGGGATGATGTCGAGGAAGTGGCATCATTGCAAGAGTCGTCCAACCCCATTTGTCGCTGTCGTGCTCGCAAAAGGCAGAGAGGCCACCCCTTCGAAATTCATCCCTCTTCACGGGTAGTGGAAACTAATTTTGCTTTTATTAAAAAGATTATCGAGGCATATTGAGAATGTGAGGACAATATCAGGACACAGCGAGGATGATTTATCTCCGTGTCGCTGGTCTTGCATGTGAATCTGCTCATTTTGATGTGTGCGCGCGGGGTTGGGAAATTTATCGTGTGTGTGAGTTCTTCAATGATGAGAACTTTGGTCCAAAGAGGAAAAACTTTAGTCATGCATTTGGGGATGCTTGGGCATAATTTTCTCCTTATTCGGGCAGAGAGAAACTTTGTGAATTTCCGCACTTTGAGTACATTTTGCACTTGAGAGGCAAAGAAGAGGTGCGCCTTAGCATGGGAGCATATAAATTCACTGACGACCCGGAGGAACTTCTTTAATAAATTAATCAAGAAAAGTTGGTGGAAAATGGAGTTCTGGGTGCGCACATTTAATTACAAGTTAGTCGACGCGAGAGAGCGAAAGGGTTGGCGCCATTTGTCGTATTTATGGAGTCCTCGCAAGGCAAAAGGGGAGCGGTTTATGTTCGGTCACAATCAACAGAAACGCGTAATTAAACACACCGTCGTTCTGAGCGGTGCCTTGGAATGCTCGTTGGAAAAGTGCGTGGATCTTCACGTGATGAAAGGGGTATTTTTTAAAGTCACAAAATGTATATGATCTCATTTCCATATTCTTCACCCCTTTTTTCGCTCTCTCTCAAGATATCGAAAATTATATTTAACGCCATCCCCCTTTTTGTGGCGTGGCTTCAGCACTAATTAGCCAAAGAAGTGGAGTATATTTATGGACTCTTTCACTCTCTCTCTCTCTCTGCCCACTGAAGAAATGGCTCTGGAATTTTGTACTGCTGGGCAGAAAATTGAGGGATAATTTATACCTTTTTCTGTATTACAGTGCGGCTCACAAATTGAGCCACGAAAGGGCTCCGCGACTGAGAAATTTCACCTGTGATTCTCATGACGAGGCCCAGTGGCAGAGTAAATTTATTCATGAATTCAACGCGATAATAAACCTTAATTGGATCAAGCTTCCGCGGAGAGAGGCCTCGGCGATGGGGGAGAAAAAGGGTTCTCCTAGGCCATCACAATGGGAGGAAACACGCCATCGAGTGGACTCTAATTGCCCGTCACTGAGCCGCCTTCGCGATGGTGGCTCCCAAAATTCACCAGCTAATTAGCCCACGGGCTTCTCGGGCTCCTGAGTGCCCCCATAAATCATCCGCCCCGCGAGTGGCGCTCTTCCGACAGATAACAGCGGCACGCGCTTCCCTGGATGTGCCATTGCTCCGGAATCTCGCCGGACATTCTCGCAGATCCCGCGAGATTCACTCGAGTGGTTTGGAGAAAAATATTTATTGATGTTTATTTAGCATTTTTATCGACCAGCGATGAGGAAAATGTGCCACTCAGAAATTCTCACACCGAAATTCACCAATTTGTTCAACAGGCATTCCATCATGGATTTATCTGATGAATTAAATCTGCCTCCATTCTTCTATTTGTTCTACATTATAATTAAGACATATTTTTCGCATTTTATTACTCTCCACTTGTTCATGAACGTTTTGTTGTGAAAATAAATATAATAAATATAAAATTATTGTAATTGTGACTCCTTAATCACTTCTGTGGACGTTTATATTCGTGCAAGAGGTTATCTTTTGAAGAAAATGCACAAAACTAAAGCTTAGAGAGCAATTATCAGGGTAATTATCGTAAAAGAAAGAGTTTTAAACCTGATATGTTATATATTTCTTAAGACGCACAACTGCTGATAATTATATTAAATATAATGAAAATATGTTCATAAATATGTAACACGAAAACTTTGCAAACTTCAGCAACACAATAACGTTTAATTTATTAGTGGTTTTGTTGGACAATGTCTTATAATTTGTATCTTGTAAGAATTTGATGTGTTTATATTTCCCTTGCAAATCTAATGGTAGTTTTGTCGTGTTTTAATGAGTGGCGGTGAAGAAAATCTCGCGTTTTCATCCAACAAATTCAGGTGTCAGATAAATCTGTCACACTGTGTTTTTGCCAGCGATTTTTCTTGCATTCTTTCCCGATAATTTCGGGTGTTGATTTCCACAGAATATCGCCCATTTGTCGAGGAGTGTATTTTATCCATCAAGCGCGCCTCTTTGTCTTGATCATTTTCACCTGCTCGGCAGTCGGAAGCAGGAGTCAAAACTTGTGAGAGATTGAGGAATTTCATATGAGATGTCGTTTGGCCTTATCTTAATTGCTCGCCGACGATTGACTTCTTGTGCTTTCTTTGCCTTTCCCGCCATTCCCAGGCCGAGAGAAGCGGCGGGAGAGCCATTCGGGTGTATCAGTGCAGGTATTTTGTCCGCTGAGACAACTTGGGTGGCAATTAGAAGTCCATCATGTAAAGTATATAGTGAATGAGGAGTTGGGGAACTGGTTCACTTTAAAAAAAAAAAACTGCCCTCATCTCCATTTCTAGTCGCACACTTTGTAAATTTTTCACATTTATCTGCATTTATTGACTCCTGTTGGATAAGTCAATGGAATTCGTGTGTGACTCTCATGCGCAAAACTCGCAGCTATTGTCGCATGGAAAATATAATTTGTGTGAAAATAGGTAGATTTCTCACACATCACTCACACCACCTCTCGCTGACATCCATTTGAATGCTCTTCATTTCACCGCGGAATTCCTCGGGACTCTACTCGCGGGACGCTGCTGATCCGCATGCGAATAAATCCATATTTATTGGGGAGATTATCTCAATAGTGGAACAGGTGAGTGTTCTCCGTGTCTTTCTGCGCTTCACTTTCTGCAATTGCCAGACGCGCTTCTTCTCCTTCATCACGTCCTTCTGCATCTTGCGGAGGAATTCATGTAAATCGCACAACCAAATATAAACATTTTTGTACGTATGCGCGACAATATTGGCAAAGACGAGGAAATTGAGAGGGTTCATCATTCTCAAGGGACTTCAGTGTAGCTTCTTCAATTAACCTCTCACCATATCGCTTTTTATCCTCTCTATGGTAATGGCAAGAATGTTTATCGTGACACATTACACATGACATAACTTTGTCCAACAAGACATAAAGAAGTTTTAGTACATCCATTCATGGGATTATAATTTGCTAAATTGATGTAAAGTTACTTTTTATGATTCCTCAATAATCACAATAAATTACAAACCCTCCTTTTGCGAGGAGAGAAAAGCACTTTCCTCCCTTTGCCAA